CAGAGAAACAGTGACATACATATGTACACTCTTTGAGTTAGAAGTGCAAGTCAAAAAAGGTAAGAAGTGTGACCATTTGGAGGAGTGTTCAAATACAGTTGTCGTATCGTAGCATTGGAATGAGTAAACGATGGATAATAGAATAGATCTGCATCAGTTTTGGTTCAAATCAAATTGCAGAAGACATTTTGAATCGATTACATGTGGAAATAAACGTTGACACTGATGGATAGTAATAGATTTCTTTTTTAAATGGGTGTATAGAACAACTGCGAACTGAAAGCGCCCCGCTGTTTGGGCATACCAAAAAAATTAAATAAACTTTGAATAAAAGCGAGAATCAATCGCTGATAAGTGAGCTACATGTACACATGCATATGTATGTACATATATGTATATGTATGCATGTCGATGACACTGTGGATGGGGGCGGAATGGGTTTCATGACAATCGCAGGTTTGTCTGAGAAATGCTGTTCATGCACTTTACAATGCACCTCTATCTATTGGGGTGATACGGGGGCTGCGGAGGTCTGGCAGCTCTTCAAACAAAAGTACAAAATGAAATGCACATGGCAGTGTGCAATGGTACAGCAAACGTAAGCAGAAAAAAAAACAGGAAAACCACTGGTGTGAAATTTTCATCTAATTAAATTAGATGCCAGTCATGCCTGAACACGAGAAAAGGGACACGGGGCACATGGACGGGGGATGGCGGGAGTGCGTGTACGAGTAAAAAAAAGCCTGTCAAACAAATCGATGGGGATTTAGTTAACAAACAGCTGACACAAAGCTTGGACACCGTCCAGCTCCTCCCCCTCACCCACCACAGCAGCTTCAGCTTTATGTACCTTTAAAAGCTATCCGCAATGACTCATCACGTATTATTTTCTATACGTTTGACAGAAAACGGAAAAGGAATCCGCACAGAAATCCTTTTTGCACTTTAGTTTGAATGATGGCCACAAGCGAAGAGGAAGAGCCAGTGCTTACAGACAGCCTCAACAAGTTCAGATAAGCGAACGAGCATCGCGGCATTGATGGACTGGACTTTGGGTTAATGAATAATGCGGTCTGTGTAGCCTGTTCTGTATTACATTACAACATGATTATGTCCTTTTGGGGGAGGGATTATTACACAACTTCCATTTGTCATTACTATATTACTCATCAACAACAAAAGAAATATCATCAATATAATAAACTCATACTGTGAAAATCTCTCTGAAGAGAAAAAATATCTGCTCCAATTTCGAACAGTAATCTTTATAATTTACTTCTTCGCCATGGCGATAACTGTTACCATTTTGACAGTTTATGACATTAATTCATAAAAATAAAATTAATGACTTTGTTTGGAAAGCTATCAGAATTTCGAAATCAGAAGAGACCGAGTTAAAACTTAAACTGTGTGCGTAGTTTACGCAGCACTCGACACACCGATTTTCTCACAATTCCACACTGGAAAATTTCAAGTGCAACGAGCCAAAGAGCAGGGAAAATGAAAAGGGACAAGTGCTCTTCTTTCAACTATTTTCAGCTTGCTCGAGTTTCTTTCTTTCCTTTCACTCCACAACACACTTCACTCTCCAATCTCCTCCAATCTCTCCTGCTGATTCTGCTCTTGTTCTCGGGCTCTCCAACAGAGCTCAACTATTTGCGTTAATTTCTCATCTTTGTCTCTGTACCCGGGAATTCCTCTGGTGGAAAGGAGAGGATGAACAAGTGGTAGATAGAAGTGGAACCATGGACGGGGGACAAACTTATTAGAGGAAGAGCGAAGCGCACTAACAAGTTGCTCAGGTCAAGTCTCAAGTCTGGTTTTTTGTTTGAGCTGCTCTTCCTTCCACACTCAATTCCATTTCGATGCTCTGCATTTTTTGGGGTATTATAATTTAGATATCTCTCGATATATCCCATGTCCACATGGGTCGATTTTTAAGCAGATCTCTTGTATTGCCCAATGTAAGACAGTTTCATCCTTTGATATGAATATTTAGTTTCTTTAAGGGTTCTAAAACTGCAAAAGGTATTTAAACTTCGGCTACTTTTTTGAGGTGCCAGTGTGTAAAAACTTCGTTGCACTTGACTTTTCTTTTATGATTTAGTTTTTTTTCTTATTTTTTGTGTGTGTTTTAGAAGACGGCGACAGAAACGATTTCAGTCATTTTTAATGAACAAAGTCTGTGTCTCTTTTTCTTACAGCCACTGTTCTCTCTACCCCTCTCTACCCATCTCCACATTCTTGGGTTCTGTCTGCGGCTTGTTTTGCTTCCTCTTAATGTTCTCCTTCATTTTTCTTTTTTTCTTAATTATCAGCAACTGGTTTTTCCAATGCCATTGATTTCGGTCTTGGTTTTTTGTTGTTTTCTTTATGCTCTTGTAATTGTTTTTAATTTTCGAAAACAAATAAATGTCGCGTTGGAACAACACGAATTCATAAATTACATTTTAATTAATTAATTGCTTTTTGGCCACCAAAGCAAAAAACCAACAAGGACAACCATGGGAGAGATATACGCACACACACACACATATTTACAGTAATCTTCCATGGTTATGGTGGGGCGTATGGGGTATGTGCATCCCTGTCTCGTCTGTGCGTGTAATTGAGGTCAAATGCGTTGTCCGCATATCAACTGCAGCAGAAGCAGTGGAGAGAAGCAGTGCTGAGGAGTAGTAGCTGAAGAGAGCCACTTTTGTTGGAGTAGGAGTAAGAGAGAGAGAGAGACTGGAGAGGGAGCTCAATAACCCCAAAGTCCAAGAGTTGTTGCTCGAGTTTTGTGTTTTTTTTTCTTCTTTCTTTTCGATAATTACACAGCAAACAAACACACACATGGGCTTGCATTAGTATGCGTATAAGTAAACGCATATTAATATGCAGTTTAAAACCAATAAGTACCCTATGTTAAAACTCAACGATACCCCGTAATTGATTGGAGTTCTTTGAGCTCCCATATAAACAGGATTCCTGATGGATCCCTTCCAGATTCTGACAGTAATATTTAAAAATTGCTAATTATTTTAAATCGAATCTCTCTTTAATTTATACATATTAAAGTGTACAAATATCCAGAATATAAGCCACAAATTGTACATCTCTTTAAAACAAATCCACTTCATTTTCTACAACTACTGGGTACAGGAAACTCATTTGATCGAAGGTTAAATCACTTGAGAGAGCCCGTAACTAAATATTTAATCATATAATTATGACCATCGACGCGTCGGCATCGCCATCCGCATCGATGCATAGAATGATAGTGTAGAGAGAGACCCACCTCCTGGAGACGTGTTGGTCTGAGTAAATGTTTGCACAAATGATTTTTATTTTGCGACGCTGTTGTTGTTTGACAGTGTGACCATATCTAATCACGAGAACGTTCGCTGATCTGATCACACGAATGAGGGAAATACTCCGTCCTGAAGTGCAGTCCAATCAGACTTCCTATAAATTGTTCTACCTAACCCACTGACGTCCCTAAAAGAAGAAATTCCACCGTATACCAGTCACGGACTATTAGGCCCTAGATCAATAAAGTATGGAGAAAATGGTTCCCCAGTTTGTCATTCTTTATCGTACTCTCCTCTGTCCATTCGAATAACACATTCCCATGGTGCCTGTGCCTAATGAATCGCCCCCAGAAAATCATTCCAGTGTATATGCATGGTGGCATCATGAAGAGCAAACAAGTGTGTTCAAATATATCCCCAAAAAAAGAACCCAAAATGCAGACAACAAACAAACCGTATAATGTAATATAAAACACTCCATTCCTTGTGAGACCTGAGGGGAGAGAGAAGCCAAACCCAAAGCCATAGCCAACAACAACCTCGAAATGTCAACAGACGTGCAGGACAGCGCACAAGGTAACAAGACGGAGACGAGACGAACGACACCCTATTGGACCCATATCCAAGGCAGCAGCAACCTCTTTCCGACAGAAGGAGGCCGGGGCCGGGACGGGATCAACTAAAATGTCTATAAAATATTTATAATGTGCGTGGCGTGTGAGTGAATTTTACTTTCCGCTTCCTTACACAAACATTTCTCGTATCTATAGTATATCTATTATGTATAGATTGGAAAACCATTTTGTGCCAAGAGGAACAAGAAGCAGGCGTCGTCTCCGCCACTCTGATAAACCAACTTCTCTACGGGGCAGCAGCAGCAGCCGCCGTCGCCGCCGCGGTAAATAAAATCAAATCAAACATAAAACACACAAAGTTTAAATAGAAAATTCTCTGGGCTAAAAATAAAATCTTTTTGGCAAACACCAACAAATCGAGAAAAGCTACTCAAGTGATAGTTGAACTTTTGGCCAAGTATGTACGAGTATGTGTGCGGATTTTCTTGGTCAACATTTATATACACAAAGCCAATCTATATAGGATATAGAATAATTTGTGCTTGTGTGCCCCATACAGGTGGCATAATCTGTTCAATGACAGCATTTTCATGTGTCACAGCTTCATTGCCCTTACGATTTGGCATTGAAAATAGGTACAAATAAAAAACAGTGTTTTTAACAAAAAGGGAACGTGACTTGTTGATGTCATAGGAAGATTTAATAGCAATAAAAGGATATATTAAAGTTTATTCTTCCTTAAGACTTTTTAACTCTATTTAAAAATCGTTCTCCCCCAGAATAATCTTATCGTTATCAAAATATCCATTCATTCTACATCTAAGCTTGATAGCAACATTTATAAAATCAATCGACACATCCGGTGCTTAAGAGTGTTTTTCCTGCCAAACTGTGAAACTGTTCTTGGTAATTGATAATTTTTGTTATAATACTTTCAGAATAATATTCAAACCAGTGTCTCAGAGACTTTAATAGCCTAACAAACCAGCGCCCAAACAAACATAAATTTCTGTAATAAATTTGGGTCTTTTTTTGGGTCATTCCAATGACAAATGGAAATGGGAGTTTCAAATAAGAATCGTTCCATTTTTTCAATGGAATTTCCATTAATATTTTGGACCTTTTGACTCACCTGGCTTGCCGTTCGCGTCGCTGCATCTTGGTATTGGGTTTTGTTTATTTTGTTGTTGTTTTCAATGACTGCTCTGACAGGCTCTTTGAAATTCGATTCAAAAATATTAATCACTTTCTACGGAATTTTGATAGCGAATTTTTTATCGGCAAAATGAAACTGGAACTATTGTTGGATTGGTGGTGCTGGGCTGCTGCTTCCTTCCCCCTGCTGCTCCTGCTCCTGCTGTTATTTTTTATCGGTAAGAGTGATCCGAGATGCGACTTGCTGGAGGATCTGTTGGATCAGATACAGACACAGGGTACGGGGGCACTGAGAGACCCGAATGCACGGACACGCACGGACATGCACGTACACACACACTCACTTAACGTTCACGCATGTCGCGCATGCGGCCAACACACACGTACGTTTACGGTGGATCTCTCTCTCTCTCCGGCCGCTCTCCCGCTCAAGAGTACAGGTGTGCGTCGGTCGTCGTCGCTCCCGCTCCCTCTCCCACGGTATAGGCTGTGCTAGCTTACAGTTACTCCTGTTCCTTTTGCCGTTTTAGCAGCAGCTGTTGTTGTTGTTGCTGTGAGGTCGTCGTTTGACATTAAATATGAAATTTGAGCAGCATTTCTTTGAATTTTATGGTTTATTTCTATTTTTTTTGTAGAAATTTCATGAAATTTGTGTTGAATTTTGTATGGGGATGGGTGTAGGTGTGTATGTGTTGTGTTTAGGTATGTGTCAAAAGGCGGGCTATTTTGTTTTTACACTCCCCTCGCACGTTTTCGAAGGGAAGTTTTGTTCTACGTTAAATATCTCTAGTTAAACATTTTCATCCAACAAACGTGGCCCAATTCTGTGTAATGTTTTCTGTTCAATTTCTTGCTATTTGTTCTTTCTCACATTCCGGACCCGGCGAAGAACAACAAAACGTAAAATCAACAACAAACAAAACGCTTTTTGTGGTGTAGTTAAATTCTGTTAATAACGATTTAATTTAACCGGTCAGCGCGCGTTTTAAACATTTACAACACATTTCTTCGGGTGCTTCCCGATAAGGGCAGACAGGCGGTCGTAATCAGATCAAGCTGCAAGTAAAAAATGAGAGAAGAAATTGCATTAATTCACACCTCCACAAAACGGTCCATTCTTGCATGGTATTTCTTTGAAGCAGGGCAGTATTTTTGCTTGGTATATTGAGTGAAGTGAACCTGCTCGTGGCGGCACGGTCACACTGTGTGGCGCTGAGAGCGCAGGCAGTCTAGCCAGCTAAATTTTATTTTTCTCATTGATTTTCGTTTAATTTACAGCCTTGTTGTCCCCCATTTGCTCTTTCAAACTGCAATGCTCTTTAAAGTCCTTACTTTGGTTCAAAAAAAAATCTAACGACTTGCGTTTGAAAGTTGATTGAAACACCTCCTTTGGACCAGGGCAGACAGAATTAGGCCAATTAGTGGCGTTGCGTATACCACCTCTTGGGGCCAGTCCATTGCGTTACAATTTTGGAAAAATGCCTCGGCCAGGGCTATGCGGAAGGCCAAGCGATCAATTTTCGTACGTGATTTCTTTTATTTTTATAATTTTTCACGTTTTGTTATTCGATGCAGTCAAAAAAACTCAACGGCGGCCAACTGATGGCCAAAAAGAAAGAGAGAGAGAGCGCGCGTATGAGAGGAAGAGAGGGTGTAACTACTCAACTTTTGGCCATATTTTTTCATTGAGCCGCCTTTTGCCAACGCATCATTATTTTCCGAGGGCTTTATTGTTCCCCCCTAATTAAAAGATTTTTACGCTTAATTAATTTGGTGGTCCCGTTTTTTGGTGATTTACCTTTTAGACAGTTTTGCACGCATTTTCACTACGCCTCATTTTTTCACTCATACACTCACACGCACGCACGCACAGACACAGTTACACACACTCACACTAGGACCGACTTCAATTTTGCAACTAACTAATAGCAGAGCGGTGTGTATATTAGTTGATTTTTCGGGCGTTTCGTTTGCTACTTATTGCACTACTTTTTACATATTTATCATAGTCTATTTTCGTTCCATTTTTCAATTAAACTCTTTGCAAAAGACCCAAACGCACGCAAGAGAGCACGAGAAAAATGGTGCGATTTTTTCCTTGCTTGCTCACACACACCACACACACTCACAAACACGGACTGACAGTGGGCTAGTGTTGGGAAAGGACAGAAATGGCTCAGCGGTGACACTGTAATATACCAAATTCACTAATTCGTTTTAATGCAAATAAGTATTAATAAATGATTGATTTAATTGATTCTGTTGTTTATTTTTTTGTTTTTTAACCAACATATTTGTATAAGTTTTTGATCTCCTTGAAAAATGGAAATTCTATAAAATACCAAAGAAAATACCACAGCACTGCCCAATTAGCCGGCAACTTTGTTTACACATTTGCCCTCGCAATCATCAGAAAACTAATTAATCTCTTCTGTATTTAATGTTTTAGTAACTTGAATGTGGCATTTTACTTGAATAAATTTAAACATCTTGTTGGCAAGAGGAACCCTACACAGGTTACCCACACTCACACACAACGGCACAACCGCAACCCGCAACGATTTACTAATTGTGTATATATTTATCGAAATACTCTTAATTTAATGTTTTTTAGTCTAGTTTATGAACAAATTTCAGAAACTTTTGTCCGCTACCGCACTTAATCGTTCGATTTTAGTTTGACCTAAAATCTACAGCTAAAAAACACTACCGCCTGCGGACTGAGTGACCACACCAGTGCTGCCAGAATTTCAGAGCCAATATAAGCTAGCTTCGAAACAAAGAAATATGCTGAAAATAGCTAACAGTTAAGCGATAATTGAGCCCTACCACACAACACATGAAGCCTCGGAACAACGTTCTAGTCCATATAAACAAAGTTCCCTTGACGAATTGCTTAAAAAGAATAGATCAAATAAGCTATTCCACTTTAACAAATTCGTAATCTAGCCTTAAAGAAGCTATAGTGACAGCACTGGACAACACTCCAGTTGCAGATAAAATACCAAAGCAAATACTAAATGGCAACACGTGCGTGTTGTGCATTCCCGTCTAGATAATTTATAATTTACATTTATTTTGATAGCGAAATGGGAAAAATTAAGAACAGTCAACGGAAAGGGGTAAGTTGTGGAATCTCCAGGAGTAAAAACATATAGCTAAATTTTTAATTAATTTAGCCAGTGGCCACCAAACGTCTTACAAAAGCCGCAAAAGACTCCGTGCTGGGTCAGAATTCAGACGGCAGCGATCTAGAGAAGCCAGGGACAAGCAGCGATGATGGCTTCGAGGAGCCAACTCCCAAGCCATCCAAGAAGATCACAGCATTGCCCGGGCCCGTGTCGATCATTGCGCAAAAGAAGAACAAGTTCAGGACAGATGACACGAAGAATGTGAAGCCACCAACGCTGGAGGAGATGAAGGAACTGCGCGACACACGCAATCTCTTTCACTCGAATCTCTTCAAGCTGCAGGTCAAAGAGATGCTGGAGGAGCTGCAGCTAAAGCCCAAGTACACCGAGTACATAGAAAATTGGATGGAATCCTTTACGGCCTTTACACAGCAGCAGCTGAAAGATGGCCTGATGGAGAAGAGTCAGCTGGAAGTGCCCTTGAACGTGGACAAGAAAATATCGGGCTTTATCTTCTCCAAGCCCACGAAAGAGCCTCAACTGATTGGTGCGGCCTCCACTGGCACCTTGCTTGGCCCAAAGATCGTGGTAGATGTGGCCCTGGAGATGCCCAAGAACTGTCTACACAAGGATGATTATCTGAACTTGATATACGATCAGAAGAGGGCCCTGTACCTGACCTACGTAACGAATCAGATGAGGAGATGCCCCGCCTATGCTCAGGATCAGTTTGCCTTCAACTACCATGGCAATAATCCACTCAAGCCAGTGCTGGAGCTGACGCCAGCCGCCAAGCAGGTGTCAAAGCACTTGCAGCTGCGTCTGTTCATCACAGCGCCACAAAGCACCTTTAAGCCGGGCCGATTTGTGCCCTGGAACAATAATATACGGCCCGCATACTACGATGATGAGTGGGATGAGGAGGAGGCACTGCCGTCCACACAGCACTACAATGCCAATGTTCTGTTCGACCTGACGCTGGCCCAGAACCAGGCACTCCTCGACAAGGCCTTCAAGGGCAGACGCAACTTTCAGGACGGTCTGTTGCTGCTCAAAGTATGGCTGCGTCAGCGGGAGCTGGACACAGGATTCACTGGCTTCGGGTCGCACATTCTGGCGTCGTTCATCGTGTATCTAAATCAGCAGCGGATACTGCATCAATCGAGCAGCAGCTACCAAGTGGCACGAACCGTTTGGAACCAATTGGCCAACACAGACTGGACGAATGGCATCACCCTGGCGCCCGCCTCCAGCCAAACCGAACAGCTGAGCACGCTGGCCGGCCACTACGATGTGTGCTTCATGGATGTCTCTGGACAGCTCAATCTGTGTGCGAATGTGCCGCTGGGAGTGTACCAGAGGGTCCGCGCAGAGGCTAAATTGGCTGTGGACTTGCTGAATGACATGAAATTGAATAGCTTTCCGTACATATTCATGCAAAAGTGTACCCTGTACACACGCGTGGATAACATACTCAAGTGAGTCTGGACTGGACCTCCTTCTCGTTTTTTTTTTTGTTGTAAAATTAACCCTGTTCTTCCCTGCCCCAGGATCACCAACTACTCGAGTATACAGCAAATGCTAGTGCTTCATTCCAAGCCGCAGGTGAAGTACGATTATGCCAATTATGCCTATCCTCAGCTGCTGAAAATCCTTACAGAGTGAGTAAAGTGTTTGTCTCTGTCGTGGCTGATGAAATTCAATTGAAATTAATCTTTTTAGACTTCTGCAAAAGGGACTCAAGGAACGTGTCCAGGCCATTCTACCCATAGAAACCGTCTGCATTGCATGGCCCGTCGAGAGCAAGCCCCCCATTATCGGACAAGCCATCCAGCTGGGTCTCATACTCGATCCAGAGCATGCCTTTGAAGTGCTCGACAAGGGGCCGGCATCAAACGATAATCCCGAGGGATGTGCCGAGTTTCGAAAGTTTTGGGGAGAGAAATCCAATCTGCGACGCTTTCAGGATGGCAGCATCACAGAGGCTGTTGTGTGGGGCACAGCCAAAGATGCGCCCAGCAAGAAGCGTCTGATTGTGCGCCAGATTGTGATGCATCTGCTGGAGCACCATCTGCAGCTGGAGAGCAACGATGTCCAGTATATTGCAGCCGAGTTGGATTTGGTTTATCATCTGTCGCCCTGGTTCAAGGTGTCCAAATTGAAGACCAAACTGGAGCTGCAGCAGGATACGGACGCGGAGGCACTGAGTCCCAATGTGATACGTTGCTATGACGATTTGGCGCGTCAGCTGCATGCCCTGGACGATCTGCCGTTGGAGATTGTGTCCATATCGAGCGTTTCACCCGTGTCCCGCTACTGTGAACCGATGCCAGTGCTGCCGCAGGCTCGCCTGATGGCCGACCACATCCATGCCAGCCACATACAGCGGGTAATCATTCAGCTGGGCCAGAGCGGCAAGTGGCCAAATGAGTTGGGCGCCCTGAGAGCCCTCAAGACGGCATTCCTCATTGAGATTGGAGAGAAATTGAAGGCGCAGTGTCGTCTCAACTGGTCCATTACCTCCGAGGGTCTGCTGGTGCTCAAGTGGGGCTATTGTTTCCTGCTGGAGCTGGCCCACAACAAGGAGCTGACGCTGCTCAAACAGGAGGTAACCGAGCGGGGAGTGACCAAGTATGTGGATAACCCCGAAAGTCGTGCCCTGGAGCAGCGGCACTACATCCTGCCCAAGGTCAGTGGCGCACTGCATTCCCTGCATCAGACGCACTCGGCCTATGGGGCGACTGTGTTGATCGCCAAGCGCTGGCTGGCCACTCAACTGCTGGACGATGGACTGTGGCCCTCCATGGCCACGGAGCTGCTGGTGGCGCATCTCTACCAGCAGCGGAATGCCCCCCAGGCCATAGCGGCACCCCAAACGGGATTCATGCGGTTCCTGCATCTACTCGCGCACAGCGATTGGAATGGAGAACTCTTTCTGCTGAACTTTAACAGCAGCTGGCAGGGTGAGCAGCTCCCCCAGTGACTCCTCGTTGTCCCACTTTATCTTTACTCTCTTGTCTTAAACAGAACAACAGATTGGGGATCTGGAGCACAGTTTCCGCAGCGATCGGCAGAGCTATCCGCCTCTGGCACTGGCTACTTCCTACGATCAACAGCATGCCGGCCGCCTGTGGACCACCGCGGAGTCGCCCAGTCTGCGTATCCTCTCGCATGTCTCACGATTGGCCCGCCACGCCCTGCTAATGATTGAGACCAGTTTGCAGTCGAAAGATCTGAGGTTTGTGCGGCCCGCACAGCTGTTCCGCGGCTCCAGCGAGGGCTACGATCTGGTGATACAACTCAAGTCCGATTTGGTGCCCAATGCTTTGAGCTACGATCTCGGTTCACCCTTTGTGTCCTTTGATCAACCGAACTACCTACTGCCAAGAGCAGGAAAGGATCTACTGGCAGCAGTTGTCCATCAATTGAGGGTAAGGTGTCCCACACCTTAAACCTAAAGAAACTTCTTTAATTAATTTGATTCCTTATGGGCTTTGCAGTCTGCGTACTCCGACTATGCTGCCTTCTTCTACAATCCGCATGGCGGCAAGGAATTGGCCATCATGTGGCGTCCCCCAGCAGAGTTCACACCGAAAGCCTTTAAGGTCACGGAGCTGCAGGCGTGCACGCCCTGCGACAAGGGCAAGGTTCAGGTGGTGAGGGAAACCCTAGTGGAGGACTTCAAAGTGCTGCTCAAAGACTTTTACCTGCGCATCAGCACGCCGGAAGAGCTCAGGCGTGAACAGCGGGAGCACACAAATCCCAAGCGATATTTCAATGCCAAGAGCCAGGAGAAGGAAGCCGCCTGTTCCAAGCCAAAGAAGCGAAAGCTGGCCAAGGCAGCCAAGGTGCAAGCTCCGCTGAAAAAGAAATCTCTGATTAAGAGCCGACCCCTGAAATCGCTGAGCTAGTTATAGCTACTACTTCGTATATATAGAAACCAGATGTAAAGTAAGGATACACCGAAAAGGATTCATAATTAAAGCTAGAAGATTTGTTAAGCCGGACAAAAATTTATAAATTAGCTAAAGAAAATATTGGACAATGGAATGCTTAGTCAGTCTTATTGCTATTCGCTGTCCTGCGATTGGTCGGTTTGATTCTGCCTAACAGATGAAGAGTCGTCGTCCTCTTGCTCAGAGAAGTGCACACATCGAACGCCCTTTGAGGCGGTGGCCACCGCCTGGTGGCGACACGGACAGGAATTTGCTTTATCCTTTTGGGAGCTGCTTTGTTGATCCACAGCCTGCTCTAATGGGTAGCCACTTGACTGATCTTGGGAACAGAAAAACAACTGATCTTGTGTCGGATCTTGGCCAGTGGCACGAAACTGATTTTGGGGACTGGTCCCAGTCTGATATTGTGGACAGCCAGAAGACTGATCGTGTGCATAATCTTCAGATTGAAGGTGGGACTGATAGTCTGCATATCTACTTTGTTTTTGTGGAGAAAAGCTGTAGGGATGACGTCTCGGCACGTCCGTGTATGTGCACGTTTGTTGCTCATTGTCGTGACGACTGGGATACTTGGACAGCTTAACGAACACATTTGCAGTTGATTGCTTATCCTTGGACGCCTTAACGGAACCATTGGCAGTTGAATGCTTGGACTGGGACTCCGCATCCGACATATCTGCGATTGACGACCTGGTCTGGCAGCAGGCATTGCGTCCAACTTGAAAATGACAGCTGGTATGCTGGCACCTCAACTCTGGCGGCTCGTGCTGGCAGCCACAGTTTTTGGTCAGGTTAGAGGTAGAGGTGGCCGCACTGTTGGGCGAGCACGTGGGATTTGACGGTTCAGTGGACGCATCGGCCACACTGCGTGGGGCCGGCTGAAGATAGATTGAAGATGTTGTCGACCTGGTCTGGCAGCAGGCATTACGTCCAACTTGGGAATGACAGCTGGTATGCTGGTTCCTCGACTTTGGCGGCTCGTGCTGGCAGCCACAGTTTTTGGTCAGGTTAGAGGTAGAGGTGGCCGCACTGTAGCGCAAGGTTGTGTGATTTGAGGGTTCAATCTCCACCTGCTTGGACCAGGCCAATTGGGTGGACACATCGGCCACATTTCGTGGTGCCGGCTTGTCATCCTCCATAGGCTTCTTCGGAACAAACAGATCCTGCAGCGCACAGCTCGGAGGCGTTGCATAGGCCAGCGCCAGAGGTGTGACGAGGCCGCCAAAGTAATTGACTGGATCTGCAGCCGGTGCCGCTGCTGTGGGAAACATATGGCCATTGGGCATAATCCGAGTGTAGCTCAAATAGCGAATATCCTCCGTTCGTCTGACGTCCTGCTGGGTGAGCACAAACATCTCATTGCCCACCATTATGGGGACTACAATGCGGGTTTTAAGTTATCTTCGGGCAATGCTCTTCTGAGAGGTAGAGTCTGGCACTTACTTTGGACCAGGGGAGCCGCCTCCTCTGACACCTGCAGCAGCTTTCTCACATTGTTGGCGGCCATTGTCTTGGGTAAGAACTGGAATAATTTAAAAAATATTTTCTAGAAATTTTTTCTGTATATTTTTGGATAGTTTCTCTTTAAACATTACACAAAACACAAAGGGGCCAAAAAATGGCAAAATGTTTGATTGAATCAACGGAATATAAAGAGTACGGATACAGATTCAGATACAGAAATAATTCAATATGAAGTTTTCTACACGGATTTAAGATTTAACTTAGTTCAATCTTTAACTATTAAATCTACAATTGCCACCCGCTGCAAAGTACTTTAAGAACAAAGACCTTGTTATGTACTTCATCAATGTGTATGGCTCGCATCCCTAAATTATTAATGTTTATGCCGAAATGAAGTTCGGAACTTTTCGAGCGCATCTAGAGCCAACTTTTGATGGCTAAAGAGTTGTCCCGACCTGGCAGTCCTTATTATCCATAGACTTATGTGCAATTCTGTATTTTCAGCTCCGATTAGTCTCCTCTTTGGGCACGACACCAACTCCCGATGCAGTAGCAGCAGCGGCGGCAGCAGCATCCTTCTCTTTGTTACCAAAATCGGGATACAGCTTGGCAATCTGTCCGTTGGGTGTGCAGATGCGACCCGAGAAGTCTAAACGTTTATTGGACTGACTCCGCTCAGCAGAGGAAATGATGTCCAGCAAAGATCTAAAACACGAGTAAGGGAAAGGTAAAAACATAAGGGATTCGGCTTGTGCTTACCTTGTACCACAGTTGGACATGCGTCGCTTGCTGGCTTTCAGCAGGCTATTGGAATTGATGCTGCTACTGACATTACTGGCACTGCTCATGGCCTCCAGGCGCTCGGGCGACAGGGGAGACTCCGTAAAGGAACGGAGTGTGGGTGTGCCTGCATCCGATTTGGTGGGGGCATCGCCATACGCGGCGCGCAGTGTTTGCAGGCTCTCCAGCAGATTCTTGTGATGCACTGTGCTGGCATTCAGCTGGATGAGCTGCTCCAACTCCCTGTACAGCAGTCGATACTGATCCTTGGCCTTGTGGGGCTTTAAACTGCAACATTTAAGGAGTTTCGTAAACGAATTCAATGAAGGGGAATTGAAAGAATTTTCATACCGCGCTCCGTTCGTGTGGGTAAAGGGTAAGACATCGCCTCGAGAGGCGCTCTTGTAGAGCTCATGGATGTGCTGCTGGCAGCGCACCTCGTCCTGTTTGTCCATATCCTCCTTGAGCAGCAGATGGAGGAAGTGCGGCAGCCAACTCAGATGCCGCTGCAGATGGAACAGCACTGTCGAGGTGGTGGTCAAGGGGAAGTAGCGGGGCAATCGTCGGGGCAAATTCGGAGCTGCAGGATCTCTGGATTTAAGCGGCACCATGCGCGACATCTTCATGAGCTGTCCCAGCTCCGATGTGCGATAATCGGTCACTCGTCCGCCGGGGCCGTCGGTAATGGACGGAGCCTCGTCCATGCAGGATCGTGTGATGCACAAAGAATGAACAAAGATCTCTCCGCCGCGGGCAGACAGCATGTGGCTGGTCGCCTTGGAGCCGGTCTTTCGGGGCATCTCCAGCAGGACGGAGCGTCCATTCAACAGGAAGTTGATCAGACAGGAGCTGGGCCGCGACGTAACGTCCACGGGCGTGACCAGAAACTGGCCCAAGCACGGCTGCAGATCAGCCGAACCGCAGCCACGTGGTGTGCACCATTTGAGGGTCACCGTCTCGTATGTTGCCCCCTGCTTGATGCTGGTGGGCAGACTGAAGTCCGGGCCACACGTAATGGAATGGGCACGGCGGGAATGCAGGATCTCCACATCGTAGTTGGCACTGGAATTGGCGTTCTGCTCCTCCTTCATCGGTATATTCGTCACCGTTGTGCTCGCCAGATCGTAGTGATCCAGAATGAGATGTGTCAGCTTGTAGGATATGTCCGGGGCACCCACTGTATGGATTTCCACATCCAGCAGCGGCGAAATTGCGAGCAGATTGCGATTGGTCACCATCGAATCGATGCCCAGAGGAACAATATTGAGAATCACGAGGTGACAGTGATTGATGCCCAATCCCTTCTTTGGGGGCGTAGCGGACAGGACATTCTGCTGGATGAGCACCGTGTTGAAGATGTCCTCGAGGCTCTTCATGCTGGTGTTGTCCCGCGCCGAGGTGATGCATATGACGCGTCCCTCGTTGAGTATCTGGTCATTGGGTATACCGCTGGCCATGGCCTGGATCTGCTCGTCCGTTGGCTCTGCCAGCGCCTCAATGGCCGCCCGGAGCCCATGGATCACCGAGTAGTCCGATGACTGGGGCATGCTGCGCGATGGTACGCCCACCATGACCATGGCATTCATCACATGCGACATATTCTGAGTGCTGGCGCTCCACGTGTTGACGATGTGGGCCGCCGTGTCCGAGACTATGAAGCGCACATGCTTCTTTCCCGGAAACAGGTCCCAGACGACGCGACAGTACTCGATGGAGGATTCGCAGGCGCAGGTCCACAGACTCTTGCTAAACTGTGAGCCCGAACCGGAGCTGTGGCCAGAGGGCTTGCCCTTCAGAAAGTCCATGGATATGTACTCCTCGCTGGCAATGCTGAAGTAGCGCGTGTGGTCCAGCACAAAAATCGTCTTTTGGTTGCGTTCGAACATGGTGGGGGACGGACGCGACGCCTAAAAAATCAAACCAAACAAAAATAATGCAATTGTTTGCTGGAGAAACAGCTGATTGAGTGATTTGAAAAAATATCAAATTGATATTCGATATATCGCTGCACAGTATCGATACATGCCAAATTTTTCATAGTTCAATTTAATTCCTGAAATTTAACTCCGGTGCTTTATCTTTTTGCTGTACAAATTGCAATACTTTCCAATTTTTCTAGAAAATTCGGAAAATTTATGGACATTTGCGCAACAAAATATCACGATATAAATATTTATAAATATCGATATATTGTCATTTGGATATTTTGACAGCACTAAATCAGAATCACGTTGTACGGGCGTAAAACTTGGATTTACATTATTTAAATACTTGTTGACATTGCACACTCATTCATTAGTGAAACACGAAGTTTAGTCCAGCCATTTATCAGTTAAAACAGTCATGTCGTGGTTATTGGGCAGAAATCGTCAGCAACCGCAGCCGGATCCTTCTGCTGGCGGCGTAGATGGAGCCGATCCCGAGGGTAAAACTGCCGGTGGGCGGACCGGCGATGCAGAGCTAACACGTGCCGAGCGCAAGGCCATGGAGGCCTACCGCTTTGATTCATCGGCACTGGAGCGGGCCGCAGATGCCGCCAAGACCCTAGAACGTTCAAGTAAGTGGAAAATTTCATCAGCCAATTGCATAATCGCCATGCGCCCCCAATGCTATCAAAGCTTGGTCGCGTGTGTGTGTGTGTGTGTGCTTTATTGTATGAATGTGTGTGACCTATGATAATCTGCTTGCAGAACATGCTCGCGAGGCTTTGGAGTTGTCCAAGATGCAGGAGTCCACCCGCCAGGCGGAGTACAGCACCAAGGTGAAGGAGTATGAGGCGCACATCGAGCAAGCCAAGGTCGAGCAGCGCCGCATTGATCACGAGGAGCGACGCAAGACCCTGATTGAAGAGACAAAACAACAACAGCAGCGAGCCCAGTATCAGGATCAGTTGTCACGCAAGCGGTACGAGGACCAGCTGGTCCAACAGCAGCGCGTTCAGGAGGACAATCTTCGCAAGCAAGAGGAGAGCGTACAGCGGCAGGAGGCCATGCGCCGTCAGACCATCGAGCATGAGATCGAGATGAAGGAGAAGAATCGCTTGAAGCTGCTGGAGCACGAGCTGAGGGCCAAGGCGCGCGTGGACCGTGAGAATCGCGATCTGAACTTGGAGAAGATTCGTCTGAAGGCGCAGGAGCATCGAACCACTGTGATGGAAGGCATCAAGTGAGTAGTTTCTAATAGAACAACGTTTAGATGTCATTCAATTATTTTTGTTTGCTTGCAGAACGGCGGGATCCGTGATTGGAGCTGGAGCTGAGGCCATGCTCACCGATTGGGACAAGGTGTTGACTGCCGCTGGCGGCCTGTCGCTGCTTGCCCTGGGTGTGTACACGGCGAAGGGTGCCACCGGCGTTGTTTCCCGCTACGTGGAGGCGCGCATCGGCAAACCATCGCTGGTGGGCGAGACCTCGCGCTTTGCCTTTCTCGATGCCGTTAAGCATCCGTTGAACTACATCAAGCGACTGCGCTCCAAGCCAGCCGATGCACTCCAGGGCGTTGTTCTCAATCCGAGCCTTGAGGAACGTCTTCGCGACATTGCCATTGCCACAAAGAACACACGCATCAATCGTGGCCTCTACAGGAATGTGCTGATGCACGGCCCGCCTGGTACCGGCAAGACCATGTTTGCCAAAAAGTTGGCCGAGCACTCTGGCATGGACTTTGCCATCATGACCGGCGGCGATGTAGCGCCCATGGGCAAGGAAGGCGTCACAGCCATACACAAAGTGTTTGATTGGTCGCACGCCTCGCGCCGCGGTCTGTTGCTGTTTGTGGATGAGGCCGATGCCTTCCTGAGGAAGCGTTCGTCGGAGAAGATATCGGAGGATTTGCGGGCCGCTCTGAACGCCTTCCTGTACAGAACATCCGAGCAGAATCCCAAATTCATGCTCGTTCTGGCCTCGAATACACCCGAACAGTTCGATTATGCCATCAACGATCGTCTGGACGAGATGGTGGAGTTCACGCTGCCCGGCCTGGAGGAGCGTGAGCGTTTGTTGCGTCTCTACTTTGACAAATATGTGCTCCAGCCGGCCGCATCTGGCGCCAGGCGCTTCAAGTTGGACACTTTCGACTATGGCAAGACTTGCTCAAAGATGGCTGTGCTGTGCAACGGAATGTCTGGACGTGAGATCTCCAAACTGGGCGTTTCCTGGCAAGCAGCCGTCTACGCCTCCGAGGACGGCGTCCTGTCGGAGAAAATGGTTCTGGACAGATGCTATTCGGCCGCCGAGCAGCACAAGCAAAAGGTGAGTTTTTCTACAATACAATGGTGTTGCCATTTGCTAACAATAATTGTTCAAATACCTTTTCGTAGATGGCTTGGTTGTCGGATCAGGAGCGAGCCGACCATAAATCGATTACGGGCGGAACTATAGCCCCACCCCTAACACTCACAGCCAACAAATTGTGAGCTGGTGGTGATCATGGAGCACCTGGAGGATAGTAGGCAGCGGCTGCCAGACAAACTCCATTGACTCACATGTTTAGTTTTTAAATGTCCTAACTTTAAGTTGGTAACGCACAGGGCTTTTTCTGATTAATGGATACCAAAACAACAGCTGAGATCAACCTACTATGTGTATATTTATTTACGTATATGCATTTGACTTATTGTACAAACAAAATCCATGATAGACTATCGCGTGTTCATCAATGCAATTAAGTTTTACCTACTGATAATTGTATCACTAACGCTATAGTAACTCTCAATAGTATGTACAAAAAGAGCTGCATTTTCGGCACCTGTTGTTGCATTTAGTAAGACGAAGCTTTGGATGTATATTTTAAATTTTAAATTAAATTGCCGCGCCGGCACTGTGAGAGATTTATATTAAACTTCTCGCCGGCGTTGGCCATTCATTTGACTCTTTCGCCTGTGTTTTCCTATAAACGAATATGAAAATATAAACTTAGATCACTTGTTAAGGATTGTGTTTTAATCTCTTTATCATCGTTAGTTTTTATCGGGGGTTTTGATATAAATATCCGCACTTCGTGTGGCAGGAGCAGTACCATTCACGTTGCAGCACTTGTTGCTGGTGGCAGGGTGATGGCACAGGTACGGAGATTGCTGCGGGCATTCAATCGTTCGCATAACATTACCCTTGGCCTAAATTGTTACGTACATCAGAGAGAGAAGTAATAGAACCTTGCAATCTTTCAGCTGCCTAATTCGTGGCCGTGAACTCCATATACATCCACATACATATTGTAAAGGGACTGCAGGAAAATAATTGAATTGATTAAATATATGGTATTGAGATAAATAATTTATAAACAATATTACCATCTCCAAATATCCGTACCGGTCCAACAAATTGTCAAATCATACAGGGCAGAGAGACCTTCTTTGAAATACTTTCCGACGTGGTCCTTTTGTTCGTCAACAAATTCCCACGCGCGTATTCTTTGTACCTCCTTGCTTTTGCCGCCCCAGCTATTAAAACCGCATTATTATATTATATACACCATCAATATTACCTAGAAATAAAGTGAACCAATATAAAATATTAATACAGTCCTTTCATTAGCAACCAAACGAACAAGAGAATCGGAATGCAGAACAGTTTGGGTTTGCAATCCTTGGTAAACAATTTCTCTGCACTGACAAAAGCTAAAAAATAGCCCGAACGCCTTTTTAAATTTAATAATTTTTTCGTATTTAAATTAGACGTATACGCCGCAGCGCCACGCCACGCCGCCGCCGCAACTGAATCCCGTAAATAACGGCGCGCGGCGTTCCGCGTCATAACTATTTATACGAGGAGGATTTTTATTTTGTTTAAAATCTATATTTGTCTGTTTTTAAATCCTTAATAAACATTTGAAGCAGGGAGCATTTATAGTAATATTTTGAATATCAAACAATACAAATTGTATATAGTTTTTAATGAAATTCTTCGATGATAATAATTATTTGTGTTAAGACCAATTATTTGTGTTAATTATTATCAGTAATAATTATGTTTCAGCAAAAAAGTAAAACTGAAAATTAATGATTAACTTATGAGTTTTATTTTATCGCTCAGAAAAGTCATCAAATAATGATTATTTTTTAGTCTTAATTTTTTTAACTCAAAAATAATTATTATGGATAATTATTAATAATAGTTAATAAAAAAATAATTATTACCACAGACTATTATCCTTGAAACTTTCAATTTAACAATTTTAGTGGATTTTTTTTAGATTTATAGAAGTCTAATGGTCTATTAAATTCTTCTGTGCGGCTATTCTAAGTGATTCAGTTTTTCATTATTTACTGTCCCTGAGTTAAATATGTTTTTTTTATATAATATTTTATTTTAAACTGCATACGCCTCCGCCGGCGAAAATGTCTTTTTATTCTCATTTCTGGATCCGAGGAGTCACGGAAGATCAAGATGGGGGCTACCAAGCAGCCATCTGAGGAGCGAGGCCTCGAGAAGCGCCTTCATTGGGACCCAGAATAGTAGTAAAACATTTTAAAACAGAAATATTGCACATTGGCTCTAATATTATTTTCAAAATAAAGGAACTTAACCGCCGCACTCGTTCCGCCTATCGCAGAAAGTACCGATGTATTTTTACCCTGTGTATCGATAAGTTGATTTAAATGTCGCGGGTATATGATCTTAGGTGAAAAAAGTGTCGATTTACTCCGAATTCCGAAAAGTAATTCTGTTGATGAAATAAATATAATATATATATAGGAAAAATATCCACTTTAATACTTTCGCCAGCACAACAAAAAAATTAATATCACCAACAAATATACTATCAACAAAAAATAAATATCGATATATTGAATTTAACATCCCTAGGAGGATCGAAGAAAATTTGTTTCGGGAGAAAATTTTGCTAAATTGCTTTACAAAATGTTTCCCGGTGGAAACGCTAATGCGGATGTTGGCTACAACAAACGCAACCACAATCAGTTCATGGCCCAGCTGCCTCCGCCGCCACCGTCACACTTTGTCCCCGCGGCAGCCGTCGCGAATCCCTTGGTGGCCACTGGGCTTCCTTTGACCATCGATTGGGCCCAGCTCGCCCAGCAATGGATACATATGCGGGACACTACTCCGGCTGGGGTCGCTATGCCCATGGCACCGCCGCCGCCCCCCATAATTGGCAATGTGTCTGGGTATCAGCAGCAGCAGATGCCGACGCTGGCCGTGCGACCGCTGGCGACCACCACGAAGATAACACGTTTTGAGGAGCACGGCGAGGCTGACATGGACATGGACGATGACAATGAGCGAGGACATGGCAGTGAAACGCCCCCGCCCGCTCCTTCCGTTACGCAATCGCAGTGGCTAGGACTCAGCGAAACAACAACCAATGCGGCAGTAGCTGCCTCCAGCATTACGGGTGAGTACAGGTAGGGACTACCTAAGTGGTCACCCTAATGCTTGTGTCTCCTTCAGGCAAGCCGCCATGGAGCCAGTGGCCTAACAAGACGGGCAATGCCTCTGCCAATCGTACAGCGCATATTCCCTCGTTGCTCAAGATCAACGTGAGCAATCCCAATGAGCCGCATCAACAGCTGCAGGCACATAATCAAAATCAGCAGCCGCCACAGCAACCACCACAAGCACATCAACATCCACATCCACATCAACATGCTCACCAACATGAGCTGCAGCCGCTGCCAGAGAGCAGCAGCAGTGGCAGCATCAGTGCCAGCAGTGAAATAGATGCCAACAAACGGAAAATGTTGCCAGCTTGGATAAGGTGAGGCCGGAAAGGAATAGTTTTGAATAAACATAAACACCAAACACCAATCACACATTACACCTGTCGTCTGTCCCTGCATTACAGAGAGGGTCTGGAGAAAATGGAGCGCGAAAAGCAGCGACAGATGGAACGCCAGCATTCCACGGGTGCTGATGCTGAGGTACTACTCCAAGCTACAAGCAATGTTAAGCAAGTATCTAGCAAAACACTAACAACACCTGTTAATCCATTGAACATCGCGAATGTGGTAAGTAAAAGGCGAAGGCATGGCCTGGTTATTATCGACTCCCATTACCATCCACCACCACCGACCAACAAAAGTGCGAAAAGTGCAACTCACACACGCGCTACACCCAATTGGTTGCACACAAACGATACCGATACCGAAAAAAACTGACTAAATGACAGACAATTTGCAAGGCATGAAATGCTGGGAACACATGAAATTTAACATGAACTTGAACATTCAGGCCAGCGACAGCGAAGATTCCAATGCTGGGGAGGAGGAGGCGGCGCACACAAAAGCATCAGTGGAACCGAAAATACTCGTAGGTAAAGATATATTGAATAAGGCTGGCTACAAAAGCAGCAGCACCAGCGGCGATGATGAGCAGGAGGAGAATGAGAAGGCGGCGGACAACAAATTCGAGTCTCTGGCGGATGCGGAAAAGGCAGACGGTGTGACAGGGGCAGCAGAAGCCCCTGGCAATGGTAAAAACTACGAAGAAAGACTCGCGGATCTGGTAGGCATTCACTATTTGACTCGGATGTATGCGCTCAGCCAGGCAATGAAATGTAATCTATAATTAAACGAATCCTATGTGAGGTTCCCACATTGCACACGCAGCAGCCGGGCACTTGAAGAAGGAGCCTGCACTGCACTCTTTTCCTATGCACACATCTTCGTTTCATTCCCTGGCCAATGGCTGCGCATCCACCAACATATATACACATATGTCCCGAATGAATCTATAAATACCAAATCTATAGATGCTTTTGGTGCGTCGCACATTAACCGAAATACTGCTGGAAACGACAAACGAAGAGATTGCAGCCATTGCAGCAGAAACATTAAAAGCGCATCGCGCTAAAGGTACATTATAGACATTATATTCCCCCCCCCCCAAAAACCCGATCTCTTCCAGCGTTCAACTGGCGTGTGTTTTGTTGGTGTGTAAGTATCTAGAACATAAGATGACGGAAGATCTCTCCATCGAATGATCCTTGCTTGGAAGAGAACACGAACCGAAAACTCTCTCTGTCTCTCGTCTCTCTCTCTCTCTGTGTGACTTGTTAACGAGATCCTTGTGAGATGACTCGGCCATCGATCGCGTTCTTGATTTTATGGTTTCTTTAATTATTATATTGTTATCTTATGTCTCAAATCAAACACAAAACACAAACCAAAATGAATCCCTTGCTGAACAATTTATAATCGTATTATATAATATACTACTATATATATATATGTATGTGTGTAAATCAAAAGCATCATCAGCCCAAGTGATTCGCAAAAGCGCCTTGTCCTCCATTACCGGCAATCTGGGTAAGTCTACAATATTCAATATGAATATCCCTATGTTTCGTTTTGCACTATTTTTTTCGTTTTAAAGGTAGTCTGAGTTATGCTTAAAGACCCCACCCTCCCCCTCTCCCACTCTGCAGCCCCCTTTGTAGCCCCTCAATTTATCCCCTCTTTCCCAAAAACAAAAGTTGGTTCTTATAATTGGTCGGGTTGAGTCTATAACTTCCTTTTCCTTCCACCCTTTTTGGTGAAGTTCGAGTCGTTCGTCTCTCATTACCCCCCCACCCCCTTCTTCTATGACTATGTCTCTCTGTCTGTCTCTGAAAATGTTTCCCAAAACGAATTCGTAATGAAGTATTCCCATAAACTGCGCCCGATTAGCATCGCGATTGTCTCTGGTAGCCACAATTAGCACTTGACTGATTTGAATTATAGGTTTAGCAGCCTATGGCGATTCTTCCAGCGAAAGCGATGAGGATGAGGAAGATGAGGAAGGCGCGCGCAATGCAGAAGCAGCAAAGGATCCTGATAAAAGCGTACAGCTCAGCGCGGAGGAGTTGAAGGTTAGTTGGATAATCCGTCCCTTCTCTTCCCATGATCCTGGTATTAATAAATCTCTTTCCATAGGCTCGCATACGACGTAGCAAACGAGCGTTTGAAAGAGTCATTGATGACATTGAGGATCGCGTGGCCAAGCAGGAGCAGCGCGATGAGCAGACACTGCAGAGACATCGCAAGCAGGAACGAGAACGTTCAGATGCTGACAAGGAAAGGCGACGTACCCATAGTAATCCTGAACCGCCTGGGGAGACAACTGCTAAACATCCCACCCACCACGATAAGCTGCTCCAGTTTAATGGTTTGTCAATAGAATTTGAACCACAATGCATTTATCTCATATATGTCTCATATCCTTTCCATCGGCAGGCAAACGGGCGAGTCGCAAGGAGCGCACCACTCGCTTCAGCGACAATAAGGATGGTAAAAGCTCGACGGCAAACTACGCCCAAATAGTCGCCAGTGCGCCTGTGAGCTCTAGCTCGGTGCTTACCAAGATGAAGCCTGTCCCCAATTTGGCCACCAATCTGCTACAGATGCCGGAGGCAGTGGCCTGCATGCTGAGTGCTGCAGAGAAGGCCCTCAACAAGGCCAACAAATCGTCACGAAAGTCAAAGAGCAAGCGGCACCGCTCGTCGACATCGTCTTCCTCTAGCAGCACGAGCAGCAGTAGCTCTAACAGCGACAGCGATGACAGCCACAGCATCTCCGGCAGTTCCAAAACTTCCAGCAGTCGCGGCAAGAGCAGCAGCAGCCGCCGGACAACAAGCAGTCGCCGTGATCAACGCGATCGTGCTGGCGGCGGCAGCAGCAGTAGTCGGAGTAAATACGAGCGCCGCGATCATGAGAGGGAACGAGAGCGACGTCCCCGGCGCAATCGGACCCATTACATCGGTGGCAGGCGGAACAGCAGTAGCCAACAGCATCATCAGCGACGGACTCGTGAATCGAGCCACTCTGGCGATGACGATGCTCGACGCTCCTCGCGGCACAGCAGCACTCGCAGCAGCCATGCCAGCGGCTATGACCATAGACATCGCTCTAGATCCCGATCGAAATCGCGTAGCACTCACCACTCCAACTCGTATTCCTCCTCTTCCGCGTCGCATCAGCGCAAGCGCCACTAAAAATACAACTACTTGCAACTATTAATTGTTAAATGTACATTTTCTCTAATTTCTTCTTCAGTTTTAAATGATTTTAGTTGTCAACAGCTTTTACTCAACCTAATAAAAAGATATTAATCAATGCTTAAACTAATTTATGGACAGAATGCGTATGCATATACATATACATATATCCTCCAGACGATCCAGATCTTGTGGGTTAATAAATAAAATAAATATACCCCCGCCCCTAAATATTTAAGTCTTAATTTGTGATCTTAAAGCTAGTCCCCAATTTTTCAATTAATTATGCCTTTTGACCATCTTGGAAAAGGGATCACCGTAGTCGACCTTGCCGATCTCGTAGTGGGACATGTTGTTGCGATGAATGGTTAGACAGGCGCCGCTCTTGAAGGTCCAGTCACAGACGCCACACTTGTAGATCAGGAGCGGCTTCTCCGGAGGGGAATACTGTTTTGGCGACGGTGGCTGCGGCTCTGATGGCGACGCCTGGGGCTGGTTAAGTCGATCCTCGGAATCTCGCTTCAGCCGCATACGTTCAATATCCTCCGCTCGACGCATGTTGACACGCGCATTTACATACGGATCGTCAGTGGTATCACCGGAGCTCAGGTTTCCAGATGTTGCCATGTGGTGACCTTTCTGATTACGATGGACGTTCAGTAGGGAGCCAGAGACAAAGCTATCCCCGCATACATCACACTTGTAGGGCCGCTCGCCCGTGTGACGTCGCATGTGGATCTTCAGGTCGTTGGATTGCACGAAACTCTTGTCACACTTGTCGCAGGCATACGGACGCTGGCCTGTGTGTAGGCGCATGTGTCTGGACAGCTTGTTCTGGGATATGAATTTCTTTGAGCAGATTTTGCATTCGCTGGGTCTTTCGCCCGTGTGGTGTCGCATATGCAAGCTTAGGTCCTGGCTGCGCGGAAAGGCCTTCTCGCACTGCTCGCATTTGTACGGATACTCGCCAGTGTGCCGACGTATGTGGATGGTCAGGCTGGAGGTGGGAAAACTAATGCCACAGTGGGGGCACTCACGACGCTTGGCCGTGCGCTTCCGCTGCGAGCTGGCAGTTGACTCAGTATCATCTTTGGCCGCTTCCTCTGGATGGAATGCCTGCATGTGACGACGCAGTGTGTCCTGCCGCTTCAAAATGCGTGGACAGTGCTTGCAGGTGAGCACGCCGCTTCCACTGCTCTCGTTTGCCAGCTCCTGGGCGGCCACGTCCGCGGTCTGACTGTGGGCAACGGCGATGTGCCGTGCCAGCGAATCATTTTTGGCAAAGGCACGCGGACAAATGGCACACTTAAAGATGAAATTCTGTGAGTGGGTCAGCCGACTGCCCAGCTGAGAGGGACGCGGCTTTGTCGCAGAGGCAGCTTCCTCTTTCTCCTCTTTCACATCCGTATTTTTGTCATCCACATTTTGTGCAGCATCCAAGTCTTCTGCCTCTAATGGTATTTCAGTCTCCAACTCTCCTAGATGCTCTGTTTTGTAAATTGGCTCGATAATCGTTTCTGCTTGTGAAAAGGGCACGGGCACATCGACCACAGCTTCAGCAGCGTCCTCTGCTTCCATCGTCACAGCCACCTCCACAGTGTCACAGATGACGGGCAAAAACTCGTCCTGGCTGCACAGTTCCAGAACCTCCACATGGGTCGTCTCCTCCGGTTCCTTCATCACAAGGTACAAGTTCTGCAGCGTGTGCTGTGCATTCTCCACATCGAGAATAAACTCATAGGCGGCTATCAAGCGGCGTGTGCAATTCTGGCACAAACGGGTCGGCATATCTGCCTCGTTCCAGGTGCACTAGAGAGATGTATATTATAGCCATGGCCACATATATTTCATGTTTTATGGTTTTACCTTTACTTTGGAGACGATTTCCAGCAGTTGCCACAATTCAAAGTTGAGCTCATTGTACTGGATCTCGTCGTGCAGACGCAAGGCGCCCTCGTTTGTCTCCAGACAGACGCGGCAGCTTAGATGGTTAATATTAATAACTTGATTCGGCATTATATTATACATTACATCGAAAAATTGTAATATTTTGTTTTTTTCACAACAAATTTTGTCCACAGCTGGTTTAGAGATGGGATGGGCAATGCACAGTCACGGAAATGTACGATATTACAAAACGTGAAGGAACATGTTTATTCTACATCTGGAATGTAGATTATACATATGCAATGTAGAATCTACATATTCTCCGCAAAGGTCAAGCATTGCATAGGGCAGAGTGTGTGCGAGCGAGAAAGAGAATAAGCACAAAAGGAATAACGTCAGCAGCTTCGGAGGAGGTGGGGGACGCAACTGAAAATGAATTTCTTCATTCTGACAAAAATTAAAAAAAAATGTTTTCCATGTGTGTTGTTACAGAAGAAAATCTATATATATTTTTCAGTTTCACTTGATCTCGAGGGATACGAAGTTAATGACATTGTTGTTTTCAAACGGCCGCCTGAAGACCCAGGGTGTGTTTATTTCGTCGTCCCAAAAACGGATATAATTATATACAAAACACAAATCAAATGCATTAATAGGTACAAAAATATGTCAATCTAAGACAAATTCAATATTAATGTTTCTTTTTTTTTTTTTTTGGTATTTAATCGCTGCCGCGAAATTGGAAATTGTTTCAAAACAGCTTAGAACAACAATATTTAGCTACTAGCTAGTACTTTGAATGTTTTGGAGAAACAATCGATACTATGGTAATAGTATCGGGCTCAAATAATTATTAAAAAACCATTGAAACCTCTTAGGAACTTGTCCATTTTAAAAGTTAGATGCCACCTGTCGATTTGTTAAAAAATTTGTCTTCGTATTTTATAGCAGCCAATACAAACATATTAAAAGCGCAGCGACTGTAGCTCGATACTAGTCTCAAAACCATCGATAGTAGAGGCTAGCAGCAAAATATCGATACTATCGATAGTGCCCTCTTTGGTTTGACACCTCTACTTTCCTAATTCAAACGAACGGCATTTTTCAGAGGAATTTTCGTGATTTTTTTGCCCAATTTGTTTTGTATTTGTTTTAAATTGACGAGAATTGTTCATAAATTGATTGCGTGTGCAAACATGTCCCATCAGTCCAACAATGTGTTGCGTCCGAAAGAAAATGACATGGCCAGAAAGCCAGAGGCGGCAGCCGCCGCACTTGGCATGCAGAGGAAAAATTCGTTGCTGACAAAAAAGGTGAGTTGGGAGACTGCCGTCAATTGTTAATTTACTAGAGGCTAATCATTTTATAACATAGCCGACAAGCGAGAATATGGCACCAGGCAACAAGCTTCTTCCGCCGGTATCGGCCAAAACGGCTACGACAATTGCGCGTCCTGCAAATAAAGCCGGGTTCAGGAATTTCCGACCAAGCAGCAGCATGGTCAAAATTTGCGAAGCCACTTGTGCCCACTGCAAGTACACTAACGAAAACCACCTCGGAGTTTGTGGCGCCAGCTCCTTTGAATGAATCCAAAAAGACTAGCGCTGGCCCAGTGGAGAAACCATTAGCCACAGGCACAGAAGCCGCTGGGTCTGCTGCATCGACTTCATCCAGCTCTACAAACAGCACTGGCAAAGAGAAAGGCAAGACTGGTGAGTATTTCTACTGGTTTCATCTCTACTTGGCTTGTGTAATTTACTTTGGTGTAATCCCAAACAGAAAACCAGCCCCCGAAGCCAAAGAAAACTTGGGAGCTGAACAACTTTGACATTGGCCGTCCACTGGGACGCGGAAAGTTCGGCAATGTGTACCTGGCACGCGAGAAGGAGTCCCAGTTCGTTGTGGCCTTGAAGGTCCTGTTCAAGCGTCAGATTGGGGAGTCCAATGTGGAGCATCAGGTGCGCCGGGAGATCGAAATACAATCGCATCTGCGGCATCCGCACATTCTTCGTTTATACGCCTACTTCCACGACGATGTGCGCATCTACTTGATCCTGGAGTATGCTCCACAGGGTACGCTCTTCAATGCGCTGCAAGCTCAGCCGTTAAAGCGCTTCGATGAACGCCAGTCGGCCACCTACATCAAGTCGCTCTGCTTGGCCCTCTTGTATCTGCACGAGCGTGACATAATCCATCGCGATATCAAGCCGGAGAATCTCCTGCTGGGCCACAAGGGTGTGCTGAAGATAGCCGATTTCGGGTGGTCAGTGCACGAGCCCAACTCCATGCGCATGACGTTGTGCGGCACTGTCGACTATCTGCCACCGGAAATGGTCCAGGCCAAGCCGCACACAAAGAACGTGGACCTGTGGAGCCTGGGTGTGCTCTGCTTTGAGCTGCTGGTGGGTCATGCCCCATTCTTATCGAAAAACTATGATGAGACCTACAAGAAGATCCTCAAGGCGGAATACAAGCTGCCGGAGCACATTTCCAAGGCGGCTGCTCACTTGATATCCAAGCTGTTGGTCCTCAATCCGCAACATCGGCTGCCCCTGGATCAGGTGTTGGTGCATCCATGGATTCTGGCGCATACGAAGTGAACGCAACGGAACCATTGACGTTTTCTCGTTTCTTTTTATTATTTATATTGATTTTGAGTTATTTCCTAGTTCATACGAGTATTTGAGTTTTAGTTTTGTCGCGCCGCGTAATATAATTATGGCATTTAAGATCATTTCATCATTTAGCAAGCTACAAGAAAAATTAACATTTATGCATTTAGTTTTATTATCATTAAAAATAAAGATTGTGAGTGTGTTCCGAATGCTAGGCGTGTTTCGTGTTTCGTGTCTCGCGAATCTCTTCTCTTACTTTTTCTAAATATTTATTCTCTATCGAAATCGAGTTTATTATGTTTTGGGGCAGAGACAAAAACGCAGGCAGCATGCCCTTGTCCAAATGCAAGTGGGTGTCAAACGTTTTTATCACAGAAAACAAAGTATAAAACGTACAAGATGTCTGATTGAATGCAAAGCCGAAGCGCGATTAAAACTGTGATGAAATGTGGTTGAGAATTTCTAAGTATCGATAAAACGAAAAGAGAATGCAACTATCTTTGTGACACATGCTGAACAGAACCCAGTTTTCTTCCATCTTTCCATACATATCTGGCTGGGTTTTTGTCATTTAAAAAGAAATATTGATAATGATGAGACTGAACTTTACTTATCCACTAAGTAGATCTATCCTTTAGGCCGTGCTAGCACTGCTCGCAACATTTTACTCTAGTCTTCAATTATAATACATAATCCGTGTATTCGTTGATCCGATTTTAAGGGGAATTGTTTGTGTGTTTGTTCTGGAAATTTGTTCAATGCTCTGCTCTGTGCGAGCACGGCTTTAACTTAAAAAAAGGTTGTCAATCCTTTGCACACATGCCGCTTTAAGCCTAATCTGACGCCTAATTTCTAATGGCTTCGCCTCCCTTCTTACGCGCCACATTGGAGTAGTCATCCTCTGGAAAAACACAAGTGGTTAGTACACCTACAATTCATAGAATATGTACCATTTAATTGACTAACCATCTTGATCCTCATCCATGGCATCCTCGAGATGTATGCCCTCGGCAAACTCTTTGCCTTGGTCGGCCGCTATCTCGTTATTTAGATTGTCCGTATCGAGCAAATGCTGCGGCTGCTTTACAGCCACATCGCCCACATCATCGTCGTCGTCACCCTCACCACCGCCGGCTGCTTCGCCCAATTGCTTGACAGCATCATCGGCTGCCGGGCCAGGACCAGGCGCTGGCAGCTCCCCGTCGAAAAGATTTTGTCCGGCTGCAGGCAAATTGAAACTGGGCTCGTTCATGGCATCCTTGACTTCATGCGCACCCGAGTCCTCATTGGGTTTGGGGGCCACGCCCAAGTTCTTGTTCGTCTCGAGATCATTTACAACATTCGCATAGCGGTTGTTGTTCTCATTTTTGGGCAGCTCTTCGGCCGCTGTGTCCACGTCCACAGCATCGCCCTTGGCGTCTACTTTGTTGTCTTCGAAGTTGTCGGGTATGGGAGCCACATTCTCCGGAAGCTTGCGCTCTGGCTTGGCCGGTGGCAGTGCCAGGGGCGGAAGTCCACTACTGCTGCTACTGAGTCTGGCAGCAACTGAAGCACTCGGAGCATCGCCAGCACTCTTGACGGCTGTGCCCGCAGTGCTGCTCTTGCGCGGTGCACTCAGCGGCGAAACGGGCCCGCCGGCTAGCTGCGGCTCCTCTTGCTGCTGCTTTTCAGTCAGCGATTTGGGTACAATCTGAAAATTTTCGACAGAGTTTAGTATCAGACTGTGATTGTTGCGCACGGCAAAGGGCAAGAGTGGCAGCTGTTCCTGCTTCTGCTCCACCTCCCGCTGTTGCGGCTGGATCTGCTCCATCACCCCGCCGCCACCAGCTCGATTAGTTGGAGTGTTAGTATTATTAGTGGTTTGGTTTTGGTGTTGGTTAGTTGGTAGAAGATTTACCCCGCCGCCAATCCTGTAGACGCCTTCACTCACTTGCAATTGCGCGTTGAAGGATTTATCGTTGCGCGGCTTGTCAATGCTGTGCGCCTGCTGCGAGGGACTGGAGTGACGCGTTGTGGGTGTCATTTCCGCGGGCTTGTTCAACTGCTGTTGAACGCCAGTTTGTGCTGGTGCCTCTGCGGGCTGTACCTTTGGTATGTAGTGGCAGTTGCCTTTGTATTCGGTCAGAGTCGCTTCCAAAGCATGTATCTTGTGCTCCGATTCGCGTTGCAGCTTATCATGCTTCTCCTAAAAAGGGATATGCATTGAGAGAAGTTTGAACATTCTTGCCTTACTATCCACCCACCTTCCATGCGGCCACTTCGTGCTCCTTGGATGCCTTATCTTTGTGCACATCCGCCAGTAGTTTCTGCAGCTTCTGATCAAACGCATTCGTATCTTCGATGTGCTTCTTCTTGCTCTTGACGCACTCCCCCTCCAGCTCGGAATACTTGAACTCCAGCAGCTTGTACTTCTCCAGCTGGCCATCAAACTTCTCCTGCAGGGCACGCTCCGTCTCCTGTTGCTTTTGTATGGACTCTGCCAGTTGGTTCTCGTACTTCTCCTTTTCCGTGCGCAGCACACTCATCCTCTTCTCGGCCGTCAGTTTCTCAGCTGTTAAGGCTGCATGTTATTATCAGTTAAAAAATTCTGCTTTATCTTACATTGCATCTGAACGTTGAGACCCTCCTGAAAGGCTCGGCTTTCGTCCAATTGATGTTGAGACATTTGGTAAATGACAATCATCATGATGAGCACCACGAACATGCTCATCAGAATGCAGATGCGAACGCGCCCAGAACGCGCAAAACGTGTCGTGCTCATTGTGCGCCAATTCCTTAGTTAAACTATTGCTATTTTCTATATTTTTTGTTGAAAAATTCTGAAAAAGTTCTCAGGTGTTGCAAAATTCTTTTGTTGTGCTTCGTGGTAGTGCTGGAAAGCGGGCTTTCCAGAGTCTTAGCGATGAGCGCTAGGTACGAAACAACTATCGGCAGCAGAGAAAATCACGTATGGCCACATAAGATTAGACTTTGCTAACTTATTAACTGAAAAACCAGAAATGGATAGATTTATGGGAAAAGCATGCTGTAAAAGCGAGAGCCGTGCTGAGACGGGATGGGTAGACAGGTACGAAAACTAATTTTGAGTTTTGTCTCTCATGCTATCAAAGCCAGAAAATTATAATGTCATGGCAGCATAACAAAGTCAGTATCAGTAAACTTTCGCCCATCGCTAAGTGTCGATATTTCCTAAGCTTTTCGCGTGTTTCGCACGCCGACGACGACGACGACGGCGCGAAGAAAACGAAAAATACATTTAATTTAGTTTAATATCCGTTAATTAATCGTTCTTTAGTAAAGGCAACATTTAAGTGCACAGTAACCAAGTCAATTAACCATTCATCGAAGAAATAAGTGATAAGTGAGTTCTAGAACAAGAGGGGGTGGCATAAACAAACGCAGACGGGGGCCGCTACGCACAAATTTATTTAAACATTTAATAGCCTGCGAGGGCCACATATACAATCGTATGTGTATCATAAGAGTGCGGCAGTAAATTCAATTTATTAAAGGTGTTCTCGAGCGTTTGTTGAATACAGAAATTACGTAAAATCTCATACAAGTGCTTGTGGCTCCAGTTACCCCGATGATAGTGCCTCTATTAAACATTATCAGATGCAATTTGTTCAATATATATACAATTGTATCAACTGTTCAAAAATGTTACACGCAAGCAGGCTCTTAAGTAGTTGTCAGGCCGCTCGAAGCCTGTTCTGCCGATTTGGGCAATAATCAATAAATTGTTGTTGGACACGGCAACAGCACAACACCTCTTTGAAGCCTTAATCTTGACAATATTACCTTTTTATCAGACTTGTTTATAGTAGCTTTTGGTTACCTTGACTCGTGGAGCGTACTTGGGCCTTCTCCTCTTTTTCCTGATTATCGGAACCTTCTTCTCTGATATCTTTATGCTTGAATTATTCTTGCAAAAAGATAAAAAAAATAGTTGCGCTTATCTTCTGCGCAATGCGGGAAATAGTCCCGTTATTCCGGGCGGAGGTTCGAATAATTTGTACAAATTTAAATGCCCCTAAAAATGTGTTTAACTTGTTCGTTTAACACTCGGGTGCAATATTATCATATTTATTCACGATGTCAAACTAATGGTTAATGGTTGTTTGATATGCTGCTAATCTTCCTCGCTCCCGTGCATGTCAATAAACTTTGTACCCCCGCCTCACTCTACGCCGTTCTTATCGGCTGAGTGCAGTAAATTCTCTATCAGTTGGTCAACATATATGTGATATATATGTGATTATATGATGTATTTTTTAATTGGACTAAAGTGGTCAAGCAACAGGAACAAAGTGTACAGAAATAACAGTATACATACATAAGTATGTGTGAATATTTTTAATGATATAAACAAACCAGTTTGCACCACTTTTGTATATTTATATCATTTCATACATATTAATGTACATACATATGTATGCATATATAATTATACATTTTTTGTTTGTTTTCAGCATGGCGACGATCCAGGCAGACAAAATACCGCTACAACAGCCGAAGCACCAGCCATTCGCGTAAGTTATCAATAACATTTTAATTAGCAGGAATAGCGACGTAATCACAAAAGTAAACAATATTTAAATAAATTATTTGCTTACGGGTATGGCACTCCCCTAAAAGGGACTCAGTAGATTAATATGAAAATCGATATTCGACCTCTAATCTAATTACGTTTTTCTACCTTAACTTAACCGTAAACTATTGCATTTATAGAAGGTGGGTGTCATAACTGTACGAATAAAATTCTAAATTTCCACCAGACAATTTATTAGCTAATATTCCCCCAATGCCAACCGCCTGAACCCATCGTCTCAACAAATTTAGGGCAAAAGTGCAGTCAAGGACAGACGCTATACTCGTATGACATAATATGATTGCAAATTATTGCTGCTGCTGTTGGTTGGTTGTTCCTAGGCGGCGGTCCTTCGAACAAATGCATTTCGCTTTTGTTGGCAGCGACAGCGCGCGAAAACCCAAAAATAGACCAAAGCATCGTCTAGCTATAGATCTGAAAGATATACATTTTGATGTGTTGGCAGAGAACCAAATAGGATTTGTTCGCATATTAATGGGAAACGATTCATTGCTTTGGCCTTTCTTTTGTGTTACTTGTTAGCTCAATTAGCTGAGATACCTTTAGAAACAAAGTTGCGGGGAACATAATGAGATGTCTGGTTGGTGGTCAAGTTCAAGGCCCCCTGGTGCCTGTTGCACATGCCTGTTGCAAGAGGGAATGCAAAAGTTAACGCAGTGCAAATAGTTGTCAATTAGCCAAAAGTGTGTCGCAAGACAGACTAAACAATGCTCTCTCTGTACTCCTCGTTGCAGACTGCTGCCCAAAATCATCAACGGTGGAATTGCTGGCGTCATTGGTGTGACATGTGTGTTCCCATTGGATTTGGTCAAGACGAGGCTGCAGAACCAGCAGGTCGGTCCCAATGGCGAACGCATGTACAAGAGCATGTGAGTATATCTGCTATAGCCCTATAGAGACGATCTAATCCAATGTATAATCCCCACTAGGTTCGATTGCTTCCGCAAGACATACGCCGCCGAGGGATATTTTGGCATGTATCGCGGCTCGGGTGTGAACATCCTGTTGATTACCCCGGAGAAGGCCATCAAGCTGACGGCCAACGATTACTTCCGACACAAGCTGACCACCAAGGATGGAAAGCTACCCATCAGCAGTCAGATGGTAGCTGGTGGCTTGGCCGGAGCATTCCAAATCGTTGTCACTACACCCATGGAGCTGCTTAAGATCCAGATGCAGGACGCGGGACGTGTGGCAGCGGCCGCAAAACTGGCGGGCAAGACGGTGGAGAAGGTGACGGCCACCCAGCTGGCCTCACAGCTGCTGAAGGAGAAGGGTATCTTTGGGCTCTACAAGGGCATCGGAGCCACGGGCCTGCGAGATGTGACATTCTCGGTGATCTACTTCCCGTTGTTTGCCACGCTCAATGATCTCGGCCCCAGGCGCAAGGATGGCTCTGGCGAGGCTGTCTTCTGGTGAGAATTCAGATTGCACTGTAAATTCGTTGTATCTCGACTCACTGTATGTATTATTTTTTCCATAAAGGTGCTCCTTCCTGGCTGGCTTGGCGGCTGGTTCTACAGCCGCTCTGGCTGTCAATCCCTTCGATGTGGTTAAGACCCGCCTTCAGGCGATTAAGAAGGCCGATGGCGAGAAGGAGTTCAAAGGCATATCCGATTGCATCACGTGAGTGCTGAACCATTCACTGGCTAATACCCTATCATTGTCCGTCCACTATGTATCTCTTTACGTTTAGTAAGACGCTGAAGCACGAGGGACCCACCGCCTTCTTCAAGGGCGGCCTGTGCCGTATGATTGTGATTGCTCCATTGTTTGGCATTGCCCAGACAGTTTACTATCTGGGCGTGGCCGAGGGACTGTTGGGCGTGGAAAAGAAATAAAGGAGGACGACTTCCCCTCTTCCGACTTCCGATAAAGCGGATCGATAAGACAAAGCATTTTAAGTTTACTCTCTGAATGTTGAATGTGTATTTGTGTTTGTGTTTAAATGTTATTGTTAAAGCTGTCCAACAATGTAATTGTAAAGTCTCAAAAAGTTAGCCATCAGTCCAGAACGAACAATTGTTAAAGTTATCCATCCCCCGCCCCCCGTCCTCCTTCACTATAACCGCATACCGTATACCGACAGAATATATATGTACGTATATCATGTACAGGCCCTTGGCAGGCCTTTGCTCCTATGACAATAAGATAAAGTGGAATCAAAGCTATTATTATGTAAAATGTTTGTGTTTGCTAGTTCATTTGTGTTAGAATAATTTATAACTGTTGTTGTGTTTTGACTGTCTCTCTCTCTCTATCCCTGAACCATGCACAGATAGCCATTAACCTCTCGCTTATAATCGTATTATAAATGCATTTTTCTTTTGCTGCTAGGCCAAAGTGTAACTTTTAGTAGCGTTAAAGAACATGACTCTAGAGCAAATACTATATACTATACATGTATAATTTATAAAAACAAAAAACTGTCAGACATGAACAAACGAAATATATATCTATATACAATGTATAAAATTTAGTAGTACTTTTGTCGACTTACTGTTTAGTTGTTCCTTCATGTTTTTCGGAATTTAGTTTTTTTTTGTTTTGTTGTAAGTGAAATTTGTAGTTATAATGGCGGATCAAAAGAAACCGGCCTCGTTTAAGTGAGTTCTTGCTGATGGTGAACCCCTCTGATGGTCCCACGCTAACCACGCATTGTCATCTAGTGTACTTCCCAAGATCATCAATGGCGGGATCGCTGGCATCATTGGAGTCACCTGTGTGTTCCCCATGGATTTGGTGAAGACCCGTTTGCAGAATCAGCAGCTGGGACCCAATGGCGAGAAGATGTACAGTAGCATGTAAGTGGGGCTAAAGTTGTAACATTAAATCAACGCTGAATGCTTAAATCTTCAATGCAGCATTGATTGTTTTCGCAAGACCATCGCACAAGATGGATTCTTTGGCATGTACAGGGGATCCGCAGTAAACATCCTATTGGTAACGCCGGAAAAGGCCATCAAGTTGGCGGCCAATGATTATTTTCGCTTTCAACTGGCCACGCCAGAGGGTAAGCTGCCGTTGCATATGGCGGGTATAGCCGGTGGCTTGGCTGGGCTGTTTCAGATTATTGTCACAACACCCATGGAGCTGCTCAAGATCCAGATGCAGGACGCGGGACGCATTGCTAGCGCAGAGCGTGCCGCCGGCAGGGAGGTGCAAAAAATGACAGCCCTGGGCGTGGCCAAACAGCTGGTCAAAGAGCATGGCATATTTGGTCTGTACAAGGGTGTGAAGGCCACTGGGGTGCGGGATGTGTTGTTTTCGGTGATCTACTTCCCAATGATGGCTACCATCAATGATGCTGGGCCCCGCAAGGCGGATACCTCTGGTGAAGCGGTCTTCTATTGGTCTCTGATCGCCGGTCTGTCTGCTGGCATGGTGTCTGCGCTACTGGTCACGCCCTTTGACGTGATCAAGACCCGTCTGCAGGCTATCAAGAAGATCGAAGGCGAGAAGGAGTTCGATGGCTTCTTTGACTGCTTCAGCAAGACTCTAAAGCATGAGGGTCCCACGGCCTTCTTCAAGGGCGGTATTTGCCGTATTATGGTTCTTGCCCCGATGTTTGGCATCGCCCAAATGGTGTACTTTACCGGCGTGGGCGAGAGGATCCTGGGCATTGAAAGGAAGAAGTCCGTTTAGTGTTAGTGTAGTCAGTGTATGAATAAATTGTATGTGTATTTTGTGTAATTTATAATCTACGTTTTAAACGTTTACATTGATAAGTAATTTTGATGAATCAGCCCTGGGCTCTCCAATGGCCCCAACCTCTCATATCACATTCGACTGTCCCTCCTTTCTGGTCCTTCCTTAGATGACATCGGCTGGCCGGCTGTTGGGTGCGGCCGCTGCATCGGCACTCAGATCCACGTAGCGACTGCGCTGCCAGCGGGCCAGAGCCGCACGATACATATCCACGAATATGGCCTGGCGGTACATGATAATTCCCATTTGCATAATAATGAAGCCCATGATCGTGATCAGGTTTAAGAATTCCCATTCCATGACAATCACAAACACAAAGATGAAATAGACGCGCAGACCGTCGGCCACGAGTCGGTTAGCGCTCGACGAGTACATCACAATGAACAGTCCAATGAAGTTGTAGACGGCGCAGGACAGGGTAAATCCAATCAGGGCCAGGATTAAGGGTGCATTGTCCTGCAGTCCCGCCCACAGATCGCTCCAATCGTCAAATACAGCGCGCGAGCTCTCGTTGAACGGCATCACACTGGGCAGAAAGTGCATGCAGATGGCTAGTATCGCAGTGATGGCCATGCCAAAGATACCCTGCCAGCCAGCGGCCTGCAGAGGAGCCGCATTCGAGATCTTCAGCTGTTTCTCCTCATAGACATACTGCAAGCCGTGCAGGATCTCGGCTATAATGATGAGCATATCGCCAGCCAAAATCGATTTATGGTCCGTATGCGGCAGCGTATACCGATCGTAGTCCACCCGTTGCACATCCAAGGAGATGATGTCCAGGATGCCGCATGACATGGTGAAAATGGCCAGCCAGTGGCGTGTGCTCAGCGTATTATTCAAGTACATGGTGCTGAAGATGCCCACAAAGATGAGGGCGGCGCCTGAGGGGAAGACGCATTCAATGTAAACCAAGATAAGCAATGTCAGCAGCTGATAAACGAACCTCTTATCATCTGGAAGCTGGTGGCGTAAGTCAAGTACAAGCCGGTGAACAGCAATATGGAAGCCATCGCATCCAGCAGAGTTGGCAGAAGCATGCTCAGTGGATGGAATTCGCCGCTATTTTGGGTCAAGATACTGTCCATCTCCACGCCAGGCTGCAAAACAGTCAAAGTTCAATTTCTCCGCCCATAGGTGGCACGCTGCATGACCTTACCCCACGGCGATTGGTCACCAAACGGCCCACTTTGAAGGCAATAAAACAAAGGAATTCTCCCAGAAACATGAGCATGGTGAAGACCACAGGATGCTGGAAGCCATGTAGCTTGCCATCGCTACCAATCACCTGCTGTTGGTTAGCCCACCTAAAAATTAACAAACATACAAATGGGCATACATACAAAAACAAGTCTACGTTGTTTCTACGCATTATTTATATTTAACACCACTTACTTCACCACCAAAACATTAAAAGTGCCGCTGAGCACAAAGACCAGCGATAGGAACACACGATGATCCATTTGAGACCAAAAATAATGTCCGAAACTGGTGCGTTCCTTTAATTAAATTTAAAATTATTGACGTTCTTTGTGCAATTCTGGAGGATGCGCAAAAATACCATAATAATAGCCATTGCAATGCATCGATTGAATATACCACTTTATACCGATATACCATGTATGAACTAACCCCCTTAGTCCCCCTCTATTTAAACCGCTGAAAATAATGATGTTTATAAGTTCTTTTAGATTTATCCTATATGATATCATTATTGTACAAAAAAACTATGATATCTCTCACCTAAACGGCGTTAAAATTTTGCGAGTTTCCTAATATTCGTGTGTATATTAAAACACCCACTGGTCGACAGTAGGTTAATCGTTCTCCGTCCATGATCGGAAATCATAATCGTCGATTTTGATATTCGGTTTAATATTACTAGCTAGCTAGGACTTTCAGCACTGAACACATTATTTTATCCGATTGATGAATTAATTTTCCACAAGATTGGTTAATTTTAAGAACACCTTTTTATTGAATTTTAGAAAATAAGGTTTAAGCAGAAATGTCAACCAAATATAAAAATATACAAAAGGTATTTTTGTGCTGGTAAGCTTTAAAATACTGAAAAGTCAAAAAGCTGAGAAAGCTGGACGGGTAATTAAAATTGTATTTGTTTGATGAAAATTAAACGTAGCACGTATTCTAAAATTATGCAAAATACTTCTTAATTTGTTGTTCCTCAATTGGGTTGAATTTTCCTGTGAAACGGCATAAATTAGTGGAAAAGTTTGCAGCTGTCCGTAAGCTAATTACGTTGTCCATCACTGGCCTAACACAAAAAAAGGCGCGAATCTTAAGAAACTTTTGCTTTTAGTTTTATTAAAATCAAACTTAAAAAATATCACAGGATATGAAAAACCATTTAAATGAAAATACATGAAGTGGTGTTAGTGCATCTTTTGTTCGCCGGCTTCTCCGTTTACGTCGCGTGCGTCGAATTCTGTGCGATTTTCCTGTGAAGTATGGGAAAGGTCAGTAAAAAGGAAATACAACAATTTTGCAACATTCAAAACAACACAAATAGCAACAAAAAGCGTGTCCTCGTGTCTCACCTGTATTTAAGAGTGTTTTTCAAGTGTTGTGATTGTGTTTTCTATTTGTGTCATACTGTGTGGAGGAGGATCTTTAGTGTTCTTTAGAGCTCGTCCCTGGCGTACTCCGAGGATGGCAGCGCCACCTCCTCGACGGAGCCCAGGTGTATGGTTCTATTTGGTCTGCTAAACTTTGGTATGTACTCAACCGAATCACTGTTGCTAACCACCGAGTTGTGTAGATGTTCCGTGGGTGCCGCGGGATCGGGACTAGTGAGTGTAATTTTGGAGCCAGTGGCCACCCTGTGGATTGTACTGTAGGGTTTTTTGTTTTTGGTTTTTGCTGTGTTTCATTGTTTTTAGGGTTAGTAAGCCGCTACGCGTTTGGTTTTAGTTTTGAGGGGGTGGACATAGTGCATATGAATGGGGGGTACTCTCGTTTTGTACCTTATGTACAGCTATTTGGAAGTGATTGCAGTTGAAGAAGAAGTACAGAACTTAGAGTGGAGTTCGTGGTTATAATGTTCTATTGACGCTGGCGGGCTCCACCGCGTGCTCCACGCAATTTTTGTGGGTTTCTATTGCAAGTTCAGATCATGACATCACAACTTCACAAAATGATTATACCATCCCGTTTCCTTACCTATCCCTGGCCTGCATGCTGGCCTCCACATCGAGGCTGCGCGGCTGGCGGAAGTCGCACTCCAGCGAGAAGGCCGAATCCCCGGGTGTTATCAGCTCTGGGTCGTTCTGAATCACCACAATGTTCGTGTAGAGATCACCATCCTTCACGGTCTGGCACTGGTCCAGCTGGAAGTTCATCTCCATTGTGCGGGCACCCTGGTTGGCTGTGGGCTTCATGAAACACGGTGGCGTCTGCTTGTAGAAGCTGCCACGCGTGTACATCACACCTGTGAAGGGCTTTTCCGTCTCCAGCATTACATTCATGGAGTTGGCACCGCACTTCAGGTTGACCTTTTGTATGCCCTGATCGCTGCCCTCGATTTTAAAGGTGTCCGAAAGGTCTTGTTCCCAGATTTCTGCAATAAATTGAACAATCTTAAATGTGTGATACGAGTATGTGATAACTTTTAAAAATTTGTCTATTTTTGAACTTTCGAATTATGATGATTTTTTCAAGTTGCAACGCTGTTTTTGAATAATTTTTAGGAAATAATTTGGTAGGTTTCGATACAAAGACTTCACATGATTTTAATCTTATTTAAAAGAATTTCTTTACAGCAAACTTTCCATTTTCTTTCTTTCAGAATGCTTTTATGCTTTATTTATAGAGATAACCGTTACTTCCCCCATAAGCCTAACATCTGGGAGACATTTTCTCCAACGAACCGCAACGAAGCGTTGAAGTTCAGTCTTCTTCTGTCTGGCCGGCATTCGCTGAGCTTCTTTCTTACTTTTTCCCAACCGGTTTCTGTTTATTTTGGTCTGGCTAGAACAGCCCGCAGAAGAACTTGGCAATGGCATTGGGAATTTCTTCATCCAACATGAATCAGTCAGTGCCTTCTCGTTGTGTGTGGTGTCGATAACCCTACCTTGTTTCTGCTGTTGTTGTTGTTGCTGTTGTTGCTGTTGTTGCTGCTGCTGCTTGTTATTATTGCCGGACACGTAGACAGCCAGCAATATGTTGCAGGCGAACAAAAGCAGTATTCCATTCTGTAATCTCGCCATATTGCACTTTAGTATTATTTAACAAACAATGTTCGTGTATGAAAGTTAACGCGGCGCGCACACGTCTCAATGGCTGGAAGCTCAAACCAAAAGTACCGCTTCTTTTGCGACGGCGCAGCACATATAAGCGCGGCTCAAAAGCTTCGATCAGCTTTCAACGCAAAAAAAACGGGAGAGAGCTTGTGAAAGGTAAGAGAGAGAGAGAGTGAAATGAGTGAGAACCTGGCCAACAGCTGAGCGTTAAGTACTGGCTAAACGAGATATGTAACTGCAACCAATCGTGTCGTTGTGGGGACATAATGGCTATAAAAACAACAAAATGGAACACCATAAGATCGTCCTTTGAGAAATTATATTCAAAGGTACTTAACATTGGATATAGCTTTTCCAGGGTTAACTTGGGACTCTTATAAAACTGAGAAAGCTTTTTTTATAAGTCATCTCGTTTGGCCAGTACTCACAAACAAAAAAACTGTTGCGTTGTGCACTGATAGGACGAAAATTTATTGAATTGCGCCATGGTGCGAGATGAAAAAGTAAAATAAAATTATTTAAAGCGGCAGTTTAAGGAAAACAAAATACGGCATCGCTCCAGAGACATTTCCGCTTTTCGTGTGGCATGTGGATTGCATTGCATTTCTGCTGTGTGCATTCGCATCGCATTTTTGCCGCAGCATCCGACTCTTGCTGTTTTTTTTGTTTTTGGCTCCTCGTTCATTATTCAAAATGTTATTAAACTTCCCCGTTTTCCGCCTCGCTTCAATTCGGTGCGGTTCGGTTTGGTTCGACTTGGTGCGACTCGGTTCTCCTTCATGCAACCAGCTAAATAATTTGAGTTGCCGTCTTGTCTTTCCTTGTGGTTTCTGCTTTTATTTGTACTTGTATTTACATCTTTTGTTTTACGTTTACTGCGTTAATTAAAGCGTAATTAGTTGGTGATTTGGTCCGACTGGAAAGGTGGATGAAGAGCTGGATGGATTTTCGCCATGGAGAGCGAAAGGTGGAAGTGAATTTTCAATATTGGCCAAAAAAAAACCGCATAAAAGATACATTATTGTGGTGAGCCGAAGCTAATATACCCTTTGAGTTCCAGGACCAAGTGTATAATACCCTTTGGTAGGGTATAAAAATGCATTTACCCCGAAAGCTGTACATAAATGAGTTGTTATGATGCAGACCATAGGAGTACTGTTTTTTCCACTATTCGGGATAGTTCCAGAGGCTTTCTTCTATCTCACCTTTCCAATTAATTATTATCAGCCTTTCAAGTACTCTTCCCTTATCAGCTATTGGTTCTGTTAGTTTCCCTCTTAATACTCGTATAGTAGTTATCATAGATTCATTTTTTTCAAGTTCAATTCTAGGGCACAAAACAAAATCATTGTTAAAGGTTATCTAGAACTGTAAACCATCCAACTGAACAGATATGCCTTTCCTCTCTAAAGCTTTTGGCTTTTTCTTGGTTATCCTCTGGAATTTACTTGTTATTTATCGCCGCCCAATAGCGCGCCAGTTCGATGCCCTCCCAATTGAAAGGTTTGGTCAAAACACTGAAAATTAAAGAAGAAATTTTAAAAGATTTACATAATGTTTGAATGAAGGGGATCAAGGAAAATTTGCCAGCAGATAAAGTGGCAAAATGAAAAAATTACTGCACATAATCGTAATACACATGGAGCACGATGCGGGCAAAAGAGAGAAATATAAAGATAATGAAGAGGAGAGAGAGAGGAGGAGCAAAAAGTTCAATAGGCACTGGGAAGTGGATAGCAATGATTGGCGGAGTGGTTGGGGCAGGGGAAGAGTTTTCCCGGTGCCTACTGCACCGATGGCCAAGATTGACAATGATCATGCACAACCAACAAGTGTATGGACGGACGCCATGCAGTGGGTCTGGGACGGGTCTGGCCTGGTCAACCGCATGGAAGTGGAATGGTGGAAATGATGTAATGCTAACATTGTATCCGAGTTGCACAATTTTTAGCTCCCTCTTTGTCTTGTTTTTGGCCAACTTCCGAGTCGGACACTCACTTTTTGGTTAGATACAGCAGCACTTCCTGCTCCTTGTCGGTGAGACCCTGTTCGAAAGCCGCCAGATTAATCTGGAGCAACTGCCGCGTCTGCATGCCAGTGAGGAAGGTGCCCACTTCCCCCAGTTTCATGGAGTAGTAGAGGGCCAGTTTTCCCAGCTCCACACCGCGCTCCAAGCAGATCGCTGCTGCCTTGCGGCCCAGGGCCTTTTGTTCATCGGTGGCTGGATGCCACGGCTGCGGACCAGCATTGGTGAGCAGGCCCAGGCCATGGGCAGCAGCAGATATGATGCCCAGATTCTGCGACTTGAAGAAATCCAGGTATTCGAGAAGCGTCTCATCGGTTAGAGTGTACCTGCAATATGTCAGCACCGTCTGAAAGTAGTCCACAAAAGTTTAGTAAGTTAGGGACCTAGGGATTCCTCCAATAGATTACGTACATCGAATCTTCCTGGTGCTCGGGATAGACACTCCTTGAGCACGGACAGGGGATAAGCCGAGACGCCTATATACCTGGCCTTTCCCTCCTTGACCAGCGCCTCCAATGTGGGCAATGTTTCGTTGAGAACAATATCCAAATTCTTGGCAAATTCAATGTCATGGATCTGGATGACATCCACATAGTTCAGACCCAACAGCTTCAGGCTCTTCTCCACACTCTCGCGAGTCTTTTTGGCACTGAAGTCGAACATATGCTCATAGTCGAGCTCATAGCGAGCCACCTTTGTGGCTATATAATAGGACTCCCGGGGCACATCCTTCAAGGCCTGGCCGAGCACCTCCTCCGATCTTCCCTGACCATACCATGGAGCAGTGTCGACATAATTGATGCCCGATTTTAAGGCCTCATGCACTGTTTTGATGCCCTCCTCAAGATCAAAGCTAAGGCAGAAAGAGCAAAAAGAGAACTCGTATTTAATTTAAGACTTCCCGTTAAGAGATTCGATTGAAAATCAACTCTAACCCATAGTTGGCACACAGCGCACCGCCACCGAATGAAATCTTCGATACTTCTAGACCTGTTTTTCCAAGCTTGCGGTATTCCATGCGTCGCACCTTCTCCTCATCGTGGAAACCCTTCACATAGGTAGCCGGCAATGTTCCAGACATTTTGATGGGCGTCCAATCTATGTCGCACTCTGATGAAATTCTAGCCCCAGCCAGAGGAATACTGACAACAGATTCTCATATATTTAGCTAATATATGAGAAATCCGATAAAGAGAACAACGCTGAAGTACGAGTATTTACTGATATGAGCGAACGAACAAGAGCGAAACGCAAATTTGATACAAAAGATCAGAGTATGGGAGAGAGATAAGAGAGATAAGACTTGCGTTAATTGCGCTCCTGTGTTGTGCTGAGAGAGTAGAAAAGAGAGAAGAATTGACAAAGTTCTACCTTACCAAGACACATTTATTAACAGGTGAGGCGTTTGCAGTAAGCACTCTCAAATGTTTGGTTTGTAAATGTTTTCATTGCATCTTTTATAAAAACATTTTTAATTCGGTTTGTGTTTGTTTTTCTCTTACATCCCATACATATTCACATACATCTGAACCTGCTGATGCTGCGTCCAAAATGCTTACAAATATGCATATTTTTTCAATTACTTGTGTTGTGGGTTTCCAGCCTCCTGTTTCGCTAATTCACTACTACCTTAATGGGTACTCTCACTCCCTTGCCATCTTCGCACTCTCTGAGTTCAAAAACAAAGGAATCTGAGAAGTCAATTTAACCGGCTGCGGCGCTAGAGTGTGTATGTACTTACTTACTATAGAGACATTTGAGCATGTAAAAATAATTTAATCAAGAACAAATAAAACACTTGTAAACATACTGTTGATTATAAATATATTGTGATATATACCAGGTAAAGCCAATTGATCTGTGGGTGAGACTGAGCTTATCTTGGAAGTTATAAATATGTTGTTTACAACACATTCCACATTCATATGTAGTATAATATTACTTCTTATAAAAGGTGAATGTTTTCAACTAAGCTCAATAAATATTGGAAACGAAACGATTATAAAATGAAATATATGTATATTATATACATATATGTACATATAAGGCTGGGCCAAAAATGTTTTTTTTTTCGAAATTTAAACGGGACAGCCCCTAGTTTTGTTACCTTGGATTTAAAAGTAATTTACATGTTTTTATTTTATTTTTTAGATGTTGCTACCGAATTTTACAAAAAAATTTAATCAAAAAAATTAAAAAAAAAATGTTGCTGAGTGAGTTGGATAATTGGTGAAATCTATTGCATATATATTAATACCATTCATATCGTCATTAATCAGTTAGTTGGCAGTAAAAACCTGCACAAGTTTTTGCGAACTAGTTAACTAAATATATCAACCTCAGCTGAACCTCTTGATTTTCACCAATCGTTAATTTTTTAACAGTAACTAAAAAAAAAAATAAAATACTTTATTATCAATATGAACTAGTTTCTAAGTTTCAATATTATTTGAAATTGAAAATAGAAATTTGAAATTCAATTTTTTTTAATGTATATTTACCCAAAAATTTGTTTTATTTTTCGTGGTAGCATTAAACTAAAAATTTGAAAAAATTGTATAATTTTATTGAATAACAAAGAACAGGATTTTGGGGGCGTCCCTTGTCAAAAGATATTTGCACTCAAATTTTATTTTAGATTTTTATAAAAAAAAAAATCAAAAATAAGTCTTATACTTATTTTTATAATAAAAATCTAAAATTAATTCTTATTTCATAATTTTTATTATAAAAACTTATAAACAAAAAAACAAAACAAAAATGTGTTGTTCAAATTTTGGCCCAGCCTAATATATATATTATGATTTTCTTTTCTTTAAAGATGGTAAACCTGTGACCTAGCTTTGAAGTGAAAGGTTTTCAAATAAAATTATAAGTACATTGCCTTCAATAATTACTTTATTTTATTTTCATTATTATATTTTATGATATATGTATGTACTAACATTATTACATATTATAATATTACAAATGTGGTTAAAGTTGTGCTTCTACCAGTCGTCACTAAATGATTTTAATTCCTTCAGCTATGATTTCCACTCACTGGAACTTGTTGATAGTTGATAAAGTGGAGCCCCAGCTATAGGATTTGGTGAAAATACTGAAACAAAGACAGAGAAAGAAATACATTTTTAAATGGTGATTGGTGATTGGATTGCATCGGACTGGATTGGATGGGATTGGTGTAACCAGTTTGGGGGCTGAGGCCAAGTTCGACCCGGTTCCAGAGGCAGTGGCAGTGCCAGTGGCCGTGATGCAATTGCTGGCACCAAATCCGATTTACAAAATTCCTACTCACTTTTCGCGCAGATACTGCAGCACTTCCTGCTCGTGTGAGGTGAGACCGACGAAGATTGCGTCCAGATTAATCTGCAGCAGCCGGCGATTGGGAATGCCGATGAGGAAGGTGGCTGCGCCGTCCAGTTGCATGGTGTAGTACATGGCCAACTTGCCCAGCTCCACGTCACGCTGCTTGCAGATCTCTGCTGCCCGCCGACCCAGAGCCTGAAGCTCCGGACTACCGGGATGGATGGACGGGGGTCCAGCATTGGTGAGTAGCCCCAGCGAGTGGGCAGCGGCACAAATCACGCCAACATGCAGCTCCTTGAAGGCCTTCATGTGGCGCAGCAGGGTGTTGTCCACCAGCGTATAGCGGGCATAGTTGAGGACCACCTGGATGCGTCCCTTGCCGCGCTCGGCGCACTCCTTGAGCACGTCCACATCATAGGCGGTGATACCGATGAAGCGAGCCTTGCCCGCCTTCACATACTCCTCCAGAACGGGTATAGTCTCGTTCAGAACCATGTCCAGGCTGGGGGCGGCGTCCACATCGTGCACCTGCAGGACGTCCACTTGCTCCAGGCCAAGCAGAGCCAGGCTCCGCTTCACACTCTCCCTCGCCTTGGCCGCCGTATAGTTGAACATTTTCTTGGGATCCAGCTCATAGCGAGCCACTTTGGTGGCTATGTAGTAGGCCTCCCGAGGTACACCCTTCAGGGCCTGGCCGAGCAGCGCCTCCGAATTGCCGTAGAAGGGAGCGGTGTCAATGTAGTTGATGCCCGCTTTGATTGCCTCCTGCACCGTCTTGATACCCTCCTCACATTTAAAGTCGTTGTAGAAAATGGAGGACAGGGTGGCGCCACCCAGGGATATCTTGGACACGCGAAGTCCTGTGCTGCCCAGCTCCCGGTACTCCATGCGTCGCACCAGCTCCTCATTATGGAAGCCCTTGACAAAGGTGGCTGGCAGTGGTCCAGGCATCTTTATTTTGTGAGTGTTTAATTAGGAATGGGTACAGAACCTAGAACGGTACGGCTTTTTATAGGACTTGGAACACCTTTTCAGTAGCGATAAGAAATGTGAGGGAGTGTATATATATATACATATATATATATATGTATATGCATCTATGAGTTCTGTAGGTGTGTGCGCCCTCAGAAACTGCAATCTTAAATGATTTACTCTCTCCTCTGTCTTGGGTTGGACCATGCTGAAGTAATTCAAGGTGGTCCCGTCCCTCTCTTTCGGATCTTATTCACACTCACACACATGCAATCACAGTGAGATTGTTGTTGTATTTGCAAAATAAGCTCCGAAAAGAGAGCGCTGTACGGGACGGGACCATCATGGGATGGATTCTCTTTGGTAGGTTCTCTTACTGTGCAGTGTGCTGTGCTCTTCATTTGGGTTCTCCATATATTTGCAATATACATAAGAGCATGCGCATGCGAATCTGTTATCTACCGAGCTCTCTTCCGATTTGTGGAACAGTTTTAGTTCTCTGTGAAGAGTACCTGTGAATGAGAATGTGAATACTGAATTTTGATATCTTTGAAACTATTCTTATACATTTATTTCTCTTATTGCATTATCTCAGGATCTGAATCTATCCTTCGGAGTGCGTAATGTTGTGGGTAGCAGTCCAACAACAACAAAAACAACATTCTCGTTCCCCAAACCTCGGGTCTCAATGCCAGCCACGTCCGGGCATTTTCTTTTTCGAAGCAGTGGGTGGCGTGTTTTTTTTGAGTTTCTATTAAATAATGTAGATGTTGTCTCCCATATTGTCATCTATACCCATTCTTCTTATTCTTTATCAAAATCTCTTCTTCTTTTTTTAATACTATTTTTTTCTTTTATTTATCAGAGTGAAGTCATAGCTTTTGGGGCGAATGCCGATCAATTGACAAATCAAATCGTTAAGAGTTAATATAAATATATACTTTATATATATGTATACGATCATATATGTGCTTGAGATAGTGGAAAGGGAGCGATCATCAGCGAATCATTGCTCCGCTCAGAAGAAGACATCGAAGTCGCCCTGTGGCTGATAGCCAGCGCCTGGCGGGATCAGCTGGGGTCGCTGCTGCTGCTGGGCGCGCGGTGGCCTCGGCACAATAATGTCATTGATCTCGTGGAGAATGCCATTGGTGGCCACCACATCGCACTTGGTGACGCCGGCATTCTCGATCTTGGGCCGACGATCGCGAGTGATGCGCAAATGCTGACCCCCAATCGATTCGATGGAGCGCACAAAGGGCCAATTGGTGGGTATGATGCCAGCACAGCAGACAACATCCTCGACAATGTGCGTCTTGACCATGGCCACCAGTTCGGCTTGGGTTTGGGCCGCGGGCTTGAGGGACTCTCCCGACTCGCTGAACTCCTCGAAGACATCGTTCTTGGGCACCAGCAGGGTATAGCTATTCGAATCGTTGGACAGCAGTTGGGTCAGATTGGCCTTGCGCACCAGTTCCAAGAACTTGCTGTAGCTCGGATTGGCCTCCAGCACCTTGAGCATGTTCTGTGGATATCAAAGGGACAGAGAGAGAGAGAGAGCGTTTAGAATCCGCATAAGAGGATCATTTTGGTCGACTCACATTCTTGGGTGGCGTCAGTGGACGATCCAGCTGGTGCAGCACCGAGCCACAGCTCTCGTCATCGAAGTGCACCAGACGGGCACAGTTGACGGTGGCGCGATTCATCACATCCGAGAAGAGAGCATGGGTGGAGTACAGATTCAGACGGACATTGGAGCCGGCCATCGTGGGCAGGGACTTCTCGGACAGATCGCACGTCTTGATCATGGGCTTGACGACATGATAGTTGAGGAACTCCAACAGATCCAGATTGTGGTTAAGCACTTCGGGCTGCTCCCTCAGCAGGCGGGCCCACTCGGTGTTCTGCAGCGCCTTGTCTGTGGGCGCAAAGATCGTGGCATTGTCCAGATCATCGAACTGATCGTCGTAGCCAGAGGCCTCCAGCAGCTGCTTGAAGATCGTCAGATTCTTCTGCGCTATCAGAGTGGTCATGGGCAGGGCCGTCTCCGTGGGCAGAATGGTATCGATCACATGGAGCACGCCATTCGTGCCCATAATGTCCGCTTCCATTATCTTGGCCACATTATTGATGAAGATCGAAGATGGTTCAGTCTGATTCTCGGCGCGCTGCGTGCGATTGAGCAGCAGAGGTTCACCCAACAGATTGAAGGCCGTCGTCTTGGCACCGGGAACCGTAGCCAGCGAGCAGAAGGTAAGGTCCAGCATGTGGTTCTTGAGGATGTCTATAGAAGATTTGGTTTGAATTATAATTATGATTGCTGGCATTCTAGGCGTCTAGGGTACTCACTCGAAGCACAGCCACGTCCCTCCTTCAGGGCACGTCGCAGATGCGGCTCCAGCTTGTCGAAGGCCCCATCGGTGGGCACAAAGATGGTCACTGGCTTCTCGCCCTCCAGCATGGCACTCAGGTTGGTCTTCTCCAGAACTGTGCGCATTATAGACATATCGGGACGCTCGCGAATGATATCCATCACGTTCTTGGTCAGGGGCTGCAGCATTCCCCTCAGGGTGTGGACGAGTGCCTGCTCGGAGAGCTTGTCGTGCTTATCGATTGGCACACAGTTGGCGGAATAGCGATAGGGTTCGAGGCCCAGCGCTGGTGGTAGCTGGTAGCTATTGATGCGGATCTTCTGGTCCGGCACCTCCGTCTGCAGCAGCTGCTCGTTGGGCACATCCTCCAGCTGGAATTCTCCGAGCACTGCATGCAGCTTGTAGATGGGTGAGGCCTTCGATTTATCGGCATTGGCTTGGTCCACGGTCTGTGGGATTATAGGGGAATAGGATTAGTGTGGGAGGAACCATTCCTCCCATTCCTTTTGCACTTACATTCTCCTGCGGCTGCTGGGCATGGTACTCCACAAAGTCCTGATCCTTGGGCAAAAACAGGGTCACCATCTTGCCACTGCCCTGGCCCAGCATGTCGGCCAGTTCTCCGGATTTGCGGGCACTCTCAATGAACTGCTTGGCTCCCATGTCGCTGGCCGTGGTCTCCACATCCTTGATGTCGATCTTCTCGCAGGGTGTACTAAAGTCCGCGTTCCTCGAGCGTCCATAGCCATGGCAGCACTGACGTGTCAGCGTCAGGGTCTTCTTTTTGCCATTTTGATTGACGCTGCGCATGGGGAAGTAGGAAGAAAGTTACGCAGAGTCTTGGGAGCCATTCATTTCGACTTACATCTTGGTGCAGACGTGCTTGTTGGGCTTCTCCATGCAGGAGTTTACGCTGAACTGGAACTGACCGAAGAGTGGGGATCGCACAGCGCTGCTGACGCCGTCACGTTCCTGGCCAAAGGTGGCGACGGTTTCATCAGCCTCGGTCTCTGTGGCCACTGTCTCGCCTTCCTCTTTCTCGGTGCACACATTGGGACTGGGAAGAAAGGTGGCAAGGAAGAGGCATCATCGAGATGTTTGTTAATTATTCAGCTGTGTAATTGGGTTGGATAATCGCGTGCCGAGCGATGCAGCGGTCTCCGAAGATTGCAACTGATTTAATGGGAAACCTGTTCGACCCACCCTTTCAGCACCGTGCAATTAAATCGACAATTGGCTAACAAAAACCCAATGAATTATTGATGTTAAAATTATTCGATCAGTGTTTATAGAAGGGTTTAAATTCGAACCTAAAATTAGAAACGACTGGGACAGGTTTTGAGGCAGCTTAGATTCGTGAAATCGAAACTATAAATAAAGATCTCCATTACATATGTACGTGGAATACTCCTACGAGTATAATGAAAATATATCATATATCCCAAAGACAAATAAGCAATGCCTATACTTATACAATTACATGTTTATTTCCAGTTCTAATTTCATTTCAGAGAATTCTTTCCATGTGAGTACCCAGTCTCGAAGCAAACCTAGAAAATCTTTGCTAATGACTTAGTCATACATATGCCAGAGATATGCAAATCACAATGTCAATGTACCCGTAACACAGCCTAATATATAGTATCCATGCAACCAATCAAAGTTAGTCCAAGGCACTTATCAGACAGTCCATCACTCGTGTCGAGTGTTTGTTGAATGAATTTGCACAGTGATCTGCCATATAAAGCATAGCTATATGATAGTTATATACATACATATATACAAGCACATAGAGATTTAAATAGATATGGTATTTGTGAGGCTCAACAGCTTTGCCAGGCCATCAATTCAATTATGACAACCGTTGAAATATTTTTGTTTTCTGAAAGCCAACTCATTGTGTGCGTAGCTTTATTTTTTTTTTTAGAAATTTCCCAGTGAACCATAGTTGTTCATATGTATATCTCCATGTATATATCTTTGTGTGCAGCTAATTTTTCAATTTGCCACATTTCTGACTTTCATTTTACAACAAAATTTCGCACAACGAGTGAAAACGGCGCAGTTGATTTCACAATTTAGAAAAGTGCAAGCTTTTGTATTTCGTGTACTATATAATCTGACTTGTGCACTTATCCAATATAGTTCACTTAATGTACTCATTCACTTTCTGTGCGAATACGAGTGCGAGTGCGAGTATATGGAATATACAACAATTTCTGCCGACTTAAACAATTAATCCAAAGAACAAGTACACCCCAAGAGAACTATTGAACCCCACAGAGAGTTGAAATAACCATCAGGGGAACCCTGTAGATTGTTGAAACAACCATCAGGGGTATTCTAGAGATTGTTAATTCCCTCGGCTGGGAGCAATCTTTAAATGGATGGAAAATTACTTATTTATGTATTTATTTTAATGGTTATGCTCGATTGCTGCTGCAGTAAAGCGATAAGACATGAAATTAAAAATTAAAAAAAAATAATCATACAATATTTAATAGCTGGCATGAACTTGACATTGTGCTCTCTTAATTGCCAAGTGCCAAGAACAGTCATACTAGTTGTCGGATCCGAAGCCAGTGCCCGGTGCTCAGAGTCAGAGGCAGTCGTGTGCGGCGATTAGGAAAGAAGCAAAAACTTATGGACCATAACAAGTGGAATTTTAACATTCAAATATAGTGGGAAAATTCATTTGGGCAGAGCTTTTTGCTTGATCGATGAAGGTTACTGAGTTGCCTTAAGATATCCCATAGAATCTTCTGTATTTACAATTTGTGGAATTACGACTTTACTTACCCCTTCCACCAGGGCTCCTGTGCAGTGCCGAAGCCCAAGCCGCCAAATGAGTTGAAGAACTCATTGCCAAAGAAGGGGAACGATTGCTGGAAGAATATGGCTGGATTGGGGGCATTCACATCCGTGGTGATGGCGTCCACATCTGCAAAGAGAAGGTGCATGAGCAATAGATCTCTTATAGTAGCTCCTGCACTCGTCACTTACTGAATGGTTTCTGCTCCACTCCACCTGCTGGCGGAACGGGTCCAGGCGCTGGTCCCACATCCTGACGTCCCTGTGGCTGTTGATGCTGCTGCTGCTGCTCCAGGGGCACGAACTCAGTGTCATAGCTACTGCCGCTGCTGAAGAGTGGCAACAGGTGAGATTGTGGTCGCTGGGCGGCCAGCGGCACGGGGCCGGGCGGACCATGTCCCCAGACACTTGCCACTCGCTGCGAGGCCTGTGCATGCATGGGCTCCAGATCGAGTGGCTCGAGTGGTGCTAGCGGTGCTAGCGGTGCTAGTGGTATGGGCGCGAACATAGTGCGATGCAGCGGCAATGGGTGTGTTAAATGTTGCATAAAGCTGAAGTGTAGGGAGGGTAGGGAGTAGGTGTGCGAGTGTAAGTGTTAGTTATGGTTAGTGTATCTGTATCTGTATCTGTATGTTCTGTGTGCTTGTGCTTGTGTGTTTGCTCATGCAAATTCCATGAGGAACGGTTCGAAACGGAACGAGGTGGAGAATCCGAGCACCATAATTCATATGCCTTCATTGTTCCCTCACATAAAAGAAGCTCCGCTCCCACATGGCCCCTACAGATCCACCAATGCCTGCATATACATATATCTCTCTGTATATATCTGTAAATTCGTATATGTCCGGTTAGTGTATACATATATGCTGATCGTGCTCATTGTTTAGCTAATTTTTTTTTATTTTGCGCAGCATTTGCCTGAGCCGCATACTAAGTGCCTCCGCCGGGCACTTCTACACCAAAATCTCTGTACCAATGGAATCAAATAAAAAAAAAAAAACTATTTAACAACCCAAAAAACAGAACAAAAAAAATCAATCACCAAACCAAACTTGCGATATTCCCCCTGCAGTGGTCCATCCATCAACTGGGATTTATGTCAACGATATTGTGGGTTCTACTTTTAATGCATCTGGAATCTACATACATATACTCGTGGCAGTGCCACCCATCCCTCAAGAGACACTTTCTGGAACATACTTTGGTTGCGGGTCATTAAAATTCGTTTCGCGGAAGATAATTAAAAAAAACCACATCATCAGTGCTAAATAAAAAAAAAATAAGAAACGAAACTACGAACTCTGGCAATAAACAATAAAAATATAATGCTTGCAAAGGCAAAACGTAAACAATTTGTTCAACGACTCGCAGTACTCCAGCTGTCTGTCCCTCAGCTTTGATGGCTCTTCTGACTGGAGTTTCTGTCTGTTCTGTGTGACTCATGCGCCGAGTGGTACGTGTTGCGTGAGGAGCTAGGGCTCAAAGCGGCTTGGCCTCAGAGACACGGAGCGACTGGCAATATATGTATTTAAGCCGACAAAGCGATTATGGATTGGGGGATTGGGCACTGGCCTGATAAATGTATGTCTCTCTCCTGTCTCGTGTCTTGAGGAATTTATGTATCCAGTGAATAATATTGAATTGTTAACGTTACTGTTCTTCACTCTCAGTAACTGTGCGGCATGATAAAGGATTATGTGAAACTAAACACTAAGTATTACGATTCCCTTTACTCGCTGAAAAATTCCAACTAATTTGAATTGTTTACGTTAACTGAATCATAAATTATTGTTATCTGATTATACTTTTAAACAAATTTATTATTTATTTATTTAAGCAAAGCTATTATTTTTTAATAAATTAATAAAAACAAATTAAATTTGTATTTTCCTCCTACTTATATGTATGTCTGATTATATGGAAGTAGATTTATAACTTTGCACTAACTTTCATTCTGCACAGATGTAATTCTTAAAAAAGGACAACAAATGAGCTTTCAATTTTAAATAAATCATTAAATTTCTCCTAAAATTGCTGCAGTTTAGCCTCGAAGCATATCTAAACGATCGTCTAAGTCTCCATATAATCCGTTTACTCCACCTTAAATCTAGTAATTCATTGTTCAATGCTATACTATTTCTAAGTACTTGAAAATAATAGATTTCGGTGTGATGGAGGATGAATACGATTTAGTTAACAATGATATTAAAAATGTGGGAAAAAAACGATGATGAAAGCATTAATAAATTAAATATTCCCAAGGGAAAGCTGATGAATGGAACGTTCGGAAGGTGATATATCTGGAATAATTCCTTCTCTCTTTCTGGCTTTTATGTTCCTGTATCGTAGCATCTCCTGCTATAATATCGTTCTTATTTGTTTCTGGAATACATTCCGCCATGTCTATTTCCTGCTTTAAAGATTGTACCTTGAGTTATTTCTCCCACATTATTAAGCAACCTTTTTGTAGAGGTTTGCATATTTAATTCCCTTGATTTGTTGAAATTTAAATGATAGTCACGACAAATCAATTTCCGATTAATTCTTGATGTTATTCCAAGGAAAACCCCTCCTAAAATCATTTCCAGAACACTGGAGAATGCATAGCGAATGCCGAAAACAAATGAAATTTTTAAACAAAATAGATTCGATTCGCTCGGAACCAAAGCGAAAGTCATTGGCCACAGAGCAGGCACCGAGAGCGAGAGAGAAATAGAGATAGAGTGCTACTGATGGGGAATCACAGATGTCGGAGAAATGGTAATGCACAGGGCGGGGGGCGGGGGGTGTCGCAGTCGCAGTCCCCAGAGCGTAGGCTGGATCCGACCGAATGGCTGCCTGATTTAATTAAAGCGCAACTGCGGCAGACAGAACCAAACCAAACCATTTAGAGAGGAAAACACAAAAAAACGAGTCACAGCAGCAGCAGTGACCCACTTCGAGGGCAGACTATACGATTGGTGGGGTGAGAATACCTGGGCCCCCGAAATGCCACCTAATGACGTGTCAAATGTCAATTGCTTTCAGGGCCAACACTGATTGAGAATTGTGTCAAAGATGAGCCCTAGAGCGGCCTGAACCTAAAGGTTGCGCCGCCCCCGTCAGAGTCAGCCGAGTGTGGCGCAGATTGGAGGATGAAGATTTTGTTGGCCAAGTCCCGCGGCTGCATCTGTGGCGGATGCGATGGTGTTGCCCCACTTAAGTTGCACATTGTTCTCTTGCAGCAATATCTTTCGCAAAACACACAGATAAATGCAAGAGCAAAATAAAAGAGACTCAGACTCCAACTCCAACTCCAATGGAGTTATGGAGCCGTCTGAACGACAGGGTTAGGGAGCGAGGCTCAATCGCATCAGAACAATCTCCAGACATTCTCTCAACAGTTTCAGTTTAAGGTTTTATCAATTGAGGTCATTTCTGGGGCTTTGGGACTTTCTTTCTGGGCCTGCTTCTTCCGCCTCCAACCACATTTCGGTCAACTTTATTTGCAGTTTTGTTTAGCGAGCGAAAAATTTCTCCCAGAATAAACAGACCTAAAGGTTTCTGCCTCGAAAAAACTGTCATAAAACCCGAAGACTGAACCCGGTATTAGCCAACTTTTATGGTGTTTCTGTCTGTCATTGGAGCTGTAAACGCTTAAAGAATGTTTAAGTTTCTTACTCGTACTTAAATATTGAAACTGGTTGAGAATGTAAACCCAAAGGTTTCTTCACATGTGAACTGCGTGTATTGTAAATATTGAAACTTGTTTCTGGTGTTTGTTTTGGTAAGTAGTTGCCAGTTTTAGCTGGGTCTAGTCTACTGGGTATGATATGGCTGTGTTTTGTTTTGGGGAAGGAAGGAAAGCGCCGGGTTGGCATATAGTTCACCTGGATTTGGCTAAAGATTCGGAAGAAGAACCCTCAGATTCCTCAAACTCAGATTCCGATCCGGAGCCTGAACTGAAATAGCAATCAATCATTTATTGGTGGTGAAGGAGCTACGATAGGAAGTACAAGGTGAATGTGGTGGGGGTTCTACTGATCTTTATAGATCTTTGGGGTATTTAAGGGATCTGTGGCAAAGGATTTTCAACGGTTTTAAGTTAGTGATAATTAAATTTACTATAATACGACTGATTCTCTGAAGTAATTTGGATTGATTTAATTCGAATAGATGTGATTTTATGAATTTCAGATGGTCTTTTCATAGCTCCCAATGATAAAATAATTATTAAACCTTCCATTCAATGTGAATAATAATTCTGATGTATAATGTCTCCCATCCTTTATTGTATTTTATGACCAAAAATAAAGAATTTAGTTGGAATGATATTTTGCTGCCGATTTTCGCATTTAAAATGGATTAAATGAAATATTTCATGCAATTTTTTTTGTAATAAATTCCAATATTGTATTGTATTTCTACTAATGATTCCATTTCCCATTTAGTTCTACATTCCGATAACATCAGACCATCAAGTTCATGCCTTATCAGAAGATGTCGATGAGTGTTTAACCCAAAAACCACACCACAACGAAAACAAAAAAAACAAACTACATGAAATGTGCATGAGACGAGAACACACAACACAATGCAACGCAACACACACTAGTGTTGACCAACACTGGAAAATCAATACTTACTCTCCATAGAAGGGCACCGCCTGGATGGAGATGGACCCGAGCAGGAGCAGGCAAGCCCACTGTCTCAACATGTTGTTTGATATCACAATATCACGATTTGAACCGCTAAATTGGGGTGCTATAAAAATGGGGGAATGGAGAAGAAAATAAAATAACAGAAAGTCGCTGTAATACAAAGACTCGGCGGGGATGGCGAGGCGATGGCTGGCTGGGTTCAAGAAATTTCACTACTGCACTGGAAACAGCTGAGACGACGACCAAAATACAGGTTTTCCACGCCAGCCTGCACTCAGATATGTAGGTGACGACTGACTGGCCACCGCACCGAGTGCGGAGAGAGGAGAAACTTTTCCACTGTCTTCACGCATTAATTGCGAGCACACACATATATAATTATTGTCAATTGTCTTTTGGATTACAACAATTGGCACATCCACATCACAATCAATTTGATTAAAAAAGTCACAAATGTCTTTGGCTCTGGCTCTGGCTCCTTTTTCGCATAAAAAAACGACAGCACAAAAAACTCACTCAATCACTCACGAGCTATGATATGGTTTGGTTTGGTTTGGTATTTTTCTGTGGAAGATCCGACGATGGATGTTGTCGTCCCGAGTTTTGAAAACTAACTGCAAAAGAACGAAGATCGCGTCTGGTATTTATAAGCTGCGATTGCGCTCCTACATATACACATACACGCATATGTATGTTTGTGTGTCTCAGCGGTTTGCGATCGTTGGAGCTTTCTGAGTGGGGCTTTGGTGCTGGCTTCGGGCTTCTGAGAGAACTTTTGGTGACGCTTTCATTGGTGTGTGACGAGAGGCGGTGGGTGGGTGGAAGTGTGCTGGCAAATGCCAAATTCGTGTGTAAAAATTGTGAAAGTGCGAGCTGTGATAAGTGCTGCAAACCAAACAACAGGGGGGAAAATAAATATAGGAATTTGAGTACCGAAAAAGATACTGAGTGCCAAATACTCTACTGTTTTACATTTTCCCGGAATTATTGCTTCAGGTAAGGGCCATAATGGTCCTACCTGGTACGAGTAGATCTCCAGCTGAAATGCTCACTTAAAATGTCGGTTATTCCCAAAACTGTCCCATCAATCACTGCTTCTTGTCACCCAATGCTCTGGTCAGCTCAGGCTGTGGCTTCTTCCAGCTTATTAAGAGTCTGTGTATGTTCCATATTTAGAAACTGTTCCGTTGTGGTTCATTTTGTTTTGCATGTACAATCTTTTTGCTGTGAAAGGTAAAATTTGTACATGTGTAGATGAAATTGAATTTCTGGGAATTGTGAGAAGACTGTTTAGAGGGTTTTTCTCACTTTTTAATTGTTCTTTGTGTCGCTGGTTAGTCATGACATTTGGTTAATATCTGGAGCCCAATTGAAAGAGATTTTCAATTTGGAATAAGAGCAATTGTTGGATTATTCTTTTGTGGAATCATTGTTTATTCATTCATTAGTTACCATACAGTATTTACAATATTTAATTGTGCTATATTTTTATGTATTGTATATATATGTATATATGTCTCTTGTATACGTAGATGTATGTACCACAATGAAAGTTACTTTTGTTTAAATATAAGTATATAGTATATTTGAAAATAAATAAATGTGTTCCCCGTATAATAATTTTGTTCTTTGTTTTTTGTTTTCGTCACTCGTGCTTTAAGTTTCTTTTGCTAATTTTGATTAAGAATTTTACAATTAGATATGCAAATAGATCAATGATTGAGGAGGCTTTGGATTCAATTCAAGTCTCGTGCTACATTACACCAAAAGAAAATGCTACAAAGCCAATTGTTTCCTTGTGTTGTGTGTGTGCTTGTGTGTGTGGTTATAGGGTGTTTGAAATAATCGCCAGCCCTGAGATTATTGCAAACACTCTTTTGTCGTCGTCTGTAACTCTGATTCTTGTCTGATTCTGTCTTTCTTTTCCTAGTTTCGTAGCTCTAAAAGGAACTTCAAACACTGTCCACCCCACGAAGTGAACGACGTCTATTCAACGAGCGCTGAAACGAAGATGATTAATCCTAAGTGAAGACTGAGGAGACTGAGGATCTGCCAACACTCACCTGGACGCTTGCCGCGCATGCCCTGAAAGCCACTGGGCGCCCGCTTTTGATCGCCCCAAAGGTAGAGCCAGGGACGGACTAGGTACTGCTGATCGGTACCATCGCCAGTGTCCAGGTCTAGGCCAGTGTCCTGCTCACTTTTCTTGCCACGCACTGCCACAAATTTGCTATTGAAGTCCGCGTAGCGCTCCTTCTTTCCCCTCACATCGTAGGCCTTTTTTAAGAAATTGTGCCACAACTGGAGGCGATTAGATTCACAAAAAGCTTGCGAAATTACAAGTGATAATTGTTCCTACCTCTGACAGAGCCGCCCGCTTGTAGTGCTGATGCGAGACATCCTTCTTGCCGCGCACGCCCAGAAAGGAGTTGGCCGGAGCCCGTTTCTGGAGCAGCTCCATGGCATCATCGTCATTGTCATCGTCTCCGCTCATCGGTCGCTTGCCCCGCATGCCCGTGAAGCCGGTGGGTGCCCGCTTTCCGACATCCCCAACATTGTCGTCCCCCGCGGCCAGCCGCTCGAACAGGTCCTGGAGAAGGTTATCGTGCATTCGCTGCTCCTCTATCTGATGCAGGACGTTGGACAGACGGCTGCTAATGGGTATATACTTCTTGCCTCGCATGCCCAGAAAGGACATGGGGGCCTTCTTGAGCCGCCGCCCGTTCTCGTAGTAGAGGCTGTCTTCGTCCATATCGGCATAGTCCAGGGGATCGGGTCCCATCCAATCGGCCGCACGCTGATCCTTCTCCTCCTCCTTCTTGCCGCGCATCCCTATGAAGCTGGAGGTGGGCGCACGCTTGACCATCCTCCTGGGAGCGTCTGCGCCCGGCGCCAGGGTGCTAACAGCAGAGGGCTCCACATCGGTGGCTCCATATTCTGCAGATGCGGCTGTTAACAGCAACAGCAACAGCAGCGCCACTGCAAACGAACTTTCCTGCTGGCGCATTGGACGTAGCGTGCTCTTAGGCGGGCGGTTGGAATCGAAGCACAGCCGGAACGGGAGCTTGAAATGGAGGCGACAGCTGAGTTTTATATTGGAATAGGAGCTTAAGAGATTGAATACAATGAAAAGGGGCTAAAATTTGAATGATATTTGTTCATATGAAATAATAAAAAAAATCATCGTGGATTTTATCGATCAATAATCGATAATCGGAAGTGCCAGCAATACTTAATACTCAAAAGAAACTCCTACAACTCTATTTTCAGACAAGATTAAATAATAAATATAGCCCTGAATTTTTCTCTTTTTTTTTTGTACTCGTATTATTTGAAAAATTTCTTTAATTCTTTCATCGATCAGAAAATCTTTAAGACTCAGTTCGATAGCCCTTGTGCTTTAATTGAGACTTAAAATTTGTTGCCGCCAGCTAAAAACCCATTTCCCCCAAAACTGTTTTCCATTTTCATTTCCTGTTTTGTTTGTGTGTGTTTGATGTTTTCTCTTTTCTGATTTTTGCATATATTTGTCGTAGTGCACTTAGACTTAGTTTTCGCTAGAACTCGCGGGGGCGAGGCTCTACTTGACCTTTTTGTGGTCTAGTACTCGCGGGCGAATGGGTTCCCGCTCTAAAAGCGGGATTTCCAAGTTGCATATGCATACATTTGGCGGCCTCTTGCCTGCTGCAGACCTAACGGTTGCTCTGATGCTGCAATTTATGGTAGCAGCAACAAATGCAAATAGTCGTAGAGGGGGCTCTTACGGCCACAGGAGCCAGCCAGCCAGCTTCCAATGATGCCACACATGATTATGCGGCTATATTGTCGACACAGCCACGCCTTGTTAAGTCAAATTGCCATGCAAATGCTCTCGGCCTGGAGCGTTGCGCCTTGATAAGACTCGAAGATAGAGAAATGGTGTCAGAACAACAACAAAAGCCACTGCAACATCTACTGGAAGAAGAAAGGAAGGCTTGAGCTGTGGCTCCCAATACCCTGGCTGTCGATACCCTGGAAGATTAATCTTTTCCCTAGAATTTGCAATTTGATATAGTGATCCGATACGACCATTGCAAAGTTACATCCAGAAAGAAGTACAAACTTCTTGCCATAGGAAAATGATGACAGACACGGCTTATTGACTCTGCTAGGGCTGATAAATATTACTCTACATACTCTATAGATTCTGTGTGTTGAAACCCTGCTAAAAATCATCATGCTCTCGTTCATGGGTATCATGGGTATAACTATGGAAGACTCTAACGATGCGCGCACAGGAAACAAGAACAAACATGTAATTCAATTGATTGCCACAGGCGGCAGCTAGCAAACAGTAGAGAGCAGACACAGCGGAGGAATATATGTACAGATGGGCAGACCTGAGGATAAGGTGGAGATGGAAAAAGGTGCGGGCAGAAGAAGAGCGTGAAGAGGTGTAGGGAGCAGCAGCAGAAAAAAGAGCAATTCAATTGAACAACTTAACGAAATGCATTTGAATTGAATTGATGTTGCATTTGCCACCATCAACAGGTTGTCGTTTGCCACTTAAACCTCATCGCCACTGAGTACAATAATTGTGTCGTCATTGACGGGGGGCTAGGAGGGGTTTGTGTTTTTCCAGGGATTTGAGTTACAGCTGAGCTTAAGTGCAGGGCGCCGTAAAGTTTTGTACTTTAAATGTTAAAAGGAAAAAGATAATACGGGAAATGTCAAAGCATCAGGCAGCCATCAGGTACCAGAGGCTGCACTAAGACAAAATGTGGCAAGACGGGGATGAAAAGGATAACCTTTTGGGAGAACCATTTTGCTAGTTCCTTAAGAGAAATATCAGAAAGAGAGAAGATCAGGGACCAAGCAAGGCACTGGAACCTTGCGAGGGATCGAATTTAGATCCCATTCCAAGCTCTAAAATTTCAGCCCTTTGATTGCCTCATCATCCCATCGTACCCGTTCGCTCTAATGCCATGCAAAACTTTTGCTGCCACAGAATTAACAGCCTAGCGGCGGCGAATGTGTGTTAAGCTTCCGGTTTTGGGTGCTGCCGTGCCCTGCCACGTCAACGCCCCCCGGTTCACCGTCCTGCAAGACTATGAAACTGACAGCAGCCAGTCAAACAATGGCACCGGACCATCACCAGCACCAGCACCAGGACTACCACTAGTCACACTTTCATCCTCTGCCATCCAACTCCCACGACAGTGCCTTAATGTGTCTCCGTGTGGAAGTGTGGAATGCGGCTAAGCTGTTAACGTGTCCTTGTATGTTGTCTAATTGTCTATGTAGGGGCTGTACTCCAGCCTGCTGTGTGCTGTGTGCTCTGCTTGCGTTGTGTGTGTCCATCCCAAAGGACACTTTAAACCGCCGACAGGCGTGTGAGATTAAAGATGGGCACGGAAACGGGTCCGGGCACGTCTAGATTTACATTTTTGCCAGCTTTGTGTGCCCTGCTTCCTCCTTATGGATGTGTATGTGTAATATAGGTCTATTAGGCCCGGCTGAAAGGCCAACAGAGCATGGCCCAGAACAACAGAGTCCGACTTGAGCAGAAAACGTATGAAAATTAATAATAAAACAACATAGGAAATTCACTTTTTGGCCAATTGGCCGCGGGCTGCATTCTCGTCACCCTTTTTGCATGCCAAAAAGTTCTGCCCAAAGCAAACACACAAGTGGAACGGAGCAAACACGCACACACGGGCACAGTTAATGCATAAAATATGAGGCGTGACTGTACTTTTCAATCGGTTCTGGATTCTCTGAATTCTGAATTCTGGGGTTTTTGCCCAGCAGCTGCAGGCCCCCGCAGCTCGATATCGGAGTGTGCGTGCGTATTTTAAATAAATTTACATTAATATTGAGGCCTTGTCTGGGGCATGCCAATCGGGCGGCTTATAGGCCATAAGCTTTATCCTCAAGCTGTTGTAGAAAGCAATAAACGATAGACCCTGCTGAAGGTTAAGGATCAGCTGCAGCTATTCCCTTTTTTTGCTAATGGATTTGATTTTGGGAAGCTCTAAGAAGTAATACAACCGAACTATTGTAATAATTAACTTCCATTAGTTGACATGCTCCGTTTGCAAATATAAACGTAGATACGAGTGCTAAGCTAAGTAAATTTGTCAGCTCTCAAGGGAACATGTGTTTTACATGGCCCAGCTATAGATCTATTGTATCATTATTTCTATTTAGTTTTTCCATGCTAAATTCTGCTGGCGCCCATAAATTGCTTAGCCCACATGTCCCTCCCTTGTCGCCGGCTCTGCCAACACTTTGGTTCTATCTTCAGAAAACGTTTCCCAGAAAATGTTGCTGGCAGAGTGCAATTGCCTGAGCCTCATGTTGCGGTTGCCGCTTTCGATTCTGCACTTAATCGGCGGCTTGTGGTCAACGTACGATCATTCCGAATTCAGCTTTCAACCGAGACAGTCGCTGCGGTTCTCTACGGCCCTTCCCGATCCACCTACCGCTTTCAACCGCGATCGTCCTCATTCTGTGCGCGTTCCACATAATAGAATCATAAGTGAGCTATTCTAATATTTGTTATCAGTGCTATCAGTGAGGTGAGTGCTCAGACAGATCTCAGATCTTGTGGGTCAATAATCATTGATTCCTATCCCAATCTGGATTCTAAACCGCAAAGAACAATGGAGCTATGCCCGAAATAAAAGCATTAACTTTCACGCCTCATTGTTGGTGAAGTAAAAATGCAACGGGGGGCCACCACAGTTCAGTAAAAGAGCCAGAGATAGGCTTAGGGGTACGGGTGCGCGTACGAGTACATGCAAAATAATTGAATTGGGTCAAATGCCTCTAAATTTGTGCTCGTGTTCCCGTTCCCATTCCCATTCCCGTTCTCATTCCCATTTTGGGTTCTGTTTAAAATTCGTTTTTCTTGTTGATACAACTTTGCTTTCCGTACTTACATACTCGCACATATATGGGACAGTTTTTTTTTGCTTATTTGTTTCTCTTGCTACTTTTGGCTGTTTTTTTTCCATATTTTATTCAACGTGAGGTTAATGGCAAGTTCATGGCTGCCATTTCACAGATCATTTCACCCAAAATGAATTCTGTTGATCAGGCAGGTATCTGAAACTAAATGTTTGTCTTTATGGAGGGAATCACGGAGTGTACTTGTAATCTGTTGATAAGGGGGATTTAATATTACAATAGCCCCTGGAAGGGGATATTTTCAGAAGGTGTTTCACAGAATAAATTCATATTTATTTTACCTCAGTAATAGTGATAGTGAGATTCTCAGAATATAATGAATAAATAAAGGCAAACAGTTTCTGTTTTCCATAGAGTTATATGTTAAAAATCGAATCACAGAATAAATCATAAATGAATCAACCACCTATGAAAACAGATGCAGTTTAAGGGGAATCACTTCTAAAGTACTTTCTGATGTTTGCTATTTTAAATGCCCCAACAAAGAATGGTTTCCATTTCATTACTAATTTCTCAATTTCAAATTTCACAAAATCATGAAAACTTTTCCAAGCTGAAAAACACTCCTCAAATTATCAAAACATTCAGCTAAGAGTACACAACATATCATGAATCAGCAATAATAATGTATTGCCGGGATAATTATAGTACATATAAAAAATGTAATCAGCGGACAACAAAAAGAAACCACAAACACACGTAGCATAATGTCAAATCGCAATGAAATATATACAAGAAAATATAGCAGGAAAAAGAAAAGAAAATAAGAGCAAAGCAAACAGCAAAATGCTGCTGATAAGAGAATACATTGTGTGTAGAAAATAAGAATTATAAGAAAACATTTTATAATAATTACTAAACAGCTGATCGACTGCACAGAAACAACTCCATAAACATTCGTGCCAATAAATTTGAGGTCTGCATTAATTGATGAGCAGCGGGAACGTCAACTTTAAGTCCAAAAAAAAGTTCTGATTGACTTTCGAGTGGGGTACGGGTCGGACTGGGTGAACTGATGGAATTAATTTTCAGCCAATTTATAAGCAAAACAAACAAGAGATTAAATCATTTTGTTGTCACTAAACAATTGAGCCATGAACTTCAATTGAAGCATCCCAACGGAGACGACGACACGAGCTCTGAACTGAAATGAACTCGACCGAACAGATTTAAGATGATTTAGATAGATGTACTAGGAAGCGGAAGGGGTTTGCCTAGCCGGAAGATATGTGCCTCGGTGCATTGTCAGTGCATGGGGAAGTAGGTCTAGTAATAGCAATAATTATAATAGGATAAAGTATTCTTGGGAGCAAAGCAATTTACGATGGTTCCCATAATTTAGGTAGATCTGCTAGAAAAAGGAAGGAGGCTTAGTGTCAGTGATTAGTAGTTTATTTGCAATAGAAGAACTGGGGGACTCTTCTTATGCTGTGGTGTGTGTTTGGTTCATATCTCAAACAGATATCTTGCACTCAGGTTTCTAAGTATAAATCAAATATTGCTTATGTCTTACTTCATCGATTTGTATTAATAAATGAAATGAAATACAACTCTAATTAATTGGTTGAGAATAAATAAATTTATGATAATCTTACAGCTCAAACATATTCCTTTATTCTCCTAAAACACATTAATTTCAAATGTCACACAAATTACGCTTATAATTGTAACAAAAACAAATAAATTATTTATGGTTTGTAGAAGGCGCTAAATTACTTGCAGCATATAAAAAACAGAATTTGTAATAAATTACTTAAACAGTCAGAAAGAAAGATTCACATTCCAAAGCATGGAATCGATAGAATCTGAGAAGCCTTAGAACCAAATTTCAATTAGATATAAAACTGACAAAAAACAAAGAAGAATATAATACAAAAATGTATTATTCCTCTTTCAATTTACATTGGTTTTGGAGGTAGAATATTCTCATTAAGTTCAACGAATATTTCTTCTTTGTTTTCTTTGCTTGAAAAACTAACACCGCATTCCCTCCATCAGCAAGATGAAGCTCGGCCTGATGATCGTGGCGTCCCTGTGGGGCGTCGTTTCCCTAATGGGAAATGCAAATGGGAATCGAACTTTCACGGTTGACTACCCAAATGATCAGTTCCTGAAGGATGGTGCCCCATTTCGATTTATTGCCGGATCGTTTCACTATTTCCGCGCCCATCCCGCCACCTGGCAGCGGCACTTGCGGACAATGCGAGCAGCTGGACTCAATGCGGTGACCACGTAAGTCTCACTTAGTGTCCGCTGTTCGATAAAAGATGTCCTAATCATATGCTCCGTGTACCGTGTAGCTATGTGGAATGGTCGCTGCACAATCCCCGAGATGGGGCGTACGTCTGGACGGGCATAGCCAATTTGGAGCAATTTATCCGCCTGGCTGTGGCCGAGGATCTGCTGGTTATCCTCCGTCCTGGTCCGTACATCTGCGCGGAGCGTGATATGGGCGGCTTTCCCTACTGGCTGCTCAAAAAGTATCCGGGCATCCAAGTCCGCACTTCGGATGTCAGTAAGTGGCAGAGGAAATCCATCCATCAATTTGATTTAATTCTTTCCGCTCCTCCGTTCCTCTAGATTACCTCAGTGAGGTACGCATCTGGTATAGCCAGCTGTTTACCCGTATGGATCCATATCTGTACGGGAATGGCGGACCCATCATAATGGTGCAAGTGGAAAATGAATATGGCTCGTACTTTGCCTGCGATCTCAAGTACCGGACATGGCTGCGCGACGAAACGGAGAGCCATGTGAAGGGCCATGCCGTGCTCTTCACCAACGACGGGCCCAGCGTTCTGCGCTGTGGGAGGATCGAGAACGTTCTGGCCACCTTGGACTTTGGGGCCACCAATGATCTGGAAGAAACCTGGGCAAGGTTGAGGCAGTACCAGCCCAGGGGTCCTCTGGTCAATGCGGAGTACTATCCGGGCTGGCTGACGCACTGGACGGAGCCCATGGCCAATGTGAGCACGAGCTCGATTACGGGAACTTTTATGTGAGTTTTGAAAAGGGTTTAAAGTGGCCAGAAGAGGCTTACAGCTTCCCAATTCGTTGCAGAAACATGCTGGACAGCGGAGCTAGTGTCAACTTTTACATGTTCTATGGCGGCACCAACTTCGGCTTCACTGCGGGCGCCAATGAGAATGGTCCTGGTAACTACATAGCGGACATCACCAGCTACGACTACGATGCACCCATGACAGAGGCCGGGGATCCCACGCCCAAGTATCAGGCTCTCCGCAAGATCATCGCCAGATATCTGCCGATGCCCAATGTGCCCGTGCCGGCACCCGTGCGAAAGCGTGCCTATGGGACGGTGCGTCTGGCCAGCTGCTGCACACTGCTGGCCCCGGGAACACGCCAGAAGCTGGCCACGGGCACGGTGCAGGCTCCCAGGCCGAAGACCTTCGAGGCCTTGGGCCAGTACTCCGGACTGGTGCTGTACGAGACCTGGCTGCCCCGCTTCAAGCGAGATCCGAGCATCCTGAATGTGGCCGGACTGGCTGATCGTGGCTATGTCTATGTGGACAATGAATATGTGGGATTGCTGGCCCGGGAGACGCCCGTGTTTTCGCTGCCTCTCAGTGCCAGTGCGGGACGGCGTCTGCAGATCCTGGTGGAGAACCAGGGCAGGATCAACTATGGCAGGCAGATCAACGACTTCAAGGGCATCACCAAGGATGTGCGGCTGGACAAGCAACTGCTTGTCAACTGGAACATGACCACATTCCCACTGGAGTCGTACGAAAGCCTGGAGCAGCTCATCACTCAGTCGACTGAGGCGGCTAGCATGGGCTTCCAGGAGCTGAGGAAGCCCCAGCATATGCTCCGCTCGGGACCAGCCATCTACTACGGCATGCTCGATATTGGCCAGGAGACGGACCTGGCCGACACCTACCTCGACATGTCCGGCTGGGGCAAGGGCATTGTGTTCTTGAATGGCGAGAATCTCGGCCGCTACTGGCCTCTGGTGGGGCCACAGATCACCCTCTATGTTCCCAAGCCGGTGCTCAAAGTCGGCACGAACAGCATAGTGGTGGTGGAGTATCAACAGGCTCCTGCCTCCTCGGAGCTGCATTTCCGGGACACGCCCATCCTGAATGCGAGAACTGGTTAGATCTAAGGATATCCTCGGCATGCACACATCCCCCGTTCCATACCCCAAACCCCATACATCATGCATCATTTGTTAATGTACATTTAAATGTAAATTTATGCGATTTAAGCTCTTTGTGAGGCATTAAAGCCAGTCTGTCTGTCTCGTCATCCTTTCTGTAAAAGACTCATTAAAGATGTGGGTGGTTGTGTGTGGTGGTGGGTGGCTAAAGCAGTAGCTGGAGGTGAGGCCCAAGCATGTGTGACCTTTGTGCCTTGCCCAAATTAATCCCAAATGATTGAGATTGAAATCCACAAAGTGCGCTGATGAGCTCCAAGCCAAAGGCATCTCCGCGAAGAGCGAAGCGCGTCGTGGTTCGTTGATTTTTAGGTAGCCCAAATGTTGTCTTTTTTATGACAGTTTCTCAGTCCATCTGTCTGTGGGTCTATCTTTAGCTCACCCAGTCTCTAAATATGTGACTCTTGCTAAGCCTGATTGGACTTCCTTGGCTGATTAAATTAAAAGTTTCTTCAGCTCTTTTGATTTCAACATACACCAAGATTCTGGAGGATTTATAGTGGTTTCTATTTTGTTTTCACTAAAGTGAATTGAAAACTATTGGAATAAGACCATTTGGTGTTGGGAAATTCCAAAAGAATTAATAAGAAACCTCATACTGCAATTTGTTCCAGAGTTTCGAATCTGCAACAAAAAAAAAAAAACTCCCACATGAGTCAAGTAATTTGCATGCATTAATCTCAGCCATTTCAGCAAAACAGATGTTATTACGCTCTGTACTCCCGATCTTAACCTTCCAGATGGCATTACGTTCTGTACTCTTGACCTAACCCAAGGAGATTTGATTGCGCTTTGCACAACTAACTTAACGTGAGAGCTGCGATCCAGCCTTCTACCAGTCAACCACACTCCAAAGTCCCTTCATCAACTACAAGTTTATTGAGCTTGTCGCAGCCTCAAATAAGTTCCTTACTCTTTTTAGTAGAGTTTTATTTTAGAACAAAAAATCGGCTCAGCTAATGAGATATTACCCAAAACAGCAAAATATTTTTTAGCCGAACTTCAATTTTCTCAGAGTTTATAATATCATAAATAAGGTACACTTAGTATTGACGAAAGTCTCGCTTGTTTTCTGTTTCTAATGAGATAAATGAAATCGTTAAAGTTTCTTCGCTTTTCATATTTCCCAATTGATATTTTACTGCAAAAAGCTGAAAAGTTTATTTTAAATTTTGTACTTCGTCAAATTATAGCAAAATATTCACTAACTATTTATGTTCATACAAATTTAATTAGAGAGTGTCCCCATTTAGATCCAGTTTGGGCTTTGTCATTACCTGAACAGTGCTAGGGACTGCGAATGGTTCCCCACTTGACCATCTCTTGTGTCTGTAATGAGTCCCATCTCAGGTACAGTTGTTGCCTGGGTTAATTACTGTGGACATTCTCACACATAAGCCCACACAAAACACACATACACATGCATACACAAACACATTTTAAAGCATCTTTTAGGCGCAGCTGCAACTCAAGTATTTGCCGAGCTACACATGATGTAATTGCCGTGTTCTCGTCATTCTGCTGTTCTGCTCTTCTGCTGTTGTCCAAGTTGACATAAAACAAGTTAAGACCCAGGGGCAGTTTTAAAGCGTCACCTTATGCCGGCCATGACATTCCTTCCGCCTCTATACAGCCCATTTCCCCCCCTGTAGTTCTTTTCAGTCGCCTGTTATACTTTTTGGGAGAGTGGTCCCCTAATGGACGTCGGGTTGCGTGCTGCCACCGGATGTGTGCCCTCCCAGTCCCGCCCTTGCATCTGTATCTGGGCATTGATGCTGCCTTTTATTAGCTCTCGCCGCCGGCTGCCAATTGATGGTGGCCGTCCCACATAAACATTGTTTGCAAGATGTAAAACAAAGCCAACTTTTGTCCACAGTTTCACGGAAATAAGTTTCATAATTTTTTGTATATTTTTTAAGCACCCTGTAGCAATGAGGATCTCATCGGGAATTCCCAATTGTTAGCTCTAGCCTCTCAGCAATCATATAAATAAATAAAGAGGGAATCTAACAATGAATCAAAGAACCGCCATTAGAAGATTTCCTTTGAATTAAAGAAATTTTCATGCCTTGAAAGGATGTTCGTCTTTTTTATGACCTTTAAATTAGGTAAAAGCTGTCAAAAAAAGTTTAATAGTCAGCTAGTAAAATTTAAAGTCATAAAAAACTTGGCAATGACACTAAGAAGGCCCAAGAGATCAAATATGTAGTCATGGAAATCTTTGAAAAAGTATCTTCACAAAATGGCAGTAAAAAAGTTTAAAGATTCAAATGTATGTAGCTTTTTTATGCAAACAGTTCTGCAGAAATAAATTTATTGTTATTGTTATAAAATTTTAAAAATTAATCGAATCGATAGTTTACTTAATTAATTATCCAAATTATTAAATTTTTAGAAAATCTGGTTAGAGACATTTTTATATACTCAATAGCCTTTCAAGCCCTTCAGTTCAATATTAAATTAATGAAATATTTTTCACAGTGCAAATTGATGTTAAAATTTATATTGTTCGAGATATTCTAAATTATGAATGAAATGAAACAAATGGAAAATTACCAAAAAATTAAATATCTTAAAATTTCACAACTGCACTGAACAATATAGAATTTTTATAGTTTCAACAATTTCTACTATAATTTGCGATGTTTCTGGGTTCGTTTTGTTCAATTGTTAAAAATTCAATCGAAAAAATGCACTTACAAATGTTGCCAATTCAATTTGGAAAGCACTTTCACTTGATTTTACTCCTTTTATGGGTATTTTCTTTATTTCCTGTTTCTTTGGTAAGGTTCGCGTATCGGTCACGCCGAGAAGTATGCAACAACTGAGCGAAGGATCAGAGTGGCAGCGGGCTTTTATAAAAACTCAGCGCAGCCAGCCATATGAAGAAGAAGCAACAGCAGATAGGAACAGCAACAGAAACAGGAAACACGACTGGCACGAACACGGCGACGAGCGCATACGAACATTGTTCGTGCATATCAACAATTGGTCGAATAGAAACTCTACTTTCTGCTGGTGTGGGTGTGGGTGCAGGGGAATTGGTGTGTGCGAATCATTTTTGTGTGTGTGGGCGCCACTTCACCGTGGAATAAAAAAGGCCTCCTCACCACGCAATTGAATTGAACGGAAATTCTGTTTGCATATGTGAATAAAATATATGCAAAAAAGAGAACAAAGAACAAAAAAAAAACAACGGCAAAAAGTGAAATGGAAAATGGAAAATGAGAAATGGGCAGAAAAATGGCCAACTGGCGGACGGACGCACCATCAAGCTGCCTGAGCGAAAAATTAATTTCAATCATACGCGTTTTTCTTTGTCTTTACATTTGGGACTGGAATCTATGATTAACTTTCTGTGATGAAAATTGCCCAAATAAAAACTATGTACTTTGGTTGATTCACCATTGTTTATTTGTGCAATTAAACTCAGGTGCGGAGCATTGAGCAAGCGAAAAAGGAAACGGGTCGTTTTGGAAGCGGAACTTTAAAATAAACTCGCATACTCTGCTCTTGATTTTTTCTTATAATGAACCCGCTATAAGAGTATAACGGACAGATTAAAGTATGACAAATATTAACATACAATTTATTAAAGCTTTCTGAACAATTAATGTGGGAATGAATGCGTCATAAAGCAGCGACTAATTAAAGGCGAAAGTTGCATCCGCATAGGTTAAACGTGGATGATGCCACGTTTAAGCGGCAACAGAAACAACAATGCACTTGAGGCGAGGTCGAGGCAGCATTCAAGATAAGACCAGCAACCCACACGCCACTCGCAAAGGCCAAGTGGATGCAAGACACATCCGCCACATCCTCTATACACTGAGAAAGAAACGGGTTATTTATTACCATAGACCATTCAGTTAAAATAGTTAAATCCCTAATGGATGCCTTTTATTGGGTATTTAAAATATGCGATATGACCTCTTGATGGCCCAGTTGAAATTGGTCTTAGTTTTTTCGAGTGTAGTCGTACCCTTTTTGGCCGCGGGGCAGGCGTTTATTGTTATTGTTCTTGATGTTGCGACCACTACAACGTTTGTTTTTTGGACTAAAATTAAACATGGCAATCCGGCTGGCTGCTTCCTGCCCGGCATCCTGGCCTCAGCTTATCTCGGCCATATCCTTCCTCCGAACGGTTTCCGTCGTAAAACTCCTCCGAAAGTGTGCACTTTCCGGAAAATTTGCATTTAAATTGCAGTCGATTTTTGTACAGCATACTCGCATAGACAGTCGCATCCCAGGAAAGTTTCAATTAGCCTTTTCTCCGAAACGGAAAACTGAATCATTTAGCAGCTCCTCCCCATCAACCAACCACTCGTCAAATATTTGCCCGAGCCGATGGTAAACATAATTAGCATTTAATTAAAATAAAATTGCCCATCGATAGACAAGCAATTTGTGATTTGATTATCGAAATCAAATAGGTTCCGCCGCCAAAAGCCTTTGACGCTTGTGCAAATAGCCGCTGACTAGATAAGGTTCCCGCCCCCCATTCCATCCGGCTGGATCTGTATGCAGCTGATATCTATGGAGTTGATATGGTTTCGCCAGATAACTACGGAATAGCTTTGGAATCCACGTATGCCTGAACGGAACACTCGTACGCATGGGTTTAATTGGATTATGGCCTTTTGTCATCGAATGACATTTTATGGGGGTCAGTGATAGGCGGAAAATTGATTCGTTTTGGTTGGGTTTTCATTTCGCTTTATTCGCGAGAGACTTTTTTTTTTGGGTGACAGTACCACCTGTTGCCAGTGGCTGGGCCTGGTCGAAGGAAGGGCGATGGAACTGCAACAGTCGCAGGTGGAGAAAATTCAATTTGAAATTGCATTACACGAAGAGAATGTGGTGGGTGGGGAGAGAAGGGACAGAGGGTCACTGAATAACCGATACACCCCACTGAGTGCCAGCGAGGGCAGCGATAAAATGTTTGAGGATGAAAATGATATTGGTATTTGAATGGGAATAGCTAGCTTTTCCAGTGAAGGTATCTGACACGCATTATCCGATATGTATGCCTCCATCCGCTTTTAAGCCGAATTAATGTCTTTATTACAGAGACTTTCCTATATCTCACACCTTCCACCCCCAAAATAAACAGCAGGAATCCGAATGCCCATTCAAATGTGAGCTGATTGGTGTCCCAAGCTCGTAAAGTCATTGAGCTCAAATCTGTCTCTTTTCAGAGTATCATAAAAAACTCTACTAACTCCTCGAGCACCCCTCTTTCCTTCCTTGCTTTTTTTGTTGTCTCTCAGATTGCAACGTTATTTGTCAGCCATTTATTGTTGAGCAAATAAAACGTATTTGCCGTCCATATGGATGAGCGCAGCACAATTGATTTATACGATTCGCGACTTCGATATTGAAAGTGGCAAAAAACGAGAATGAACTGGTATTAAAAGAAGCTTTAAATACCCATTAAACCTGGACACTAGCTTTATAATATTGTTATCTAAAATTGATAAAAATCGTAGCACTCATTAAATCTATAGCGAGTACATTGGGGCAGTAGCCACTCGTTCGATGCTGCTGGCTGATCCGAATTCGCAGGGTAATAAATGGCCCCATCTACACAAATAGCAGCAACATTGCTATGCACTTTGTAAAGGTCAAACAAAAGATAAATGGATTATCAGAGAACATACATATACTATGCGAAGGTATATTTTAAAATTGCAATTTCAGTTAGGGATTACACGGCTAAAAATGTAGTGAGTATTTAAGGCTAAGAGTAGAACTAAACAATTACACAACTGGAATGATAAACACTAAACAATTTCAGAGAAATACTCGTACACGACATGAACAATTTCGTTAGCTGTAGAGCTGCTACTAGCTGCTAGAGGTGAGGTGAGCTGAGCCGGTGCGGCCCACTAAAGCTTGGTTACACTCAACAAAACAGATCGATACTAGACTATATCATTTGAAATTCACATAAGCTACCTAAGAGAGTGGCTAGAGAAACGGAGCTTGGCTGGGCGGTGGGGCTATTCAATTCGTATAACTCCCGCCCCGACGCCGCCGCTGTGGGCACACATGGGTGGCATAAAAGTCCATTTGTCTGTCTCCGGATCGTACACTTCCACCGTGGACAGATTCGATTCGCCATCGTAGCCGCCAATGGCCCACAGTTTGCCCATATTGGCGGCCAATGCGACTCGCGAACGCTTGCAGTTCATGGGCGTCACAAGTTTCCAGGTGTCTGTCTGTGGATCGTAGCACTCGACGGATCGCAGGAAGGAGTTGCCACAGTAGCCGCCGCACACGTAAATCTTGCCATTGAGCGTGGCTACGCCCAGGCGGCAACGACGGTTCAGCATGGGTGACATCTTGACCCAGGAGTCTTCGTTTTGATCATACCGCTCCACCGAATCGAATATAGACAGGCCATCGTGTCCGCCCAAAGCATAGACAAACCCATTCAACTGGGTGACGCCGCCGGCCGAGCGATACTTCATCATTTGAGCGACCTGTGGAGGAAGTTCGTTGATTAATTAGATTCTCAATCTAATCAGCAATGTTTTCGACTCACCGTCTTCCATGTATTATTTTTGGGATAGTAAACCTCAACGGTGTTGAGGGAGGTGACGCCATCATATCCGCCGCACACATAGATGCAATCGTCCAGAGCGGCAACGCCCACCGCACTGCGTTTGCAGAGCATGGCACAGCCTTGAGACCATTTGTTCTTGCGCGGATCGTAGACCTCCACGGTGGAGAGGCGCTCAGTGCCATTGAAGCCGCCAAAAGCGTACAGTTTACCCTCAAGAACGGCCACGCCCACGCGTGATCTGTCCAAGAAGAGCATTTAATGAATTAATTCGAGACAAACATTTCAGGAGCCACTCACCTCATCATGGACATTTGTTCACCCATTTTCCATTTCTTTGTGAGTGGATCGTATATCTCCACCGTGCTCACGGACTCCCCGGTGCTGGCCAATCCGCCGACGGCATAGATCTGTCCCGTAAAGAATTCTCCACATCGCTGGCGAGTGCGAAAACTCTGCAGCAGCCCCCGACGCTCGGGCATCAGGTGAAAGTCTTTGGCCTCGTCGAGCAGGTCTCGGCACTGGTGCGAGGTTTTGATGAGCTCCTCTCGGGCCACACGGTCGGCCAGGAATTGGGGGGATAGCAGAGGCAGACGCACTGCGGCCAGCACCTGAGGGAACAACTCCGAACGCTTGTCCTCGGCGTACTTACCCACTTCATGGAGGCCTCAAAGATGACCTCCTCGGTAGGGACGTTCAGCTCGTCGCGTCGCATAAGCTCCAGCAGCTGGTCGCTGTCCAGGGTGAGGAACTCCTCCGACTGGGAGACTTTGGCAAAGTTCTGATCGATGTACTTGTCGGCAGCATCGATTAATTGGCGGCATATCATGGAGTCGGCAAAGGTGCGTATGCCCAGGACATTGTGGGGATGGAAACGTGAAATCAGGAAGTTGGCACAGGCATCCCGCACATTGGATAATTGCAGAAACGAGGCTCCGACCATCAGGCTCTGCACATTCTGATTGTCGATGCGCACCTGGCCACTGTACACGTAGTTGATGAGGCTCTCCAGGGCACTGGGCTCGATGGCACTCTCCTTCATGGTGATTTCCTTGATCCGACTCTCGGCCATGTTGTTGGTGAACATGGCGTAGAAGTATGGTATCGTGGCAGCTAGCACTACGCGATGCGCCGAGAATGTTTGATCTTCAACCTGTAATATTTAGAACAGGATTTATATTTAGACGATAGATAATGTCACAGCAAATGCATTGCACTGCTGACGGCTGACTTGGGGTGATTGCTCGCAACCGACCTTCAGCGTGACATCGCACAGTTTGCCCAGTCTTCGTATCTCCTTGAATAGCGGGAAGCTTTCCCCAAACAGCTGCTCATGTTTGTATATGAAATATTGATCCTCCAGTTGGCTATTATCACTTAAATCCATCACTTTTTAGAATGAGGAAATATGATAAGGAACACAATCGGAGAGGAGATGCTAAAAAGTTGTATTTATGGTTGCAGAACTATCGATTGCACTAGTTATCCACCTCTAGTTGTATCTCAGTATTTTCTAGGGGTGACAGTATCTGCATAGATACATCGACGTACGATATTTTTGAGTGGATTTATACTCCGCTCCGCTTGAGAAAAATGACCGCTGCCACTTAACCAAAACAGGGGATGCAATTTAATGATTCTGTTATATTTAAAGTAACTTAAATATTTTTCTTAACTCAGTTTAACGTTGATCCACGGCATCAGTTCCTTGCGCCACCTTCTCATTTAATTTTTGGATTCTAGCGTCCTGACAACCCTAACAGCTGTTAGTGTGGCCGCACTACAATAGCAAAGCTAATTTATAGGGTCCAAAGCAATATAATTTCTGAACTGAACATTCTAATACGCTCCCAGCCCACGCCAAAGCCATAAACAAACACACTTGCAACATAAATGCATATGCCAGGGATAGGAGCTGAAACGGCAGGCGCTACCAAGTAACATGGACACCACATCACCGCGGGACACAAGTCAGGTCTGGTCCAAAGCGACGAGTGACGGCGAAATTGCTGATGACGTCTCATCTTCGTTTTATTTGCATTTGCAGAAGAACGCGAACCCAATCGAAGCACTGAGCAAAGATGAAATCATCAGCAAATACAAAGGCCTGCTCAACATTGCCAAGAAGGCAAAGCATGCAAAAGATGGTAAGTGGAGAAATTTCCAGAAGAGCTATTCACTACATGTTTGCCTTCGCAGAACTCACTGAGGAGAATCGTCAGCTCAAGGAGGCGCTCAAGCGGGCCGCCGAGAAGCAGAACACCCTGCCCGCCATGCAGGAGATGCTCCAGGACTTTACAGACAAGAATTTAATCCTCACGGAGCAGGTCAACAGCTTAAATCTGAAGACCAGAGACGATGCCGAGCGCTTGTCGCAGCTGGAGATTGAGAATGAGAGTCTGAGGCGACAGCTGGGACGGCTGAGCGATGAAAACGATGACCTTCTGGGCGATGTTGACCGCATGGAGAAGGCCATGCAGCAGGTGAATGCCTTGGGCAACGAGCAGCGCAAGACTCTGGAGCTTCTGGAGGTGGACATAGACAATGTCAAGGAGGTTGAGGCGCAAAACGACATCCTCCGTCAGGAGTTGCTGGCAGCGGACAAGGAATCAAAGTTGCGCGCCAGCGAACTCCAGGAACTGCAGGAAAAGTATCAGCACGTGAAGGATCTCAACTCGGAGCAGCGTAAAAAGTTCAATTGCCTGAAGGATCGCTTCATCGATGTCCACCGCAAGCTGAAGAAGCTCAAGGAGTGCCGCTGTGTCCTGCTGGAGACGCAGCACGAGTACGCCGCATCCGTGTCCAAGTGGCAGGAGGAGATCGTCAGTGCTTCGCAGCTGATGTGTGACAAGATGACCTCCCTGCACGACGAGAACGAAAAGCTGAAGAAAGAATCAGAGTTGGCCAGCAACGGTGCGCGCAATAGCGATTTCGGCATCGATCGGAAGCGCTTGCTGCTCAGGATCAACGATCTGGAGCGCCTGACCAAGATTGTGAAGCAGCAGAAAAACGGCCCGGATGTTGAGAGCCTGCTAAGGAAACTCAACGCCGCCGAACAGTTGGCGGCCATGGCCAGAGAGCAGCACAGGGCTGAGATGGACGGATTGTCTATTCTCTTGCGGGAGCAGCAGCAGACGGACAGGGCAGCCTCCAACCTGAATATCAGCGTGTTCGAAACCAAACTGGATCATATGCAAAGCCTTGCCAAACGTCTCGAGGAGGAGCGCGATGCGCAGCAAATAAAACTGCAGGACCTGGAGGCCATTTGCATAGAGCTGCGACAGCACAACGAGGATCTGCTCACGCGCTACCATCTGAAGGAGCAGGAGCACACCGAGTTGCTGGCCGAGATGCGAGAGCTGAATGAGGCACTCAAAGGTCGTGGGGATGTCATCTCGCGGCTGCAAGAGCAGCACGATGTGGAGGCTAAGAAGTACCGAGAACTGGAGGCGAATCTCTCCGAATGTCAGCAATCGTTGCGCGAAAAGTCACAGACGATCGAGCAACTTCAGACGAAAGTCGAGGAGCTGGAGCAGGCGAATGCGGATGCCCAAAGTGATGTCCTGTCCACATCGACAATATCACGAGCCGAGGAATTGAGTCGCCTGCGAGAACTGGACGAGGGCTACGAGGAGAAGTACCACAAGCTGCGTGCCTTGGCTGCCAAGCTGAAGAAGAAACTGCAGGAGCAGGCGCAACAACTCAAGGAGATGGATCAGGGTGCGGCCATGAAGGAGGAACTGGAGGCCATCAAGCTGGCCCAGGCGCAGCTGCAACAGGATTTGAATGCCGCCCGAGCGGAGAACCAAAGACTAAAGTCCAAGGAGAAGACGAAGAACACGAGTGTCCTCAATCTGGAGATCGAGGCGACCGAGAAGTCCCTGGCGGAGGTCAGTGCCAAGCTGACGGCCAAGTCAACCGAACTGGAGACTGTCAGGGAGGCCCTGCTGAGCAAGGAGAGTACCATCGTTCAGCTGCGCAAGGAGATCGCCATACTCGAGCAGGCCAAGAACGGAGAAGCATCACATTCCCAGCAACTGAAGGAGCAGATCGACCGCATGCAAGTCCAGGTAAAAGACGCCGTTCACGGCAAGCAGCAGGCCCTCACCCAGAACAAGGAGTTGGAGCACAGTGTGGAGCAGTCCAAGCTGGATGCTGAACAGCTGCGCCTGCAGCTGGCGGAAAGCGCCCAGCAGTATGAGTCGAAGCTGAGTAAAGCGACTCAACTACTGGAAAGCCGCACGGGGCAGCTGGAGGCGCATCTGGAGCAGCACAAGCAACTGGAGACCAATCTCAAGAATGCAGAACGTGCCCAGGAGGATCTTCGGGTGGAGTACACCGAATACAAGCTCAAGGCGCAGGCCGTGCTGCGCAAGAACCAAAACAAGGGCACCAACAAGGAGCAAGAGCTGGAGGATGAGCTGAACGCGCTGAGGGAGAGCGAAAAGAGTCTGCGCGCCAGCAATGAGGGCAGGGCGGCGCGACTAGCCCAGCTGGAGAGCCAACTGGAGGCACTGCAGCAGGACAATGCGGATCTGCAGAAACGTAGCAGGGAACTGCTGACACTGGTGGACGATCTGCGTCAGCAAAACGACATCCTAACACTAGATAACCAACGCCAGCTGCAATTCCAGCACGATCTTATGCAGCAGCATCGCCAACAAATCGAGCAAATGGATGTCGGCCACCAAGCGCAACTGACACAGATGCAACAGCAGCTGGAGGATGCCCAGCTAAGCCACAAGAAGGTGTCCTCAAATAACAACACTGCTGCGGCGGCTGCAGAGCCCAGCTTGGAGCAGGCGAAGATCGATTATCTACTAATGGATCACGAGACTGCCATCGATGGGGCGTCGGGCGAGGCTTCTCTCGCCCAACTGGCTGCCCAGCGTAAAATCTCCACTGCCTCGAGACGCTCCCACGACTTCATGCCACTGGACGAGCTGCTCAACACTTCTATGAACCAAATCACCAGCGACACTGTTACGACAATTTCCCACTTTGGTCGCAGCGTCTCCATGCAGGAGGATGAGGAGGCGGAACTGGCGGCCAGCGGCGACTTCTCGGTACAAGTCGCCCAGCTCCAAGCCAGCAAGGAGCGGCTGGGCATACAGGAGAGTCGTATCAAGCATTTGACTTCCCTGCTGGCCGAAAACGAGCAGGATCTGGCCAAGCTAACGCAAATGAACGACATGCTGAAGGAGGAGCTGCGCCGGCAAGAGCGATCCGAGGAGCGGGAGCAGCATATGCATAATTCGGAGTACTTAAAGAATGTCTTCTTAAAGGTAATTAATGTTCATCATTCATCATCATCATACTTATAAATGGGTTGAAATTGCAGTTCCTTACCCTGAATAATGCGGATGAGCGTCAGCGTTTGGTGCCCGTGCTTAATACCATTCTCCGCCTGAGCCGCAACGAGATGGAGATGCTTAACTGCGTGGCCAAGGGACAAAAGGGTGACTATCATCTGAAAATATAAGCAGGAGGAGGAGCGCTTACTCAATCTTCTACTCTGTTTGCATTTCAGTGTCCAATGATGGTAACAATCGTAGCTGGACTGGCTTCCTTACAGCGTGGAGCGGCGGCGGCGGTGGGGGCCAGAATGGGAACAGTTCTTAAATCTATTTGTTAATGGTATTATTGTCTGTTGTATGTTGATGTATGTGTAACACTTGGCCAGTTTTGTACCTACATACATACATATGTATTTGCTGTAAATTTTGTACAATTCCTTTTATATTAATGTATTTTAAAATTGTCCGTTTTCTGTTTTTGTACACCATACTTTATACGCAGTGAGTGTTCACTGTACTGTATTCGTATATATCCATTGTATTGAGCGCCCTATACAGCACTCTATGAGCAATATACACACGATTGGAGATGCCTTGCTGTTTGTTTTGTAAAGAATTAAACCAGCGCCGAGGAGAGTTTGTTTAATTTGAAATTCTATTACCATATAGATCAGACTATAAATCAATGCTAGCGTTGTCTATTACTTAGTTTCGTGTTACGTTTATCGTATATACTAATATATATATAAACTATATATAAATAGGATCGGTAATTATGCATACAATTAAATTTACTAACTGTGTATATTGTTCACACAGGAATACATCATTTATACATATATCTAATTAAAACAAGATGAATTAAAACCAAAAATAATCATAATCATGAGGAATCGAGTGAAACAGAATCAACTCGGGGCAAATACGTGACCGAAGCCGCCGCTGTCCCCGAATTGATCGGCCAAAATCTTTAGGTGGAACCCATTTAGTTCTGACTAATATACATATACATACATATACCTAATCGTTTGCTTAATTTACAAAAACGTTGAACAGGCCAATAGCCTGCCAAAGTATGAGCGAAGAAATCAAAGATCACAAATCAACAAATGACTCAACTTAAAAGCTAATCAGTTTTATGAGCCCCAGGGATTCTTTCTATTGCCAAACTCCCGCATAGTTGCCAACCAGGGTGGCTGGCAGTGGACCGCCCGCCGCAAAGAGGCGCATCCTCGTACTGTCATAGCAGTGGGTGTAGATGGCAGGCACGTATTTCACCTGCTGGAAACCGTCCAAATCATCCTCCGGATACTGCAATCAAAAGTCAATCAATAACCGGTTCAAAAAGAAAGAAAACGAAACGAAATCCCCCAACATACCACAATCCCTTTACTGCACTTGAGGGCGACAGTCCGGGAGGCATTTACACTGCTCTCCAGATACTTTCCGGCACGAATATCATAGAACAGGAGCATGCCCAGGCCAGTGCCCACCGTTAGGAGGTTGCCCTCGAAGGAGGTGGCTCGAATGCCGCATCCACTGTACCGGGAGGTGATCTTCTTGATGGTCTGCAGGGTGCGGGCGTCCAGTAGGATGGTGTAGGAGCGACAGCCGACCGCATACAGGCCATCGTTGTGATAGGCAATGCTCACATTGTCCTGGCAGTTGGGCAGCTTGCGGGAGAGGGTCTGCTTGAAGGTCTCCGCATTGAAGATGTGTATGTAGCCGTTCAGTGAGAGGGCGGCAATCTCCTTGAACTCCTTGTTGAAGCACAGGGAGCGTATCTGTTGGGGGAGGACTGTGGTTAGTTTTGCATCCATTCAGCAGGTCACATCCATCGTTTTACCCTTTGGGCAGTTCGCACTTCCTTAACACTAAGCGGGTGAATGGTGGCAAAGGTGGGACACGCCTCCTCGCCGCCATCTGGAAACTCCATATGATCCTCGTTGATGCGCCAAAGGGCCATGCGCGAGTCCTTCGATCCGGAGACCAAAAACTGATCGTCCAGCCAGCACATGCCCATGATCAAGTCTCGATGGCCGTTCTCGCCTACGCACACCGGATCCAGCGTGGGCAGGCGATACACAGCAATGTCGGAGGAGTTGCGCGCACCGGTGGCCAGAAACGAGCGACTAGGCGACAGCTCAATGGCATGCAGGCCTCCCTGCACCTCCGGATGATTAGCTCGACTGTTGGACAGCGTTGGGATGGCGTCCACCCGCCGCATGTTCACGTCGTAGACGAGCAGCTTATTGCACTTGGTGCCGAAGACAACCTGCCGGTTGCTCAGCCACTTGGAGCAGAACACCTTGTTGATGTAGCCCAGATTGATTTGGGTCTCGCGCAGCATATCGTGGGTGAGCACGTATCGACTGGTATACTCCACATTGACGCTGCGCCGCTGCAGGTGGACGACGGGAAGATAAAGACCCGAGCAAAGTTCATATTTGTTAGAAATGCAAATGAAATCTTTGTATACAATGTATACCCACATCCTGGAGAGCACTCTCTCTGCTCCTTAGGTAGTCGCATAGGTTGTAGGATGTATTGAGCACCTCATCCTGCTGCTGGGGCGTCTCCTCGTCGCTGCCCGAGTCCTCGTAGGTGACAAAATCGTCCGGCTTGTCTGGTTTCCGCCTGCGCTCCTGGCGCATCGCCCTTTGCTTGGCTCTCCGCTCCTCCAGGCGAGTGCTGACATGGCAAGAGGGGTAGGTTCCGACGACGCTGTCGCGGATCGTTCTCACCATGCCATTGAACATCTTGTGGGCGTTGTACTTCGTCCAAATTATGCGTTTTCTATAAATTTAGAAAAATTCTCCATTGTCCAAACAAAAATGGTGGTGCGTAAAGTATGGCTGTAAAACCATCGATAACGGCACTGTCGATACGTGCGACACGTCGATGTTTTCTTTGCATTTGGATATATCGTTTGAAAGAAAATGATTTTTCACTTAAAATTGTTTGTGGAAAACAAATCTAAAGAGATGGGATCCCAAAATTACAGAGAAATAATAACTATCTAATAATTATATTTATCTTTAACAATATTTAACAAACGATTTTGTTAAATTAACGTAATTTACCGCTTTTATGTCCCACCTTCACACTATCGATGCATTTGCAAACTATCGGCCAACAGCTGTTTGAGTGTGAAAACAGAAACATTTGTAAAATTTGTTTGTAAATAAAAAAAAAAATGAATCACAATGCAAAACGCGTAATGCGACAGAATTCGGTATGCATTTTGACCAACGACTTGGCCTCGTCGCCGGTGATGCTAGCACCCACACCGCCCTCGGCACCCACCACACCACAGCTGCAGGTCGTGGAGGACATCAAACCGATTCAGCGCCAGGTCATCCTGCTGCAGAGCGGAAACATAGCTCAGACCCCGGCTCCGCCACACGGTGCTGCGCCACAACATGCTAACATGGCCGCACCCAGTGCCGTCAATGCCAGCAGTGCGGCTAACCCTCCGGTACAAGACGATGCGCCCGTGTCGCTGCTCACAGAGATTGCCGACATAATGCGCAGCTTCGGCGACAGCGATCAGCCGCGCACGGCCAGCGTTAAGCTGGTGGAACAGATCCTCCAGCAGCAGCTGAGGGGCATCTTCAACGAGGCGTCTCTGGTGGCAATGCGCCGCAAGCAGAATCCGTGCCCCTCGCAGGCGGACTTTGAGTTCCTCATGCGTAATCATCTGGTTAAGATTGCCCGCATGCGGAAGCATCTCAAGGATATGCGTATACTGAAGCGATTCCTCAGCATTAGGACGGGCAGGCCGCAGGACTTTATGGACGACCTGGAGCAGCAGGAGGAGGATGAGGAACTGGCCATCGAAGTGCACGAGCTACACGATGAGGACCGCATGCGGCGTCTGTTCCGCGCCGACCGCATCTCTCAGATTCTCACGGGCCAGCAGTACCTGGAGTTCAACGAGGCCCGCAAGACCTCCTTCTACTGCCGCCACGGCGAGAAGATAAAGAACAAGTTTCGACGCTTCCTAGACCTGCCCGCTGATCTGCGCATCCCCACGCCCACCATGAATATCCTGGCGTATCTGGCTCACGAGACGATTGCCGCCATTGTCGATTACTCCATTCTTACGCGCCTCAACTCGGACAATCGCGCCACGGAGCCTTACAGTCGGGTGACCTCCGCCGGTGGCAGTCCTGCCATGATGCATGTGTGTCCCGAGGTCACTCAGGGTCGGGGCATGGAGGTGGTGAAGCCCATTAGCGTCCAGGAAATACACGAGGCCATGCGTCGCTTCCGGCAGATGAGTAGTCGCAAAATTGGTCGCTATCGCAATTCCTGCGACATCGATTTCAGAAGAAGTTTCCTAGCCATTTAAAAACTGTTATGGTAGACGGCCCAAGGATAGGTATTTTATTGCTTCAATATCAAAACTTGTACGCTCAATTTTACTGGAATAATAATCTTTAAGGGAAATACATAATAAAAGATACTCAAGAAAGTCCTTGCAACTTCTGGTTCGTGCACTTGTAGTTCATTCTCCCCTGCACATGGCTGCTGTATCCATAAATCCATATATATGTATGTAGGCTATTTAAGCAACAATGGCGTACAGTTTCCGGGAATCGCTGCCGGTGCACACACACACACAAACTCACACTCACACACGCCACAAACTGTATACCCTGCCCCTCTCCATTAACCGTCATGTGGAGTCGATAAATTGAAACGGTAAACGATGTTGAAACAGGCACCGACAGATAAATAAAAGCGCAATAAAGAAATTTGCCGACACTCATACACACATACACACAAACACACACATATATGTGTATAAAGAATGCCAAAAGACAGACATAAAAAACAACAAAGGCAACAAGGAGCCATGCTGCCACGATGCCGCAGGAGCAGAAAAATGCAGCAGGGAGAAAGCATTAAGAGAAGCAACCGGCGAGAACGCACTTAATAATCATCTTCCTATTGTGCATACAAATGTGTATGTGTGTGTGTGAGAGCGAGGAAGAAACAGAAATGGATGAAGATCTGTCTGATAGAGATGCGAATTCTAGTTCGACTTCAATACGATTTGACGTTAACTCTTCAGTCTTAAATTAATTGTAATTGAAGTAATTTTTTCATATTTAATCCGATAAAAGCCATAAAGGAACCATTGTTCACACATTTCTTACTAATATTTTTGATGGGTTGAAAGCTAAACTGCTTGCAGGATAGCTTCAAGGGAAAACCAAACTGATACAAATCCAATATACTCGTACAATTCAATTGATAAATCATCAAGCAAGTTCAGCAGTGGATTTCAATGCACTTCTACTGAGCAGAACAAACCAACTCTACTGGTTCTTTGTATGGTTCATCCTCTATTTTTGCCACAGGCAACAGCCATGATGTGTCTTCTGTGCATGGATGAGGATAAGAGGACTGCGGCTGCCCCATCCTTCTTCGACTGCTTGAGCTACCCCAGCTCCCACTCGCTGCTCCGCTCAGGCTAAACGCTTAATGTTGATTGCTTTCTGCTGCAACTGTAAATTCAACGGCACATTATTCTTAATCGATTGCTCATACGCCTAACGAGCCGGTCGGGGCCCCGGGGCTCTCTCTGGTTCCGACCAAGTCAAAAGGCTCCTCGATGGCCAGTTAATGAAAACAAGCTGCCTGTGACGAAATTAAGCCAAAAAAACTTGTTTCTTTTTCTCTCTTACGTATGCTCCTTGTGTTGTTATTCTTTCCTCCGCCACCACCTACCTCCTCCTCATGCAGGCAGGCAGGCCCTCTCCCGCTTAATGTTACAAAATTTGCATTTCATGCGACTCTTCGCAGCGTTCCCCCCACCACCCTTCAGCCCCATCATCATCATCATCATCATCATGATGGTCGTCGACGTCGACGTCCTCGTCCCTGTCGTCATCTCTTCGTATTGTCAAGTCACGTAGCCAATTTTCAGGCAGGCTAAAGTCAATATGCCCCAAACCCAGATGACAGAGTTGCCCTCAACTTCGCTTAAAGAGGAGGAAAAAATTATAGACAAAGAATATACTACACACAGATATGAACGAGCATGAACCGTTCACCGAAGGATGTCTCATTGAAAGACAGTCATGCCAACGGAAACTTTGAAGGTCGCATGTGTAGTTTTGGCTGGTAATAATCCATTAGACAATGTATTCACATGTGCAACACCACCACACCCCCTTATCTGTATATGTAGGTGATCAGGGTGTAAGAGAGCAGTAGTCTCCACATTGTCCTACTCCTTAGCGATTGTCTGCCTGACTGGTTTTAGTATTCCACAGATGAGAGTTTCCATTCGATTAAAGAAGAGGAACGAATTATAGCCATAGAATATACTACATATATAAACGAGAATAAACCGATTACCGAAAGATGTCTTATTGAAAGAGAAACTTGCAAATGGAAACTTTGAAGGTCGCAAATGTAGTTTGGTATGGTAATAATCCTTTACACAATGTATTCGTATTCATATGTGGAATATAGAAAAGGAAAAGTGCCCACATTGTGCTGCCTCTCTCTACTATTCCGCTTTGCTTTTAGATAAAGTCGTGTGCCACAAAAACCAAGATGACACTTTTGCCTTCAACTGTAACAAAGAAAAACTTATTGGTATAAAGACTTTCATGGAATCACAGTAAAGGTCAATTCAAGAATGTTTCTGTCTAGTTATAATACCTACTTAAATAATGTTTTCCATTTATTGCCTAGTTTATTTTATGCTACAAATTTAAAACTATTTTCCACATATATTCCCTTAAAGATTCCTTTTTTTCAACTCTTCTGTCTGTGCATCTGGCTGTCAATATGAGAATTGCAATTAGATATTTTCGAAAATCCGTTCATCTGAACTTTTTTAATTACTTTCACTTTGGCCGAAAACTTGCTGACGTCAGTCTAAGGCAATTTGTTCCAATAGAAGCAGCCACCTCTTCAAGGAGGCTTCTCCATTGACAGATGCCAAGAGCCGGACTAAACAAGGCGCAAGAAAAAAACAGAAACAAAAACAGTCTTACAGATAGACGCATATTACACGGCCTTTTAATTTGAACCCGACTTGAATTGTGTTGACAGAAGTACTCGGGCTATGTACGTCGGAGAGCTGGTCTTATTCAAAATGAATGAGATTAGGCGCCACCAGTAGACAGACGGATGTAGGTTCCAATTGCGCCCACTTTATGAGCATAGCCGGAGGCGGCCTTGTCCCATTGTCAGAGCTGGAGTCGCCTTCATGGTCACCCCACTCTATGGGAGTGTGCGAGTCTCACACGAGGTGAGAGCTCAAAGAAAACTCTCTTCATTTAATTAGTAAAGTGGCAAAAACAATTAAATATTGGATGAAATATCAAAATACTTGACCTACTTACCCCCCAGCTATTTAATTAGCTTTAAAGGTCACAATTTACGTGCAGAATTTGCAAAGTAAATAGTAGAGGTTATAGTAGAGCTTGTGGGGAAGTACTTTTTTGTTCAAGCGGCAACATAATATACTGGTGTGTTCATATTTCAATGAATGATTAAATTGAGGAAACTTCAGTGGATTTATTTTTTGGTTTTAGAATCGAATGATTTTATGGTGGATAATTCCTAAATATATAAATATTTAAAAAATAAGGCCTTTGCTTTTAAATTGCTGACACCTCAGATTGTTTCATGACATATGAATTTTAATATATATTAATATGGGGTATTGTGTATGCAATATAATCTAAAAAAGAATAGTACCTACATGTTATATTTATAAAAAAAAGTTTACCAAATACTTTTCCAAAAACTTTTTATTTTTCTTTCCATCCCCTTATATTTACTATCAAGATAATTCAAATTTTTCAAAAACTGGGAACAGTCTATAGCTCAAACGGTTAACATAGGAACAGATTATGGGAACAGACATGCGCATTCTGCGCTGAGAACAGCATGCAACAGTTTGCCTCTAAAAATCAAAACACAAAATCCACTCCTCCGAAGTGCCGAATGGGAATAGGAATGGAAACGGAATTCATACGCCCGAGAAATCTTTTGCAAAAGCTGGAACATGAAACGAACCATTGCCAGTCGGGGCCGTGGGGTTACATCATCAGGCAATGAAATTAGATGAAACCGGAGGATAGGACGAGAGTGAGACCGCGGGGAGGCTCCAACTGAAGACCAGAAGCAATGAATGCATGTGGTCTGTGTGTTCTCATTGTGGTTTTTGTGGCAGATATGACCAATCGAAATTTTGACTGAATATTGGAGGTGGATTCAGGGCCATTAGCTGGATTAGGATTAGCTGACTGTGGATGAAGAATGGGCAACAAATAGATGGCATTTTTCTTGGCAAATGACAGGAGTCCGACAATTGAAGGTCTTCACACTAATCAGATTAACGTTTAACCACCACAAATGGTAGATATAAATATTCATATGTTTGTGTATTTGCAGAAAAAACTCTGATAGCCGCAACAACCATTGAATGTTACCACAGACCTAAACTATTTTTAAATTGCCTTCATTTTGTCTTTAATCGAATTCAATTGCAATTCACTGGCATTTTTAGTTATTTCATTTATTGGTCATTTTTTATTTTACTTGTAACAATTTTATCGATGCTTTATATCGCAATATAGATTGTTTTTCATCAGATAATTTACACGACAAACGTTCACATGGGAGAGAAAAAAATGAAGGACAAAGAACAAAAGTTTTTCTGCGGGCGGCACAAAAACGGGTGGAGTCGTAACCCCAAAGTTGGTTGCACTTTTGTTTGAATTTTCTTGGCTCTTTCATGCTCCTGTGGCCGCGTAAAGTTTTATATGCCCTTTCAGTGGGTATTAGAACTTACCTTAGAAGTTTGCCACGCAAAAGAGAATTTAATTCCTGTTTTACTAAAACTAGTCTCCGTCTAACAGCATTTACTATTTCATAATGGTGCAGGGAAATATCGCCAAGTTTGGATGACACCCAAGGAAAAATGGCTCTTATGAGAGAATATTTGTGCGAAAAAGTATTTTGGCATTAAAAATAGTACAGTGAAGCTACCCTTTATAATTTTATCAAAATAAAATAGCTTCATAATGCCACAATAGAACTTCAAGGGTATCCAACGAACGCTTCGAACTTCGAATAAAACCTTTCTACACCGTTTTTTTTTCCATGCTCTGTCTCTCCGTGACTTTTTATATGGGAGTGGGGATGGCGGTTGAGTACCCCTTTGCCCTTCAGTGGCAGCTGCTTTAAAACTTTTGATGCTCTTCATACATATGCTACATGTGTACTTTTAAGAGCCGTCGGTTGAACTTTCCCCCCTCCCCGTCTAGGAGGAAAGGGTGGGGTTGGGTATGGACTATGGGTGGGCACCCAAGGGCTTGGGGCAGAGACCTGTCTGTCAAAGTTTTAATGTGTGGCTGCCTAATTTGCTGTGAAAACTGATTTGCACACAATCAAAAAGGTTGTTGAGCTCTCTGTCTCCTGTCGTAACTCCCCAATTGAGGTAAGGTTGTCACACAGACTGACTATAATTATAAACCATCATTAAATAGTTTAATTATTCTCTTTAGTTTGTTGCGTGGTGTTTTGTGGATTAATTATGTCAGTAGAATGTTTACAAAAGCCGCATGGCTTTGCATGATATCCATTTAATTAACAATTATAAAGTGAGCGCATTTAATCAATGATCCAAATAATTAATAGTACACACAAAGGCTTGCATTGTTTTGCTCGACATTTGATGCACTTTGTTGTTTGCTGAGCGGTCAGATGGGGGAAATAGGCGACAATTATGTGGTGTAGTATTTCTACTGTAGGATACCTGATACTTGGATTCAACTTGGTATATTTTTCTTTACTCGCTTTGGTAGATAATAACCAAATATCAAATAATTGTACATATATATTACAAATTGAGGATACAATATATATTGTGCTCAATTTTTGGTTGCCGGAAATGGCAAAAATCTAACCAAATTAAATATACCCTTGATTTCTCAGAATATAGGGTAACACGCCCTGCCACCTTCAAGGATCAGACAGCAACGAAAGAACAGCAAAGTGCAAGCTTCTATTTCAGGTATGAAAGAGAGAGAGAGATAGAGAGCTTCAAATAGAATATTGCCAAAGCAACGCTGTGTCTGACGTATCTGCTTCCACCTTCTCTTCTTCTCTTCTACTCTCCGTCTGCTTTCTTTTCGCTTTCTTTTGCCGTCGCTGCTTATTAGGTTTATTTGCATTGCTTTATCTGCTGTCGCGTCTGTGTTACGGGGAGAGTTGATTGCAAATAAAGGAACTCAAAAAGTGTAAAAAAAGAACCGTGACTATTGAGTTGAAAAATACCATAAATGGTTACTAGGTGTGGGAAAACAACTATGGCATTCTCTAAATTTACCTCTACCCTAAAAAAATAAATGCCGGAAAACCGAATTCCATTTGATACAGCCACTGAAACCGCATCAAACAATAACCCGTGTCGAGCACAAAACCCATATCAATTGTTTGCTTTATATCTTGTCAAATGGCGAATTTCCGCCACAAAAAAAAAGCACACGCACCATTTCATACTTACTAAACAGATAAAGCAGCAGCCAGGGCACAATGTAATTCAAATTCAATCAAATCTAAAATTCATATTTACCGAATGTTCCACCGATTGCCACATTATGCGCATCGAATTGATATCTGCCGCGATGGCTTACATCTCTCTCCGGACTTGGACCCTGGACCTGCTGAATTATGCAGTCGTTATGGGGCTGCCTTTGATAAACTTGGAGAAAAATTAGTTGTAAAATCTGCTGCGCTCCATGACGATGTCCGCTTTAAAGCCAACACAGCTGACCCCTGAATATGCAATGAGGTCATATCGTATGGGCGGGTCCGAGGGTAGGAATAAATAAACGACGAGCCATCGTAAATTCCAAGACTATGGACAAGGGCCATGGAATCGTTGGCCAGGGCCAGATTATTAATATTTTCCATATCGCTTTTGTGCGATTTAATACTTTGTTTGAGTTCTTGAAAAGTGAGACCTCCGCATCCACACAATATCCCCCATAAATGTATGTAGCACCACCAGGGCCAACAGTGGGCGAGTTACTACAATGGCCGGTTGATGATTGCAGCCGGCGCAGGGGCATAAAATAAATCAACTCGGAGACCGAGACCGAGACCGAGACCGGCACATGCAGGCCACATCTTCAGTAATGAAGGGTGGACGTAAGGAAAACAATATGCCCATCCTACGATGCTACGAGTGCCAGTCTCAGTCCAACAAAGAACCATCTACAGCTGGCTCAAATGGTCAAAGATATGGTGGGAGGAGTACGGAGGGGTACTCTGACAAGTCAGGACGGGTTAGCAGGCAGACTCCGACTAATAATGGCAGGGGTCGGTGCAGGCTGGCTTAATGAGTGTAAGCCACAAAATCAACGAGTTAAATCGAGTAAAGAATAAAGCTGGAGCATGAAAGCACTACACGGAGAGAAAGTGTCCAATATTTTAGCATTACTTTGAGGAAGCTCTTAGTGTATTGCTTAAAATGAAAATCTCTAATAGTTAGCCCAAATTTCTCTTGGTAGGTAATTCCTACTTCTCGTTAATTTCCTCAAGGAATGGGAAGTAGGAGCTGTCTGTAATGTCTTCAGGAATGGAATATAATGTGATCTACATATGTACACAGCTTCAACTGAATGTTCCGACAAAGTCCGCAAAGTAGCCTCAAAATCGAAGCTAAATTTCAGTTCAAGAACTCAAGAAATTGATTAGTGTGTGTAAATAATTTGTGCCAAATTTTCAATCAGCTGATTGATTTAATAAATAACATTGTTGAGCCATCAAATGCAAATGCAAATGGAATTCTAATTTGATTTCAGAATGTGCAAATATTACAACGAAGATTAATTGCTGTATTAATAAGGATTGAAATGCTTGTAGAAATTGTGCAGTCCGAAATAACGAGCCAAAAGGGTTGACAGAACCAGAAAGAGGCCTCAACTTGTTTGTGGTCTGCGGTCGGTTGATTTACGACGACAGACTGTCATAATGTCGCATTGGCAAATTGTTAATAAAGCTGGAATCGAATTGACATTAAAGGCAGAAAAGCAGAAACGCAGGAAGGCAGCAAATCAATTTGTCAATAGCAATCAATGCGTTTTTAAAGCACTAAAGCGGTAAAGGAAAGCGCTGCCAACCCGTTAAACTTTTAATTCCATTTCGGACATCGAGACCGACAAATAAATCAAAGTCAGCCAAGGGTCTCGTTCGGGAGCGGCAGCTGCAGCATCGAATGAATTAAAAGTACCAACAGACAGACAAACAAACAAACAAACAAACAAACAGTGGGACAAACAAACATATACTATATACGCATACATATACGCATACATATGTATACGATATATAGTAAAAGTTTTCAATTTCGTTACAGTTGCGGCCGTGATTTAAGTGCCACAACTGCTGCTGCTGCTGCTGCTACTGCTGCTACTGCGGAATACGAGTATATCAGAGGGGGTCTCTGGGCATGAGACTGGGTTTGGGTTGGGGTTGGGGTTCTGGCCGTCCGGTTCGATGACTCCCCTGCCAAATCCGCAAATAAATTCATTGAAATATAAAAGAAAATCACATAAATTTTGCGCCGCCATCCATAATTTGAACAATCATTTAGACATAACATAAATACGAGTATAAATGCATTTTGTCTAAATTGTTTGCTGCTATTTCGATTTGAAAGTGTGTGCATTCAATTGAAATTAAATGCAATTGTTTTTTTTATGGCCAATTCCGTGCACTCTGACCCTCCGTCAAACTTCACGCCCCCCACTCCTGTGCCGATGCCCTCCCAGGCGAGCCATAAACCATCGTCTATGGATTTTTAAAAATTGCTTGCATTTGAGATTAACGACATTCGCCGTATTTATAGGCAAAATGTTGATACGCTGCCAGGGACAACACTTGGCCAAGCCACTTTGCCTGGGCTTGACCACTTGGTTTCCACACTTTTTGGTTAGTTTTTTTAGGTTTAAAAAATGGGTATTTTGAAAATGGGCGGGCCCCCTTTTTAACATTGCCAAAAGTAAAAAACAAAGGCTTGCCTTATTTATGGGGCGTGGCACGCCTAAAAACAATTTAAAAAAATGAAAATATTCTGGTCCACAAAAAAGCCCGAACCATTATTGTAAATATAGGTTCCTCCCCTTTGTCCCGGGTGCCCCATCATCCACGAGTCATGCTTCAGCCGCTCTCGAAACTACTGCTCCAGTGATCTTCTACGAATAACTCGCTTTGTAAAAGCCGCCCCAGTTGGAATGGTTATTTTGCTTTTTTATGTCCTTTCAAGGTTAATCGATGGTAATGTCTAGTGTGCCGTCCTTTCTCGCCCATTTAAATCAAAAATAATTTATTTCGACCCTAATCCCCGGTCTTTCTTCGTTAATCACAATTTTGCCTGTAGCAGTCATTGACAACCAGGGTCGGTCATATCACTACCAATCACTTTTCTTGGTATTTTTTGTTCTTTTTCAGGGTAGCCTATTCCTTACTTAAGACTACATATGGTTGCAATGAACTTTGCTTTGAAAGTATATGCTCTATACAGCCCCTGTTCGTTACCGTCTGGAAAATATTAGCAGCAAATTGTCGGTTTTGCTCAGAACTTAAAATTTTGCTAAAAACAAGAAGTCGAAAACAATCGTATCCTGCCTAATTTTTTGTGTGGTGCATCAATTAAGCGTCATCACTTGTTATAAAAACTCGAAATGCTCAACTAAAATTGGTTGCCAACCCCCAAAACACATTTAACCGTTTCATGTTTATTTTTTAAAAGAGAGCGCGACGGTCCTTACCACTATGACATTTGACAGAATTTTTCTACAAGTGCTTAATCCTATCTTTAAGGCGTCACTTTTTTGTACGCCCTTCAAAGACCTTTTGTCAATTTAGACTTGTAAAAATGAGTCATTTAACATATATGCACAATTTTAACGTCAAACACATAAACTATATACATACCTGTCTGAATCGACCCATTGTAAAGATCAATTAAATTAATGTTTATACTTTTAGCACTTTTATAAGCGAAAAACATTCCACCAACTTGGCCACGATACAAACGCTGACTTTAACGCTGTTAATTTACGTGGCGCCTGTAACTTTTGCATAACTTAAAGTCTGTTATCGGATATTGGTCAACAAATATATTATTACCGAAATGTGGCCAGAAGGGTCAAGTTCCCATAGTGCTTTGGTGGGGTCACCCTAGACTATGTCTGTGTGTGTGTGTGGCCTACAGTGGGCTATACCCGATAAATGTATGCCAAATAAAAATTTGATTATATTAAATTATTCATGCAAAAAATGCTCAAGTAAAAAATTTCAATATTTAAATGACTTTCGGAAGAACAAAAAAATATGTTATTTTATTCCACTGTACATTTGGTTGAATATTTATTTGTTTTTGTGTCTGTTTGCCGCTTGCACTCTTTTGGCTCGACTTTCTCTCGCTCTCTCTCTGTATCTCTGTCTCTCCACTGTTTGTTGGCGGCACACAGGCAAAACGAAACAAGAAATAAACCCAAAAAACCAAAAACAAAACTCAAGGAACAAAAAGGGACAAATCGGGGCGGAACGGAACACATTTCATAAATCTTCTCCCCGATTGAGCACAGCTACGACAGTTTTCGAATTTGTTGGTGTTATTTTTTTTCGGTTATACCCGCTTTTTCCACGTTTCTCATCCTTTATTTTTCCGCTAGCTTGAAATGCTTTGCAGCTTTCCGGCGCTGCCTCCTGGCGCTCGCTTTCGCTACCCAATATCCTTGTGGGAACTTCTGCTCCGCATCCTTTATTAGTTGTATCGACTAGACAGCTGCTCGCGACTACCGCTGCTCTGTGCCGTTCCCGGCTCGGGATACAATGAAATATTATCCTGATTGCACAGGCATCCCGCCTCGATGCTACTGTTCTTTCTGTGGAGTCCAAGGTGCGTCCTGGAACCGGACTGCCCGGCAAAGGCGAGCTTCACCGGCTTACGCAGTGTTGCTGATTCCGATGAGGACTTCTTGGACTGCGCAGCCTCCACATCTGCAGGACAGACATTCGGCGGACGCAGAGCGTGGTGTGGCACTGGACGATGTCGGAAGGTGACCATTACTATCCACACTATGCACATCATCAGGGCAAGGACAGCGCACACCACCATGGCCACAATAGCGTAGCGATAGATTCTGGTGGGCGTGCAGTACTGAGCGGAGTCGCCTGTTGACGACAGCGGCTCTTCCACCAGACGCGCCACCTCCCGCCTCAGCTTGTGGCAGTCGAAGGCGGACATATAGTTGACCAGGGACTTGTAGGGCGACGGCAGCTCGTCCGGCCACCAACTGTCCCAAAGGACTGCCTCCTCCGCATCCGGCAGCAGGCTGCTGCAGTGGGCGCACACCTTCGTCATCCAGTCCTGGCACTCACGACCAGCCAGGTCTATCTTGCATGCAGGATTCATTTCTCTTATTTTATTTCGTTATATTCTCAACAATAATTGTTTATTTTATAGGATCAAGTTTGCTTTGTTTGACAGAACGAAAGTGTAGGGTGAAAGCTCTGGCTCGGCCCCTCTAGCTGCTGGTAGTGTCCGTTATAGGTTGTCCGTCCTGGGGAGCTTTCACTGTGAATTACTTTAAATCTTAAATCATAAATCGAACCTTCTGATTGGCCATGTTGGCCCACCGGATTCTGTATTTCTTCATGGGCAAGCCTGCTGTCCGGCTCCGATTGGTGACCAAACAGCTCGACATTCCGGTTGTGTAATTATTGTTTCCCGTGGCGGATTCCTTAGAGAGTCTAGTGCTTGATTCTGGCAACGATGATGATCCTGTTTCCGTTCCCGTTCCCGTTTTAGACGTTGTGTTTCCCGTGGAGGATTCTTTAGACAATCCACCGCTTGTTTCCGATAATGATGATGATCCTGTTGCCGTTCCCGTATTAAATGTGCTTTGGGTGATCGTTTTCGAGTCGCTGGAGGTGCGCTCCGACACAAAGCGAAGTTTGTAGTTCTCCATCCGGTCCAAGCCCATGTAATAGCTTTTCGACAGTCGCGGGGATTTGAACTGCGGCAATGTTAGCTGGCTGCTGGATATCTGTTTGCTGGAAGAGGACGTGCCACTCTGCCCCTTTTTGTTTAGGATGCGACCCAAAGATTTTCCCATCCCAGCAGATTGACCTGCTTCCTGTCGTGGCTTTCGCTCCCTGGTTGGCTTCACGGGCTGTGCCACCAGGCAGCTTCGGGAGATCAGCCAGATCCAAAAGGCGATCACGAACAGCAAAAAGGACAGCATCAGGCCCAAGACCATGGGACTGACCTCGAACTCCTCAGTCTTCGCAGCCTCCAGCTCGAGATTCGATACCACTGGATCCTGTTCTGGCGGCCAGCCTTTAAATATTTTACTCAGATCCGACATAGTGCAAGGAACTATATAATATACAATTTATATCGAAGTGATTTTGATGCGTTTCAATGTTTTGAATATAAAAAGAAAGCCTCATGTGACACAGTCTTTATGGGTTCCTTGTTTTACAATAATAAAATCGAAAAAATGTTTCTAAATGTTTCACTTTATTTGCCCTCCCTTTGCGGGAATTTTCGTATTCTTATATATAACTTATAAATAGCTAATAAATGTCCCAAGGATTCCAGGGCGGTGCCGAAGGCGTAGATGGTGGCGGCGATGGCGGCGGTGGCTGTGGTGGACCTGGAGGTGGAGGCGGTGGCTTCTTTGGCTGAGTAGCTGGGGGTGAACTAGTTTTAGGTTTTGTATTTGGTTCCTCTTTTTTCTCGGGAATCACTGAATAATAACTGAATTCATTTTTAGCTTGGCGTTGTCGGTGTTGATCAGCTGGAGCGGGCGTGGAGGCTGGAGGATCAGTTTCACTCTCGATTCCTGTCCTAGCATGGGATCGTCTAAAATGTGGTGAAATAAGACGGGTAACTCTCGCTGGCATGCTCTCCAAATAACTACTATCATTCACATCACCTTGTCGTGCCTGAATCGGTTCTGAGTCTTCTGCTTTCCTTTCGTTGTCATTATCACTCTTATCACTACTACTCTTTAAATCATTCTCAGCTTCTGTTCGTTGCTGGATGGAGTCTGAGTCCTCTGCTTTCCTTTCGTCGATTAATTCTGGTTCGTTTTCCGTTTCCTCCCTTTTCTGTGGGTTACTCCCCTCTTGTTCCTCTCCACTCTGCCCGAAGCGGAGGTCTTCCGGGAGATTTGGTGGCTCTGTGATAATCACCTTCGGGGTGAAATCTCCGAGCTGATATACATCTGATGTTGGGCTATTCCCATCGCCATCTTTTCCATCCGGCTTGGGTTTGCTCTTGGAGGATCCCTCCACGATGCCAAACGCTGTCATTACCTCCATGGGGAAGGGAAAAATAATCGTGCAGTTATGTTCGGCCGCGATTGCCGTAAGGATTTGCAGATGCCTCAGCTGAAATGCAGAAAAAGATAGGATAGCTAGGATTATCTACATTAATGGTGGCTCACCTGCAGGGTGATTTTGTTCTGGGACATAACATCAGACGCCTCCTTTAGAGCCTGCGAGGCATTCCTCTCGCCCTCGGCTGAAATGATCTTGGCACGCGCCTCCCTGACCGCCTCTGCCTCACTGGCCAAGGATCGCTGAAGTGTATAGGGTAAGCTGATGTCCATCCTGTGGAATCATAACCAAAGATAATCAGCGAACGATCAGGGGAGGATTGCGGATCCACTTACACGTCCACTCTCTCCACTCGCACTCCCCATCGTTCCGTGATCTCATCGACGGCAAGCTGGATCTCCTTGGACAGGGTCTCCCTCGAGGTGAGGAGGGTGTGGAGCGGCTTGGCGCCGACTATGTGCCGCAGTGTGGTCTGGGCTATCAGCACGGTGGCCTCCTTCGCATCGTCCACCTGAATGAGGGCGTCCATGGGATCCTTGATGCAGTAGTACAGCACTGCGTCCACGGAAATCGTCACCGAGTCTCTGGTGAGGATGTCCTGGGAGGGCACCTCGGTCGCAAAGGTGCGTAGATCCACCTTGACGAAGGAGTCGATGCACGGCAGAGTCCACACGAGGCCAGGCCCCCGGACGCCCTTCCTTGAGGAGTACACGGTATGCGGCTATGCGAGTGGGAAGAGAGCCAACGATCTGTGGATGCTCACCTGACCCGACCCAGTCGAAAGATCAGCAGCCGATGGTACTCCTTCACCACAATCAGGCACAGGAAGATCGACAAGGGGAATGTGATGATCACAAAGAACAGGGACAGGTAGACGGCGATCGTCTCGAAGCCCGAATCCTTGTCATCCTCGGCTGGAAGAGATCTCAGGCGATAAGGATGCAAGCGCAGAGATTGGCTGGTGGGATTCCCTTACAGGTAGTGATGTATCGGGATGGCCTAACCCTCGGCTCTGGGATGGCTTCGTTATCGGCCGGGCCCGGCGGTGGCTTGTCCGCCTGTCTTTCGGGCTGAGGCTTTGGCGGGGGAGGAGGCTCGTCATCAACATCACCCCATCGAATATTCGCATATCCATCGGTTGGAGGGTTCTCATTATTCGCCTTTGTGGAGTCACTCATTACAAAGAATTTGTTCAATTGAATTATTCTGAAGGGAATTTCAAAAAAAACAATTGAATCGATGACGATGAGTAAGCTCAGGGATCAAAACACCCAAATCGGTTTATTTCTTCACGCTTTTTTGCAGGCGCAGAGCTTAAAATTTACCCAATTTAATCATTTGCATATTTACGCGATCCAAAAGTAACTCCAAAGTTGGAATATTTATTCGGAATTGCATTTTTTGTGCAACTTTGTTGAATGGCAAACTTTTTCAGCATGAAAAAACAAAATGAAATAAATAGAAATATCGCAGAAAAAATAAAGAAAAATATGCGAAATGGTCAAAAATTGTGCGGAGAGTCCATTCACAGAAAAAATAAGGAAAAAATCGAGAGGCGGAAAATGAAATAGAAGGGGGAAAAAGAAAACTTTATCACAGAACGAAGCTGACAAAAGTTCAGAGAGCTAAAGAAGGAAAACTTTTGTTTTGCCGCCTTTTCTTTTTTGGTTTTCTTTTTACTTTTTTTTTATTTTTATGAAGCGACAAACAAATGGCAACTGACCAAAGGAGAGGGTTCCTAGAGCAGAGAGTCCAAAGGAGCGGGGTAATAACTTCGAAATGACTTTTGTTGCTTCCGTGTGGCAGCAGAAGCAGCAGAAGCAGCAGCAGCAGCAGACTCGAAGTTGCAACTTTTTTGTTACTCCGTGACCACATGTGCCAGGCCGGACCGAAAGTTTTCCTACCAGATTCCTGGCTGGGATGCCATCATAAAGTAATTTATGTGATTTGCCCCATTCTTCTGGTGGCATCTCTGCTCCGCTCTGCTCTCGGCTCCTGTCTCTGTCGCTGTCAGCTCCTGCCACAATTTATCTGATTGCAAGTGCAGCGACATATGGTCCGGTCAGAGTCCCATGTCCAAGTCCGAGTCCAGCCAATTATCCTGGCGCGTCACATAGAAAATTACTCTATTATATTTTGCTCCGATGACGGATAAAGTTATTAGTCCCCAAGGAGGAGGCGGGAACCAGCACGGTCCCGACATGAACTGCGAAACGGAGAGCAAATGAATGTCCAAACCCAATGCCAGGGCAAGCGCCCCCCGCAGATGAACTAATCCGTCATTGTCAGTTGTCAGGATGGGTAATGGAATCCCCTCGTATTGGTGGAAACAGAACAAACACACAAAAAAAAAAAAACAAAAAACAGAGAGGGAACAGAGAGCGCTGCAGGATGAAGGCCATTGAGTTGTGTGTCTGCCACTTGTTGAGTGGGCTGCATGGTGGCAAATTAATGGGATTCTCATGCAGATGGAGTTGCAGTGGCAGTGGCAGTGGCAGTTGCCTCAATCACTGCTGATTGCTGAGCGATAATTGAGGGTCGATCAAAGGATGCATCTTTCGGACGAATGAATCCCCAGGGGACAGTGCATTGCTTAGGAGGATTCCAGTAAGGGAAATTCAGTGACAAATTCAGTGACAAAGTCGCCTTATCACACGAGTATGTCGATGTAAAATGTCATTTCCCAACACATAAGAAATGAATTCAAACCATTTTAAACTCCTGTTTTAAAAACATTACTTCAGATAAAAGGAAAAAAAAAACCTTTTTTAGTTATTTTATTAAATTGATTAGAGCCGCGAAAATCAGCAAAAAAAAAAATGGCCATGACAACGTGGTACACCATTCTGTCGGACTTTCAATTGGAAGCCCTCCACGAGCTGGCCTACGCCATCAGGGATGACGCCGAAGTGGGCTCCACCGTCCGGACTAAGTTCTGCCTCACGAGGCTGGGCGTAACGCCGATGCTCCGGCCGAGCACATTGCTGAAACTCATCTTGCTGAGCCGCAAGAGCACCCTGGCCTTCCTCTACTTCCTCCTGGAGGGCTACTACAAGTCGTGTCAGGTGTCCCTGACCTACGCCGAGCAGATCCTGATGTCCTCCATCATGTCTCTCGATCTCGAGATCACTTTCCGGGAGCTGGATCGCATCCTGCCGCCGGGATATGAGCCTCGCCGCAAGCAAAAGCAGGCGCCGCAGGTGTGTCACCGGATTGAGGCACGAAAGGAACGCCAAGTGTCCAAGTCCAAGTCCCCTTACTTCCAGAAGCAGCCCAGGCCTCCCGGTGATGGGCGGGGACAGAACCGCTTCACCTGTCAGCACAGCAGCCACGTGGTGGCCTTTCCCTTCTGGCCAGTGGGCCAAAAGGCCACCTACAGAGTTAACGAGAGAGAGCGCTGGTTCGCCACCTACCAGTTCCAGCCGGTCAAGCGGATGCTTCTGGGGCTCGTGTCCGACATCATGGCCGAGTACTGGGAGAAGTTGAGTCTGGGCGAGGCCGTCGATGGGCAGGCGGCGCTGTGCAGCAATCACAAGGAGACACTGCGCCTGGAGCAGCTCGTGAAGGATGAACTCACGGTAAGGGCTCGCGACCGTTGCCTCGACCTGGTGGACCTGGCCGTACGCGAGGATGTGCGCCTAAAGAAACGAGTGATCGCTATTCTGGACAAGGACATTGAGGACTCCACGCTGCGTTGGCAGAAGCTCAAGGGATTGCAGTATACGCAGGTGGGTCTGGTCAGCCAGGATGGAGTTGTGAGCGGCACACGCGCTGTGCCCACACCCGTTGGCCCCGCCGCAATGAAGTATATGTGCCAGGAGGGTGACGTCGGACGTCTGGGGACATCGAACACTGCCGCCGTGCAGCTGATCACCGACCAGAAGCGCTTGAGGGCTGTGGGCGGGGCGCGCGTGTCCGATCCCGAGGAGGAGCCATGTCTAGTCCTGGCCCCCGAGGGCACTGAACTTGAACTGCCCAACTGTCCGCCCCCACATGCCAGGGGTGATAGAAAGAGCGCGACCCGGTTCACGATCATGGAAAAGGACCTGGAGGAGCCCTCGAGTGAGCAGCTGGCGACCTCGCCTCGCAGGTTCTTCGAGGCAGCCAAGCTGCACCAGCCCTTCCTGTTCCACTACCAGGAGATATCGCCTGATAGGCCAGAAACCCACCAGACCATCATGAGAAGGCAGGCCCTGCGATCGCTGAAAGACACTCCCGAAGATGTGTGCGAAGATGCGGAGAGCAATGCAACCAGCTTCAATTATAGGGCACAGGTGGTCGAGGCAATTGTTCAGTGTGCGCAGAGCATGTGGTTCGGCTCCCTGGAGGCCTATCAGCGGCAGTGGGAGCAGGAGAACAATCCGCCCCCTCCATTGGGTCCCAACTGTACGCCGGACAAGACAAATCCCCTGTACTGGATCGAAGATATCAAATATTTTGATCCCGACAACAGCAAGCTGATGGAGCGGCTGCGGCGAGATGCCTTCCGAGTGCTGCGGCGCGATCCCCGGCTGGTGTTCGCGGCCTTCCCCAACTCCCACACGGCGGTGGTGGTGCAAGAGTGGATCAAGCGGCGCTACGGAAAGGTCTACTCCCACAACGAGCTCGATCTAAATGCCAAGATAGCGGATCAAGCCTTCCTTCATGTGATTTCCCAGCAGACAAATGCTCCCAGTGTCCAGAAGGAGGAACTGCTCGGCGACTACAACTACAGCCACAAACCCAAGTTGGTTGCCACGGCCACCAGACTCAGGAACGAGTACTATCACCACCTGAACGAGAAGCTGCTGCATGAGACCCGCACCTGCTGGAGGGCCATGCGTCCCCAGTTCTTCAAGTCGGCGACTGTCAAGAGCTGCTTCTTCGCCTATCTTCCCTCTCGTCACGCGGAGTTGTTGCGTAGGTGAAGAAAATTCCCAAAAACGGTTTAACAATTATTAAGCTCCAAATTTGTTGTATGTATTGGTAAAAATTTTTAAGTTTTCTTTGGCACTAGCATCAAATTGTATTGTATACATATAAACTCTTAAAAATAAATATACTCTTAGAAATAAATAAAATAAAATAACCACTAAACAAACACATTAATAAACTCAGATAAATAAAATAAAAAATAAACACAATTAAATAAAATTTAATTAAATAAATAATACACAAATTTAACAAATGGATAAATAAATAAATGTTAAAATAATAATATTAATATTAATAAAAATATTTAATGGAATAAGAAAATCCTATGGTTTCCTATGAATCCTTTGTGACTAACGCATCAACATTAATTTTGCAATACTGTATCGTTAGGAATATAGATGAAATAAACTGAACATGTAAGGATGACCTTTCGGTGGTAGAAAAACCACTCAAGTAAGTAATTGAAGTGAGCTCCAGCCCAAACGATGAATAACTATGAATAACTATTCAAACTAAATATACATATACATATGTATATATACATATATATATATCCAATATAAAAGAGGAAATTTAATTAATGAAGCGGCATACAAATAGAAAGATGGCGTGGGATGGCGTGGCATGATGTCCTGCCGGACGAAATTCATTGAAATTACCAAGCGTGAAATGAGCAGCTGTCGCATCAGGACAAAGGAGACGACGAACAAGGAAAGGAAACTGGAAGCGAGTCTTGTCGAGTCGTGTCCGGACATGCAAACTGAGGCTACGTTCTAAGGCAGTTACGAAAGTACTGGCTAAACGAGACGGGAAATGCATTGCAAATCAAGTGAAGCTGTCGCTGATTATTTTTGTTCATGTATATCAAAATTACATGCAATTAAGACTGCAATTTTCCAGTTTGATCCTCAGCTAGGATTCCCAACCTTCTGCTGCCTCATTTAGTCAGTACCTAAGACAGCGACTGAGGCGAGAGATCTAGACAGAAAGTGAATGGGAAATTTGAAATTTCATTAAATTTCTCGTTTCTGCCGGCGCATCGTTCTCCTTCACTTGTCCTCGCTTTGTCCTTGTCCATTGTCAGGCGACGACAATGAATGGTGCGAAAGCAAATATTCTCCATAGCAAATCGTAACAAAAAGACATTGGCCCAGAGAGTGGGAAGTCAAAGGCCATGCAATACTCTCAATATCCTTGCGGCACTTGCGGCCAACTCTGGAAACTTTCGAATAAATTCAATTATGTCCCAACAAATGTACGCAATTTCTCTGGGCATTTTCTCTGGGCATTTTCTCTGGGCATTTTCTCTCCGGAGCCATAAATTAATGTTGCATAAATCTAACTAAGTCCCGATGCGATACGATGCGTTGCGATGCTTTTAATCCTCACAATCAGGCAAAGCGGCAGCATTGTTCCTTCAACATAAATCCCAGACATGCGATAAGTCCACGTCAAGCCGACCCGTCCGTACGTATACGTAAACGGTTACGTATTTTTCCAGCCGGATGTGTCCAGGCATTGGACTTCGAGGAACTGGTATCGCACCAGAGCCCAAGCAACAAGCGACTAAAAGATAAAATCCCACTTCTTGTTCTTGGCCTGGCTCCGATTTTCGTGAATATTTGAGGCGGAACCCCTACTTGGCGAGGATTCGAGGCGCTGCTGCCCCTCCGTACGGATTTGAGCGCTCCCACTAAAGTGCATGAAGGAACAAATGCCGTGACAGGAGCCCGTGTGCGGGGCGAAAACGTATACGTAAATTTGCCAAGTGGGCAAGTGGGTAAAAATGTGAAAATGTGTTGGCATTAACAATGCCAAAGCTGAGCTTAGATAAAACGGCCATGTTAAAGAGGATAAGGGGAAGCAGTACAGCATAGGGCAAGGAAACGCAGACAGCGGAAGAAGACGAGAGGAATAGCTGAGGAAAACGGCACGAGTGGAGAGACAGAGCAAAAGCAGGTGACTGGTCAGTCAAGCGGTCCACTGCATATGCTCGTAATTCCCTCCAGCGCGCTGGAATGGCTTTACAGATACAGTGGGGATTTCTTTACCGGCTACAGTGGGGAGTGAGTGTTAAAACATTCACTTAACGCAGCGCAAGACGTTCGCTCTTAAATGGCTACTAAGCGCATACAAACACACACAAGCAAAACATAGCAAAAGTAGCACACTTATGGGGGAAGCTTGGAAAACGAAAGCAGCTCAGCTGCTCAGCCGGAGAACAAACGGTTGGGGCAAGCAGCTAAGAAGCAGTAAACAACTGTACCTGGCTCTCTGGCACCTCTGCTGCCACCTCTTGAGTGGTGTTAAGTGCTTGCCGGAGCGTAAGATTTGGTATTATGGTCGATCGCTCTTCCATCATCTCAGAAGTTACGATAAGACCCTCAACCAAATGGGTAAAACTAAAGACGGTAGATAATTAGTTTCTGGGTGAGTGCGCAGCTATTTACTCTCTTTTAAATAGTTATGATTAAACGTAATTCTAAATTCCATTTTCAGAGCGCTTTCCTCTGCAATTCTCATCGTTAAACGCCCGATCTTGTGCGGACCTTTTTGAGGAATATGCTAAATCCTCAGCTGCTTCTGCTTCTGCAGGTCCATGTTGAACACTGAGCGACACATGTCTGGTAAAATGTCTTGTCTTCACATTTAAACATCTCCCCGAACCACCATGTTTTGGCCTTGACTTAATTTATGCTCAGCAGAAGGCTCCTGATATATGTACATAGGCACATAAATTGGCCAACATGTGTGGAGATGCTCCACTGAGGCGTATAAATGTCTTGCTAATGACACACTCTCTCCCTCTCTCTTCACCATACAAATATTTAATAGAAATCCAATTGTTATTTAAATTGCGTGTTGAGTTTGCTTAAAGTCGCACAGTCTTGAGAGGAATTCCGGGAAGAGACCAGAAGAAATCGCTGTAGGGAGTGTCTGTGTTTTCCCCCTGCCAGACACAGACACAATTTATGCGATACGGATACGGATATGTGGAGTGGTAACCAATGGCTGGAAACAGACACAGACAACGAACAGAGACAGAGAAACAAAGTCAGCTGGAAAACCACTAACGAGCACATTTAGCCCCCCCGAATTTTTTTTGTGCTCGGAATATACTTGTTTCACATATTCCCATTCATGTCTTCCACTTCATTCATTCTTGGGTTGCTCCCTTTTTGGTTTTTGGTCTTTCTGCGGTGGCACACTCCAAATGCATTCGCAGCTGCATGCGGTCGAGCGAAGGCGAGAGGCGGACATTGGCAGAGGGGCATGGCATGGCATGCGAGTGAGTGACCTTTTTTGTTCCCGTGTATTTGGCCCAGTTATGGCTATCCGCCTGCCCTCTCTAACGCACACCGACTTCATTTGGGGCAACGCTTTCATTAGACTTGGGTTAGTTGCAGTGTGGCCAGGAAGTACCAGAGTATTGGCAACAAATTGGCTTCGGGCTTCACATCGGAAACATGGCAATCAGAAAACTAAAACATTATTTTTTTGGAAATTGGTTCGTACCGTGGAGTGCTCCCAAAATTAGCCATAAGCTAAAATACCAATCAGCCATCAGCCTTAGCGTAAAAACTCATTCAACCCGCTTGCAATTAGTTCCCAAAAATTAGCTAAATATTTTCCCAAGCGGCTTTAATCGGCTGGTGGCTCTCCCATCGCAAGAACTGAACAAACGTCAGGAATTCAACTAATACGGCTCTAATTATTTTGTCGGTAGTCGCCGACACACAACAAAAATACGACATAAAAAAAGGAAATTGTTTTTTCTTAATTGGATTTTTCCAACAAAATCGTTAAATCGTATTTCATGTTAATTTGAAAATTCCCCAAAAAACAGCTGCAAAAGCGCAACCCATCCAGCCATCCAGCCATCGAGCCAGCCAACCCCTCTGTACAACCAACAAACTGTCGATGGGAATAAAATAAACCAATTTCCCATCGTCGCATTGCCGGAGGCTTCCGGTGGCGACCCCGATCTGTGGGTTTTAGGGCTGAGAATGGGGATGGAGAACGGCAACCGGGAACAGGCAACCGGGTCCTGACCACAGACGCGGATGTGTGCCGAAATTTGGCATGAAAATGAACGCGAAAAGTTTTGCCCCTGGTTCCACGGGCCCACAGTGTGGGGGCCCAAAGTTGTGTAAATGTGCGGGATTTGAGTCGGAAAAGCATAAATTTCAATATAGCCAAAATGTCACGCTTCCGCATCCAAAAAACCAGACTGGCAAATTGAAATAGAAACAATTTTGAGCGGTTTTTCTGGCCTGCATTCGAGTATTTGCCGCCGCACGTTTTAACCCAATTTTTCCGGCTCGCCTGGCACCCGTTCTCGGTCCCAAGCCACGTGGCTTTTAATTGAGCTCCAAGCGTCAGTCACATCTAATTATAATTGCCCTCGAAGGGGGCCCACGACTAGGACCAGGACCACCGCCAAGGGGAGGACGGAAAACGAGGACCCGTTGCTAGTCTCTCCTCTGCCTGTGTGTGGAGCGGGAAGCTCTGGCCAAAGCAATATTTCAATGTTATCTTGCCAGTCATCGTCACGTTCAGGTTACCAGGTATTATCATCGGAAGCTTACCCTCCCACTCCCCCTTCCGCCCCCATCTGCCAGCCCGCACTCTGCCACAGTCATCTCTCATCTCACTTCATGTCTGCGTCTCCTGCTCCTCTGGAAGCGCCACAAAGGCGCGATGCGATGGCAAGAAACCCGCAGCCTGCTTTTGTAACTGAAATTAGGAGCTCTTCGTGTTGGGTTCATTTTTCCATGTCAGATTTTGACACTTGCGCCGCGGCAGTCAAGGCGCTAAGTATAGTGCGTTGCGAAACTATAAAAACGAACTAAAAACGAGATGGGATCTATTATGGGATATTCCATGGAGTGCTCGCATTTAATGAGGGGAAACTCTTTCATTATCATTGTATGCCATGTACCTTCACAGTCCCTAAAGGGATCGATTTATCGTTGCTTATCATCTTTGTTACTTAACGCAAATCAATTCCCTTTCATCACCAAATATACCCTGAAAGTTCTTAAAGCTTTAACTTTCCATTGCCTTAAATTGTCGACCCGCACTGTAGGTATTTCCATTCTGCAGCCCTTTCGCCCTCTCTTTTTTCAACCCACACAGACTCCGTCGTATTCCATTTTTAAAGAAGTGGCTTGCTTATGAGGCAAAGTAATGTGCACTTTTGGGGTTTTGTGGGTTGACAGTGAATGGGCTGCAGTTGAGCTTCCCTTCCTGCCCGCTCACCCCTCGCCCGCAGCTGCATGGAAAAGGCAAAGGGAAAAAGAGAAAATTTATGAGCACTTGCGGGCTCTGTGCATTTTCCCCTCGCCACCGTTTCCGTTTCCGTCCATATTTGCTACAACTATTTCCCTGTTCCAGCGTGGCGAAATAAATTAATAAATTCATGAGAGTAAATAGTCTTGTAGCCGCGTCATCTGTCCGGTAAAAGGATTGTTTATGTGCATTCCCTCTGCCCGGCCACAACAACAGTGACGAAAGCACTCTGTGATCTCTAAGTCACACGAGCATTGTAGTATTTCCCTTAGTTATTCCAAATCTTCGTAATGAGCAAATTAAATCGGGAAATTCAGACGTCCTTTTCAGATGATGATAATCCACCTCCGCCGCCGCCACCGCCACCGCCAAAGAAGGAACCGCCCAATGACACACCACCACCGAATCCGCAGCCGGACAAGCCGCCTCCGGGCTCAGCCGATATCGAAGCCATCCCAGAGCCGAGGGTTCGGCCATCCCGATACATCACAACCAGTAAGGGAATCCCACCAGCCAATCTCTGCGCTTGCATCCTTATCGCCTGAGATCTCTTCCAGCCGAGGATGACAAGGATTCGGGCTTCGAGACGATCGCCGTCTACCTGTCCCTGTTCTTTGTGATCATCACATTCCCCTTGTCGATCTTCCTGTGCCTGATTGTGGTGAAGGAGTACCATCGGATGCTGATCTTTCGACTGGGTCGGGTCAGGTGAGCATCCACAGATCATTGGCTCTCTTCCCACTCGCATAGCCGCATACCGTGTACTCCTCAAGGAAGGGCGTCCGGGGGCCTGGCCTCGTGTGGACTCTGCCGTGCATCGACTCCTTCGTCAAGGTGGATCTACGCACCTTTGCGACCGAGGTGCCCTCCCAGGACATCCTCACCAGAGACTCGGTGACGATTTCCGTGGACGCAGTGCTGTACTACTGCATCAAGGATCCCATGGACGCCCTCATTCAGGTGGACGATGCGAAGGAGGCCACCGTGCTGATAGCCCAGACCACACTGCGGCACATAGTCGGCGCCAAGCCGCTCCACACCCTCCTCACCTCGAGGGAGACTCTGTCCAAGGAGATCCAGCTTGCCGTCGATGAGATCACGGAGCGATGGGGAGTGCGAGTGGAGAGAGTGGACGTGTAAGTGGATCCGCAATCCTCCCCTGATCGTTCGCTGATTATCTTTGGCTATGATTCCACAGGATGGACATCAGCTTACCCTATACACTTCAGCGATCCTTGGCCAGTGAGGCAGAGGCCGTTAGGGAGGCGCGTGCCAAGATCATCTCAGCCGAGGGCGAGCTGAATGCCTCGCAGGCGCTCAAAGAGGCCTCCGATGTGATGTCCCAGAACAAGATCACCCTGCAGGTGGGTCGTCATCAACAGCTGTATGCGGATAGCCCTAAATCTTCAGCCTTTCACTTCATTTTAGCTGAGACATCTACAAATTCTCACCTCGATCGCCGCGGAGCGCCGTTGCAGTATCATTTACCCCTTCCCCATGGAGATAATGACGCCCTTCATGGACAGCGGTGGGGGTGGTGGCGGACGAAGCCGCGGGGGTACCGGCGGGGATCCCGGCGGCAAGAGACGGGACAGTATTCTGACCAATTTCTTCTTTGGCAAACCCGAAGCTGATTCGAGTTCGAATTCTTCTCCAATGGAGCCCAAGTCAGATGTTGCTTCCGACCAGGCGGAATCCGAACAGGATCCGAATAATTCGAGCGACACAAGTATGTTCCACGTCTAGGGTATCTTCTGTTCTATTCAAATGGATCTTCATTTTGGTTCTCTTATTAGGGGGTGGCGAGACCCATGCGTCGGAGATGCCAGGAGGCTCGAGGGCACCGCAGCAAGAAAGTGATTTGTTACGGACTATGATTCATCATGCAACAGCCCCTAACCGGTATCCTTCTCTCCTTTGCAGGGCCGTTGGCGTTGGCGTTTATGGACATCCTAAGCTATCAGCAGTTCCTGCAAAATCGTCGATAATCAGGCCCTCGGCCTGGGCTGGCAGACAATGTCCCGGGAGCAGGACAATGACAAGGCCAAGCGTGAAATAAACAACAGTCACGTCAGCTCCGTGGGCCACAGACTTGATTGAAGGGCATTACTTGTTCCCTGTGTTGTGCTCCCTGGTCCCTCGCACAGACACTGAGACGACATTGACACTGGTATTCGGTATTCGGTGGCCTCAAAGCATTTTTTTACGATAAAAAGTAGCTGGATATTTGGTCCTTTATATTCTTGCTGCAGAGGCAATTTATCTCTTTTAATAAATTGGAAGATTTCTGTCGATATTTCAATGACGGATAACGTTGGAAAACATTTTGTTAAATTTCTCCGAAAAAAAGGTAAAGCTGATAGATGAGCATAAAGAAAGCAGAGCTTGTTGAACTTTAAACTGGGAAGCAATTTTAAATTTTAAAATATTCTTTGGTTTCTCCAAACGAATGTCTGAATATTCTGAATGTCGGGGTCACCAATGGTGGTACTTCTTCAGATATATATTAGCCAACATAAGCATATACCCATAATGCTCGGTATTCTTTCAATTTCGGAGTCACCAACGATTGGGAGCATTCAAACGAAATAATTCTAATAATTCGAATTTGATTCAGAGTTATGCATGTCTGGGTCACCAATTGTCAAGGGTCCGCAATTAATTGCCAATTACCGCCGACATCTCAACGGAGTCAAGAGTCCTTGGTTAGCTTAACATTATAAATTTGCGAAACTCTGCACATTTATTATTTCATTTGCACATTTGAGAGAGGCAAAAAGTTGCCACAAAGTGTGCTGAGGCGTGGCTGGGTGTTAATGCACTTGCCCCTCTATGTATATCCATCGCACGTGTGGACGCGTACGTGTGGGTGTGGCTGGGTGAGGGGTGGTTGCCTCGTAAATTAGCAACGAAAGTTTTTGAGCTAATGTGCAAGAAATTGCAAAGAAATCAAAGAAAGTGTAAGCCAGACTCTAAAATTCAGCCACCAACAAATGGGTCGAAGTCGTTTTCATGGTCTACGAAGATTTCAATCCAATTATATAAATATATTTATTATGCAATTGAGGGAGAATGCTTTCAAGTCATTTTAAAAAATCTATCATCGAAATGGAAAGTATTTTGGAAATGATTAATTTGGGAAGAGTTTTGGTTGCAACTCTTTCCCCTCATTGTGGGACTCTTGTAGGGTGCACCATGCACTGGGGTTGCTGTTTGTGCTGTAGATGAAAGGGGGTGGGGCGGGCGCGAGCGTGCGTAAGTTTGCCTGCGTGCTCATTGCTCGGTGCGTGTTCGAGCACGCACAGGTAGAGCACACCCATCACCCATCACCCATCCACCCACCCCACAACCCCCACGGACTGCGTTGGGTACGTGTTTATCCAGCTGGCATATGTGTGGGCTAGGTGGGGCCAAGGGCAAGACATATTAAAGTTAAGGTATGCCAGTATCCCAATCCCAATCACAGCCCTCATGGCTCTCGAATAGAGATCTCATTCTGAGTGCCTCACCAACTATTTAATATGCTTTGGAGGTGCAGCGTGGATGTGGCAGAGGGGTGTCCGGGTGTTCCGTTTGTGTGGCTGACGGGTTGAGCTTTGAATCGGCAGCTGCTGTTTGTGTGCTCCCTCTCGGTATATCTCTCCTGCCACAGCATTCTCGCTCTCTGCCACTCCTCACCAGCATCTGCTCTTAGCAGGCAGCAATGCAAATTCAAATTTGATTTATGCAAATGGCACATGCAACAGCAGAACGGCAGCAGCAGAACAGAAGTGAGCAGCAGCAGCAGCAGCAGAGGAACATCAGGAGCAGAGGCAGCAGCAAGAGCAGTGGAGAAGCACCAGGAACGCCAGGCCAGGAGTATCAGTGAAGGAGAGGAGAATAAGTGCAGAGCAGCGGTGGAGCAACGGGAGCACAAGTGAGCTGCAAGTGGCGCAGAGCTCCTGGAAGCCAATGTTTGCGCTTGCCATTCTCACCAAGTGGCCAGCAGCAGCAGCCAAATAAGCAATCTTTCATACATATGTGTGGGGTTGCGTACACTCTGACCCCCAAATCCGAATACAACACCGAACCCCACTCCCAGCCCCACACAAATCTCCTATGCCCTTAGTCCAACCTGAAGCTCCCATCCAGACCACCCTCTGGGAGATTCTTTAATTCACATTTAAACAAAACGGAAAATGCTTGGGCAGTGCCATTGCATTTGCTCGACTGTATACCTTGCAAGAGGGTACCACGATTAAGGCCAGAAAGAAAGCCTTTCTAGACCTATAGAAAATACTATACAGATTGGAATCGGGAACATAGGAGCATCAATAAGGTTCCTTAAGGTTTTATGTAGCTGTGCCCAATCTCTAATTGGTTGCAAGTCGAAGTCGAATGTGATTTCACATTTGTTTTATTAAAATGATCCATATTCAAGTGTACGCAAAGCTTCGACTCTCCAGATGCCAGACTTCAATTCTTGTATTTCTTTTCGCTTTGGAATTTTGGATTGCACTTGACATTTGGTCATTTCAGTTGTCCATCTGCCTCTCTCCCACTGCCCCCTCTCGCTCTGGCCTGTACATATCTCTGTCGGCCCTGCAATCATCCGGACTCTCTCCGGTTGACATATGTGACACTGTGACCGTAAATGTTCTGCCATCTGTTAACCCATAGAGAGCGAGATAGAGAAAAAGGAGAGGGCTACAGCTGTCACTCAGCTTCGCTTCGCTTTGCTTTAAGGATTTCCCAACAGTTTTTTTTCCCTTTTATTTTTTTTTAGCTTATCCCTCTGTGACCTCTGTGGAGGGATTTTACTTTGGGGGATTTTATTGACTCTCGTTTCGGGGGCGATTTTCTCGTTTTCATGTTTGTCATTGTCAATCTCATTTATCGACATCCGTTTAATGTCCAGCAATTTGAATGGAACAGACCTGTGTGGCATTGGCTGCTTAACTTCTCCATTCTCTCAATCGCTTTCAAGGTTGGCACAGATTTTTTTGAGTACTAAGGGGTGTTTGGGTTATCCCACATCCGGTTGGGTTTAGTTTGCAGAATGATTGATGGAGGATTCGAGTAATGTTTGCAGAGGAATTTGATTTGGCAGGGTTATGCCTCACACTTAAAGCGAACACCCAAAGAAACCTCCATGAAAGTAATACGAGTATCTATGAATAAAGTTCTCTTAAGGTTCTTCTCCTATAGATGAACACACACAAGCAAGCGCTTTAAGCACTGTGTTAGAGCCATTGTTTAGTTGCTTCGTGGCATCAAAGCCTCAACCCCCTGGCTGGGGTATTATTGCCTGTAAAACAATACCCCCAGTTAATAGTCTTAGTGGCCGGTGCGCATTCAATTGGCATTGGTAGGGGATTTTCTTGAGCCTACCACACTCGAGGGATTCCAGCAACGAGGGAACAAAAACATCCCAAGCTAAACAAGCTGTAAGCTGCCTGGTAATTGAAGCTGCATTGTTTGGCACATGTCCATGGACCAGCAGCACCAGCAGTCTTCCTCCCATCATTGCACATTCCATGCCAGCGAGCAGGAGGCTGGCGGCAGGAGGCATGGGATACGAGGCAAGATGCAAGTGGGTGCAAAAGTGGAGCAACAATTGTGCAGGCAAACAATGGCAATACCACAACCTGGCAAGCCAAACCGCTGGGAGAACTTTCAAGTATCTCGGGAGGGAACCGAGTTCGGTATGGGATTGTGGAAATTAACAACACATTTATGCGGGGACACACACAAAGGTGCGTCTCCCAGCAATCGTATTCTCATCTCTGACAAACAACTGTCTTTGGCATAAATTAGCTGGCAAATAGAAGCTCTCTCTCTCCCTCTCTCACCCTCTGTGTCTGTCTTTGAAGAGGTAGAACACATGTCCTTTGGCTGTCGAACAGGAACACAAAAATAACTTACAAACACTTAAACTTCTTGGGTTGGGTTGGGTTGGGGAAACCAGAAACAGAGGGAGAAATATATCTACTGCTTGTATATAGAAAGAGAGAGAGGGGAGTAAAAAAGCCAAAATGCAAATTGTGTGTCGAAAGTTGTCAGTCATAACTAACTCGACGATGACTAAAATTTGTTTGCCAACAACAAAACAACTCTTGAGGCGGCAACGGCAACGGCAGTCGCTGTTGCTGTTGCTGCTACTTTCCCTGCTGCTTAATGAGAGGGGGTGCGGTGCGCTGCAGGAGGGGGTTCCATGTTATGTAATGTTGGCAACCCTGTAGAGTTGTTGAAACTTTGCTTGAAGTACATGGGCACACTGGCTGAGCTGAGCTGCGCTGGGCTGGGCTGGGCTGGATCTGGCTTCCATTCAGAGTCACGCCAAATTGTCAACAACTACGAAAAACTCGGCAGAGAAAGAGACACGGGCCACAAAAATGCTCAGAGGCTGTAAAAGAAGCTACAAAAATTCACCAGAGAAGAAGATTTTCCATGAAAGACAGGGAGACACAAGAACAAGTTGAGGATGTTGGGAAACTCTCGAGCAAACTTCAATTTCATTAACTAAGTGGTCCACACCAATTAAGTTTTGTGCATTTTGGAATAATATAAATTAATTAGAATATGCTAATGAGGCTGTGCTGTGCTGCCTGTACGTGGAGTCGACTCGAGTCAATTGACTTGAATAAATTAGCGGGGGGACAAAGTGCAGGCTCAAAGCCTAGTCACTCGACTTTAGCCATCCATTGACCTGCTCTCTAGCGCTCTCGCTTTGTAAAATATTCCGAGTGTCTTTGCACAAATATTTGCTGTTCAAGTTGGTGCTCGGCTGGCCGACCCATTGGCATACAAATGTCTAGACAAAGTAAGAAACTTAAAGGCTGTAGGGGAAATCGGCTGCAATGAAAGCTACTTGGGGCTGAAATATGTACTTTGGTTGTCTCTTAAAGGGAGATTTGCTGAAAACTGTGAAAGGTAAAAGCTCCTTGACTCAGACTAAAATTTCCCCTTTTAATTTTTTCATTTCCACTACTTTTTCTCCAAGTCCCAAACACGTTGCATATATCCTTAGAAGTTTATCCCACAGAGCCTGCCAGCTCTGATCTCCTCTATTTCAATCTCTGTGGGACTATTAAAGAAACGTTCTACTCTACGAGTACTATCCCCCCATCTAGCCATTAAGTTGTCACCATTTCAAAGCTCAAAACGTGTTGCATACCTTGAGGAGTTTTGTGGCTCCAATAGTCACCACCCCTCCACTTCAAGGTTCACCCCCAGCAGCGCCCACTCCCACTCCCACTCACTGTCTTTCTCTCAGCCACTCAACCATCAGTTTCAATCGAATGCCTCACTAATGGCATCATTTCGTTGTGGCAAATACAACGATAAAGTCATTGAAAGTCGAAAACGGCAACGACTATTGCATAAATTCCGAATACGATTCCCAGAGACTGGGCCACGTTTCTCTCTCGTATTCTAATTCTCGATGGGAAGCCAGACAGCCAGACTCAGCCTGCTCCTCAGACCCAGTAGCCTAGTCCCAGACCCACTCCGGCATTGCCTGCGCATCTGTCTGGAACAGTGCACTCGCATTCGCATTGGCATTGGCATTGGCAAATGGTCTCTGGCATTGGCAAGCCGTCGCATGGAAAGGAAGGATCTATGAAAGGAAGGAAGGAAGGTGGCCAGGACATTCAGTCAGTCAGTGATTCCAGGCCAGGACAGGGCAGGGCAGGCGTCAATAAGGTACATTCACATCGGGGCAGGGTGGTCGATTCCATTCTAGTTTTATCGCATTAGACCAATTTCGGGGCACAACCAGACGAATTCATTTTGCTGAATTATCGTTCTGTGCAATTTTTTGTTTGTGAATATTGATTTGTCTGGCCAACGACAGACATTTCTCCACAAACAAGGCAAATTTTCATCAGAGAGATGCCAAAACTTCTGCTTTTCGAGGAAGTTCTCGATTGTCTGTGAAGGTGGGAAATACGAGAGACAGATCCACTCGTTTGTCGAGCATAATTAATTAATTAACGATGCTAGAACTATTCAAAGTTCCCTCAACTCGAATTGTATGCGATTCAGGCATTCCCAAATTCAATTTATCAAACATTTAATGCTTTTGTTTGTTGGATCTATCATCGGCCATGAATCACTCCCAACAGCTCCAGGGGCACATCGGGGGCGCCCATCAAAAACAATTGTGTTTCGGTAATTATCACAATTAAATCGTTGTTTTCACTTGACTGCTTTTGTTTGCCATTGTTTTCCGGAATTTTCCACTTTTCAAAGAGTTATGGTGTGCCCCCTGCCACTGCCACTGTTCACTGGTCAAATTAAACATTCGAATTCAACAAATAGGTCAGAAATCACCTGCTGCAGGGCTCTCGAATGTGTCATCAAGTGCGGAATGACATTAGTTTCCATTATGGATATCCAGTGAATTCGTAATTATCGCTAATGGAGCACAATCAATTTCTTATCGGTGCATTATGGCAATATGCTCAGCACAATAAAGGCTGCCAATTTAATGGCAAACATCCCGCGAGAACATTGTTGGCAGCAATAAAATGTTCATGGAAAATGTAAAATTACTCAGGGAACAGTCTTAATCGGGCTGCAAAATAGTCTAAGCAGAAGACATTGCGTTCGAAATTTCTGAAGAAATCACGTTCATGGAAATGTAAGGGAAACTGTGGGTATTAAATGAAGAAACTATAAAGTTGCCAGACAATCAGTTTTGCTTAATTTCCCTAATGGTAGGAGTTGCACTTTCGGTTTAACTTGGACTACCCATAAAACTAGGCCATGAAAATATTCTAAAAAAATTCATAAAAAATACATATGGATATATAATTAACTTTTTAGGCACTAGCCAAATGTCTCACTACGAGGCAAAGAAAAATAAGACCCAAAAGGTACCATCCATGCATTCATGCATCCAAAAGGTGCCATACATGCAAAAATTCTCACATTTAATTAAATAGTTTTGTATAAATATTGTAAAAATATATAAAAAAAATACCATAATCAATTTTTTCTATTTTTTTTCTTTAAATTTATAACCAGAATTAGCTGCCACTATACATACATATGTACATATATAGGAGGCGGTAAACCTGCTTACGCAATAGTATATACAATAAAAAAAAATAATAATAGTTCTGTATTATTGATGTAAACAATACTTTATGCTTCGAAAAATAATTAGTTATTATGGTATTTAAAAATCGTGGAATGTTTCATTTTCCATAAATTGTTTAATGGCCTGTTTAGTAGTCAATACTAAATGGATTCAATGCACATTTAATAGTAGGTGCATTTTCTGAAAACAAAAACACAGTTTAGTTTATTTCATATGTGTATGTACATATTCCTACGCTACAGTATTGCTACCTTAATGTTGATGCGTTAGTCACAGAGGGTTCACATACATAGATATTTTTCATACAATATGATTTACTTATTCTTTTACAAATTTTTATAAATATTATTATCTTTAAATTAACATTTATTTATGATTTAAATTTAATTTATTTATTTCTATTAAGTATATATCTAGCTGTTACCTAAATTGTTTTTCTCAAATGGCAAGTCTGTACCTTATGGTACAGTTTACTAATATTTTATTTACATCTAAAGTTCATGATTGAAAATCATTTAGTTCAATCAAGTTTATTTGTTCAATTTTCACCAATAGCTTTTTTCGAAGGATTTTGTAAAGCGACTGACAAATATTTCACATAATTTAATTTATTTTAATTTGATTTATATTACGTATAATTACTATAATTTAGCAACGTTATTTTGATTTTCCAAATAAAGACGAAATTGTAAGGATATTGCAAAAATCGTAATTTTGTGCTTATATGTAGCTGCATATACGTTACTGTTAAGCCTTCTGACTTATTCCCCAACTAACCAACAAAAAGCAAACAACAAAAAAGCGACCACAAAACAAAATTGTCTCTAAGATATCTGCATCTATATATAACATTTTAATTTAACTTGATACAAACTGTATAGGATACAAAGAACTAACGGACGATTAGCCAAAATTTATCATTCCTAATCTTTATCAACATCATCGTCTGAGAGCAGTTCGGAGAGACTCAGATCCGACGAGCGCTTCTCGAGAGGCTGCTTGGACGTGTCCGACCGGCTGCATGTGGGAGTGGGACGGGCGTACATCTTCACGCAGGAGATCACGTTCTCGCGGAACATTGCCTCCGAGTGCTTCATTATCTCGGCGGCATGGTGGTTGAGTGGATCGTTCGGGTTGGGGTTGCGCAGCAGTTGGGGCAGGAAGGTCTCGATAATGTTCAACAGATCGTAGCTGGGCGACCAGGCCTGCCGAAACACATTCATGCAGACCAGGCCCGTGTTAAACTCGATGTTCGGATGCAGTATCTTGGTGATGAAGCGGACCTTTGGCGGATTCAACGGATAGTCCTTCGGCATGTTTATGTTCACCGTCCACATGCCACCCTCGTGGGCAGTCCCCAGCGGCCCCTCGAAAACCACATTCAAATTGGCCATGTCGTCGTCAACAGTGGTACGGTGGCCCGATGCCAGCAGCCGGCTTACGTCCCGTTGCAGGCGTCGCCCAGCCATGGGCGATGTGGTGTTCACGACTGCATTAGCCATCTGGTCCCCTGTTAATCTACGCAAGCCTACGTATCGGATCTACTGGAATTTCGAGTGCACCCGTCTGCTACACGGACGTACCTACAAATGTGTTCTGTCGCCACGCCAGCGAACCACGTTTATTGTTGGAAAATTACATTAACTAAGAGTATTACTTACATAGTAAAATGAAATCAGAATTTTGCTGTATTTACATTGAAGTGGTCTTGAAATATAGCACTACTGCCTACTCGAGCCCTATCTTTATGGATGATTGATGGGTTTGGAAAAGGTTCGGGAGATTGGATGGGTAATTCTCTGGAATTTATATAGTTATATGTACGAGCGCACTAGTGCGCCCATCAGCGAAGAGGAACACTTTAAAAATCATAGAAACAGAATTACCGACTTTTTGTAGGAAATTCTATAGGAATGCCCATTCCCATGAAGGCCACGACCTGTGGTGTCATGGGATAAGCCCAAAAGTCTAAAGGTTAAAAAAGTTCAAAAGGGATTCCTGGTCAGTGGTTAGATTTAATAGTAGAAAAGTTCGATATAAAATAACTTTAAAGTCACTCTGTAATCCACTTTTAGCGGACTCTAATCACTCTTTCGTTGCTGTCGAGCAATATTCCAACGCACAAATTAAATTTGTGCACAGGTAAAACATCGCCAACTGTAACTCAATTCCCCCAATCATTTTATATAATTCCATTAAAACCTGTCAACAGCAAGCAATTCATTTAAATGTTTTCCCAGCAACTAAATCCGTAAAACGCTACAACACGACAGTGAAAATAAATATCGCTTTTTATTTATTAGTTCCACCCGATTTCAAGCTCAGTTCGTCCTGTCCGCTTTCGTGCATTTTTTTTTTGGCCGTGTCGCATTGCGTCTAAACGGATTTTGGCGCCGTTCCGAGAATGGAATTCATTAATTGCGCGTGGGACAAAGTTTTTGGCCGTACTGCCAACTGCTTGTAATTGGGCACCAGGGAAAGTCCTAGAAAGCCCCAGGAAAAGTGGGCTACGGAGTGGTTGTGGCTGTGGGTGTGGGCGTGAGGTTTGTCCTTGCGGCCAGTCCCAATCTGTGCCACCCTTTCTCTGCCCCTCTTAATGGGTCACTCCAAGTTGAATGCATTTCTGATTGCTGGCAATAAATCAAAGATTGTCTGATGGCTAAGACCCACTTTTACAGTTCCATAAAGGATTCAGCGAATGAAAATAGAGATGGAGAGTGCATTAAAGTTAAATGGACTTGGACTAAATGCTGCAAATAGCTGCCATAACAAACAGTATGGACACACCAGAATCCAGATACACACAGACATATGTATGTACATATAGGGAAGAGCGATAGAGATTGTATCTGCGTCTGTGTCTGTGTCTGTGGCACTGTATCTGCGTCTGTGCCGCTGTATCTGCGACAATGGCTAGAGCTGAAACAATGGTAAATAACGACTAGAAAATTGTAAAAAATGTTGACAATGTTTCTCATGGCTGGCAAATCCTTTGCCCCCTTGCTTTATTTTTAGTGCGACAGTAAATGCGTCAGTCTACCCAGTCTCTCTTTCCATTTCTCTCTTTCCATCTCTCTCTCTCACTCCGTCTGTCTCTGTCTGGCTTTGGAATGCTTTTTGTTGCAGTTTTCACAGTCGAGTGCCCTCATTGTTTTCGCTGTCAGCGAGCGGCGCGTCGACAATGAATAATTAGAATTTTGTTGAAGGTCCATTGCTCATTTCCCCCCAACCACCCAACCACCCACCCATCTCCACCAAACACATTCCCACCTCCCCCGAATGCCACCGCCACAGTTTGTTCATGCGACTTTTAATTTGTCGCCCCATGGACAGCAAATCAAACATTGACCATTTTTGGATCACAATGAATAAGCGACTGCAAAATTCCTCTTTTGCTTTATGCTCTTTGGAATGGGTCCTGCACCAGTCACAATATTTCTAATATCACTACCAGTATATCATTGCCAAAGGCTTGACTTTATCGAGTGTTTGTTTCATTGGTGCGACTATAATAAAACGCTCAATTCCTTTGGATGCAGAGCAGAACAAGTTATCATAGATGTTGCGATGGGAATAAATTTTAAAGTTTTCTGTTTAGTTTTGAGCATTATTATACCCGTACTCAAAAAAGAGTTAAGGGGTATATTAGATTTGTGGTAAAGTGGATGTGTGTAACGCAGAGGGAAATCCGCCCCTAAAGTATATATTTCTGATCAGCATCATAGCCGAGTCGTTATAGCCATGTCTGTCTGTCCGTCCGTCCGTCCGTCCGTCCGTCCGTCGTCCGTCGTCCGTCGCCGTCTGTCCGTCTCGATGAGCGCCTGGATCTAGAGCTATAAAAGCTAGCGAAACCAATTTGGTTCCAGACATGTGATACCCTGTACAGTGTTTCAGTCGCCCCGCCCCCTTCCGACCCCACAAAGGACGAAATCTGTGGCAGGCACAATTTTAAAGATACGATAAAACTAAAACGCGTATCGTAGAGATGCCCATATCTACCAGTGCCAAATATGAACTAGTCAGATCATAATTATAGCCAGAATGAGAAATTAATTTTCAGTTGCTTCCCCCCCCCTCCCGCCCACGACAACTCATCTCATTCCCTCGCTCACCTCTGCCGCGTTCAGTGCGCGGCAACCCCTAGCGGGGAGATGTAGATATAATGGTACATGTACAATCTACATGTTAGTGTAGAATATACTTGTATTTGTAATGTAGATAATAGATGTAGCAAAAAAATGTAAAATGTAAATTTTTAAAATTCTTTAAAATCATAAGCTCAAAATGTATATACTGACTGAGTACGGGTATAAGTAGAGTCGCGTCCCCAGAAGCGACTCACACGTTCCTTCTCGTTTTTCAATATCTTCTATCCATTATGGGAGGGAGCTATGTTAGTTTTAAGGCCGGAAATACTGAAGAACAACTGGTCGACTTTCTATCTTTCTACCACATGCAAAAAATAGCAGTCAGCACTCAGTGCGTCTGTGAACATTCCCCTCGAAGCCTTTGGGCCATACTAGGGACTCTATCATTTACTGATATTTGATGAGAATCTTTGCTTGTTCGTAGTAAAATTTAATTTCCTAAGTGTAACGTTGGCCGGATATGAATGGCAGGCCTTGAATTCTGAGGCTTGTGGGGTGCCTGCTCCACTCCCGTTTACAACTTTGAGTTGGTGTTTTATGGATATGGGTTTATGCATACATTTTGCCCATTGATTTTGCAAAGCAGGCCGGGCAGTAGTAGGAGAACGCCCTGGCCAGGGCGTACCAGACTTCAATGAAATTTTCAAGTGCATAAATAAAATCTCAAATAGATGCCATTAAGAGCATTTTAGCCGCCATTAAAGCAATATGGCCAGACCGCCCGTCCCACAGCTCGGTCGCTGACTATTATCCCAAGAAATACGATTATCGCGTAAAATTAACGCGAAATTAATGCAAACTACGCGCCCAGCCCCAAGGATGGGTCTGAGACTACGCATCCGAGACAGCTTTAGTGGGGAAGGAGTGTGGCCTGGGGCAGGATATTTCCTTCTTGGTTGGAACATTAAGGAGTAATCTCAACATGGGCGTTAATTTTGCGAATTGTAATCAACTGAGAACTGAGAACGTGGCGGTAATGAAGCTGTTGTGGCATGGACCCCCAGCATTGACCACGTCAAAGTCAACACTTCAACAAGTGCAAACAGGGGGCTCGAGAAATTTGGCCATCAGGCTCCATAGGAACAATGGCCGGGCCGTGGCCAGACCCAAAGGCCCACGCAAAACAATGGAGCCGCTAAAACAATGGCAGGCGACAAAAGGTAACCGCGAAAAGGATAACTACCAGCCGGGAGCAGTGAGCACCGAGAACAGAGAACAGCGAACAGGACCAGAACCGTTCAGGGCACGGCCGGACACACCGGATCGGACCGGGGGAACCAGCAACCGCAGGTCGAACCTTCTGGCATTTTGGCAACATTCCATAACCCAGCCACCCACTCTTCCCCATAACTTTATCTGCAGGGCTTTGTCCACGGCCCCTGCCATACGGAGAGAGCACGAAATTTGTTAAATTAACTAGATAATTTTAAATGAAATTTTTGCATCAGCCACAATTTCAAACACCAAATATTGGACTATGAAGTTGGAATTATAAAGGATTTGTATGGTCATCAATTGCGTGGTTCGAATGGAATGTTGAAAATCTAATTTATAAAACTTTGATTTGGTAATAGCGCGGTTTACTGTTCATTTAAAGGGACTGTAAGAGTTCTTTATTGTGTTTGCCGTACACTAGAAATTAATTTTAAAGGATATATAGCCTTAATTGTAGATCTAGGTCTCCTTGTTCTGCTTTATGTTCATAACTGTTTGTCCTAAAATTAAAGTACAAACTTGTAACAAGGAAACAAAGAGAGAGAGGGGAGTGTTTAGAGAACGCTTAGCAGAGAGCAAGCAAAGGAACTTTTGAGTGGGGGTATACCAAAGTAAATTGTTGCTGTTCCCCTGGTAATAAAATATTTGTCGAGCGCCATTTACAAAGTCATTTTCAAGCCCAATGTACTTTCAAAGTAATGCGCTCCACCTGCCCGCGTTCACTTCGCAGCCCCATTCCATCGTGCCCCTTCGCCACCAATCCTGCTCTGCAGGAGTCCACCTCTCTGCTTATTGCTTGCGGCCCAGCAGCCGTTGTTCTAGTTATACCCTTGAAGAGGGTACTATGATTTAGAGTACATATTTGAAGAGGAAAGTCTATCAGCTGCAGAGCTGAATCAAAGACATTTCCTTCTGCTGAACGAATTTTGGAAAAATCATATGGAATATACAGACATATTATTACATATGTATGTAAGTCGACCCGCCATAGAAACGATATCTCTGCAAGGGTATCTAACTCTTCGGCTTCCAATGTTCATCTGTCTTTCTTGTTTCTAGTTTTTATTGCGTTCGTTTGCCATTTTATGGTCGCGTTTCAGGTGGCTGATGTTGTTGCTGCTTCTATTGCTGCGCCTGCTGGGTGGACGGGGGGGGGGACTGAGCTTAGGTGCGATATTTGAGGCATCAGCGTCGCTGCTGCCGTTGCCATCGCTCCGTTAGCCTTGCCAAACACGTGCTTTCATTTAAAATGCCGTAAATATATCGCGTAAATATAGATTTTTTGTACTTCTTCCTTTTTTCGTTCCTTTTTGGCTGTTGACATTCGGCTAAGGCCATATGTAGCTCGTATTGCATTTTTTATTATTGAATATTTTTCATTGCTAACGGGATTCGCGGATTGCGTGAG